TCCCCTAGCCTAGGCTAGGTTAAGCTACGGTCGACGTCTAGTCATCCCCTCCCCTAGCCTAGGCTAGGTTAAGCTACGGTCGACGTCGGTCATCCCCTCCCCTAGCCTAGGCTAGGTTAAGCTACGGTCGACGTCGGTCATCCCCTCCCCTAGCCTAGGCTAGGTTAAGCTACGGTCGACGTCGGTCATCCCCTCCCCTAGCCTAGGCTAGGTTAAGCTACGGTCGACGTCGGTCATCCCCTCCCCTAGCCTTAGGCTAGGTTACACCAACATTCATCAAAGCAATGAGTCAATACCACAATAACCCTCCGTTTTGATCTTTTATGTTGTGTGAAAAGTATTAAATAAATCATTTTAAAATCATTTAAATATTCGAGGGGGGGGAGGGGGGGAGGGGGGTGAGGCCTTAAACGCGAAAGGTAAGATCCGGTACAGAATTTTATGCTTGCCACCCCCTTGGGTCTCCTAGCTTGCACTTGAACTAGTCCTTTCATCAGGACTAGCTTCCCTTCTCGACCTCAAGACCATTGGACTGTGTAGAATCACCACTACACCAGTCATACGACTTTGGACTGTGTAGAATCGCCACTACACCAGTCACCCGAACCAGAAGCAAGGCTTCTCAAGACACGGCCGATCGCACTCGTGATAGCTATCATGCCTGCACCTGAACGAGCGTCCACCCTTGGATCACCATCCAAGCCTGGACATTACAGCTATTACCCCTTCTGCTTGTAGACTGCAGAAATACGAGACGATCAATGAGGTGGTACAGGATCAGAAAGTGGAGGCCATAGGAGTGGACGTAGCCAGCGCGGCCTTGGAGTTCGCCCGAGGGACGATGTCAACCTTGAAATCTGTCGGTGTGCTGAACAAGTTCGGCTTTATCAGGCTCTCAATGCCCCATTTTTGTTTTGGTAGTTGGGAGACGTACCGGAAAATGGCATTCTTGAACTGGACATCGGGTTTGATGGCCTTCCCATTCACATTGATGGGCTTCTTTATGTCAAGCGTGGCAAGCATCAATGCGACTAAGTACCAAATGGAGACCTCAGCGAGATGAAGCCCTGGGCAACGGCGGCATCCAAATCCAAATATAAACTGTGGCCATAGTGATGATATGGTGTCAGGTGTTGAGTGGAAAGTGAGCCAAAAAAAAAAGCTCCCTAGTCACCTGGCGTGAGTTGTGCTGCTTGTTCGAGCCGATGAAACGCTCTGGGTCAAACTTCTCGGGGTTGGGATAGATGGTCTCGTCCCTCACAATGTTCCAAATGTTGGCGAAAATCTGACATAACATGATAAACTCAAAATCAAATGGCAAGCTGAAGTGGGCTTATGAACAACGTACGATAGAGTCCTTAGGCATGAGCATCCCATCAAACTCGTCATCCTCGAGCAGACATTGAGGAAGGGCTGTAAGGTATAGACCTAAGATGTCACAAATGATGCTGACCCTACTTCCATGGACTCACCAAGGGGAACGGGGCACGACCAACGGAAGGTCTCCTCGACAATGGCCTGTACTGTGGAGAGCACTGTGTCAGGCTCATTGTATATCGGATACGCGTCCAGCTCGCCGTAAGGTAATCTGTCACGGTCAGCGAACGTAGGCAGTCTGCCCGGACCGGCGCCGAGAATGCTATCAAGCTCAGCCTGCGCCTTTGCCTGCACATTCGGGTACTGCATCATGGCGAGCAGGAAGTGAGACATGATTACCACGGTCTGAAGCAGGGCATGCCACGAGTACCAGGACCCGTGAGTACCTGCAACGGATACTCGTAAGGCACACCATCGGGTACCTGTATCCGTGGATACAGATACTCGTTCCCACGGGTGGCTGCACGGATACAGGTAGTGCTTCAGGTCCCACAGGTACCCGTGGGAGAGTACCTGCCATATCGCGTCGGAATTTGCCGGAGGCCAGACGTGCATCCAGTGATGCTTTGCTGGCACATCTCTCCTCACTCTTCTCCGAGCACACACCACCATCGACAGAGTTGACACGTCGTGTTTCTGTCCATGGTGGTGATACTTATTCTAGGCACTGGTTTCTATATCTATTGGTACTTTGTTGAAGAGATTTGGTGTGTTCATTGTTGGGAATGATGGTACTCAGGACCTGGTGAGTACCTCCCTCCCACTCTTATTGTAAATTTGCTCGTTCTCACCCAATTCCGCGTACATTTCCAATGTTGCGGGGTCAATCGATGCGGATTAATGTCCGTCATCACCTCCTGTACTTGGTTTGACGCGATTTGGCCCACCCGTTGTCGAGAACGATGACATTGACCTGGTGAGTACCCCCTGCTACCTTCTATCGTAAATTGCTTCGTTCTCACTCAATTCCGCGTACGTTTACAACGTTGCGGGGTCAATCGATGCGGATTAATGTCCGTCATCACCTCCTGTACTTGGTTTGACGTGATTCGGCCCACCCGTCGTCGAGAACGATGACATTGACCTGGTGAGTACTCCCTGCCCCTTCTATCGTGAATTTGCTCGTTCTCACTCAATTCCGCGTACATTTGTGATGTTGCATGGTCGATCATCGCATTGGTATGTCCAGCATCGCCTCCCATCCTTGGTTTGACGCGATTCGGCCCACCCGTCATCGAGGACGGTGGTATTGACCTGGTGAGTACCCCCTCCTACCTCCTATCGTAAAGTTGCTCTTTCTCACTCATTTTTGCGTGTATTTGTGACGTTGCGGGGTCGATCGACGCGTGTTGATGTCCCGCATCTCCTCCCGTACTTGACTTGATGTGATCCGGCCCCTTCGTCGTCGAGAACGACGACATTGACCTGGTGAGTACCCCTTGCTACCTTCTATCGTAAATTCGCTCGTTCTCACTCAATTCTGTGTGCATTTGTGATGTTGCAGGGTCGATTGACGCGTGTTGATGTTCCGCATCGCCCCCGGTACTTGGTTTCATGCAATTTGGCCCACTCGTCATTGGGAACAATGCTATTGATTTGGTGAGTACCTCTCCACCCCCTTCCCCAGCTTATATGTACCACAGTACCCACGGGTACCCCTCAGGTACCTACAAGATACCCGTAGACTCATTCTATCCATGAGTACCTGCCCATTGGCAAGTACCTGTATCCGTGGATATGGATACCCGTTCCCACGGATGCCACCCCGGATACAGGTGTGGCCTCTGAGGGAACAGGTACTTGTTCCCACGGATACAGGTACTCGCACGGATATAATCGTGGCATGCCCTGGTCTGAAGATAATGATAGCAGCCGCTCAATAGTTTGTTCGCATGTAGCATCAGATAGGGTGCTTACAGTGTCCATGGATGCGCTGTACATCGAGTTGGCGGTGTCCTTAATATCAGTCTCATATTGTTCGGTTATATTCTCACCTGACATGGTAAGGAGCTCTGCGCAGAAAGACGGTTTCGCTTTTCCCATACTCTATAAGAGCGATTGATCAGAGGCGAGTTTGACAGTCAATGACAATTAGAAAGGCATACTAGCATGTCCTTTACAGTGGTGAAGGGAGCCTCGCGAAGCTCGTCAAAGCCTTTCTTCCATACGGCTGCTTTCTTTTGAAAGCCCGCACCGGGGAACCATGACGGCAGATGACTCACTGCGAAGATTGAACAGTTTACAACATGAATGTCGCATCAGAGGCAGAAGTAAGAACTCACGCCAAGGCATCATATCTACAGCCCAGACCCCACCGCCAGCCATTATCTCGCTGGCCAACGTGTCCGACGTAGCCTCCTCGACTTCAAGATATCTCATACTCCCATCGTCGTCACGGACCTCGAGACCGTACACAATACGCAAAACAATGCTGACTGCGTAACGGCCAAGGTTGCGGAAGGGATTCTCATTGTGATTGACGAAGCGGTTGATCATGTTACGTCCTTCGAGTTCAATCTGCTCCTAGTGGCGAGGGACACGGAGCTGACTGAGGGTGTGCGACATGAGACAGCGTTGACGGTGAGCACGATCACCATAGTTGGTGAAGACAACCATGTTACCAGCACCACAGAGTTCATTGACCATGACGAGGCGGGGTTTATCGGAATAGGGATTGGCGCGCTTATCTATCAGAGCGTTCACGACGTCAACCGAGTTCAAGAAGATGATTCCCTTTCCAAAGAGGCGGGTGTAAACGATATCACTACCGGACATCCGACACATGTACCAGGATTAGCGGTCCGTGGTATGAGGGTGTTCGAAAAGGCTGCCACATATCCAACATAAAGGAATGCATACGCACCCATACTCCTTGCCCCATTGTGCTGACGTCTTCCAAAGCTCGATAGGATTCAGCTCCTACATATGATGGCGCTCGGTCACTAATCAAGTCCACGACGAAGATACAATATGAAGAGAGAAAATCACCCTGATGTTACCAATAAAAGGCAGACCTTGACAAACAAAAATATTATTCATCGGCCTCATTTTGAGGGGTGAAAGTTAAATGTTACCTTTGGGGCCAGGAGGTACAGGGAGAGTGTTCCTGTTACAATACTTGACGGTAATGAAGGTGACGATGGCGGTAGCAGTCAAGCTACCGAGGACGGCGAAGCCAGAGAGAGTAGAAGCATCGGAAGGCATAATGCAACTGTTATAGTTTTCCTCGAGAAAAGTACACTGGCCACGTTGGAAATGTGTGTGCTGAGGAAGGATGGCGAGGAATCATAGTTCAATGTGGTATATATATTGAGGAAGAGATCAGCTTGTTGACAGCGGATGAGAAACTGAGGATTATCGCATGTCTGGTGGAGATGTGTGAGGGGCCAAAAACGCCTAGAAACTACTACATCGTGTGTGATGAGAAGCGAACTGTACATTCGGACTGTCAGGCAACCACGGAGCAAAATCGGTGTACAAATGAATCCAGCATTTCACAACCATTCATTTGGTTAGCTGGTATTGGTTTGCCGCCCATCTTCACCGTACCTCATGCGGAAGGTATAGAGCAGCCATATGATTTTTCTAGCGCACAAGCAGTCGGAGCGGGTGCATTGGTATGTCGAACTACTGCCTGTGTCTCTGAAGGGACAGGAGGCAACAGCGGGAGTGAGAGCTTCTTGTTGATCGGATGTCCCTTTCAGCCGTCCAACTCCTGTTCAAGTAGAACCGTTAAGCGAGTAAGATGAGTGTCCCGAATAAGACAAAGAGCAGTTCAGAGAGAACCGCTTACCAGAGAAGGCAGAGCAGAAGGATAAATGTGTAGTGTTGGCGTTCCAAGGCAATGGTTGTACTGATCATCATTATCTATAACACACCACAAAATTTACATCTACATGTAAAGTCATGTCCATATGCACCCATGTTCAGCCATAAATGTCGTCGCCTGAATTTGGGGTGGGTCAAATAGCCAGGGAAGAATCTTGCTGATGGGCGCGTTACCACAGGGAATCATGATGTTTGATCCTGGCCATGCGACTCAGTGTTATGGTTATGTTGTTTCTCACATGATTGTGCATGGAAATGTACAACCTATTATGACTATTGCCTGGTTTTCGTTGCTTCTTGTCATCTTATTCAAACCACATAATGTAGGGTGGCTGCTTCCACAGCTGGTCCACATAGCACGCTGCCCTATGCACTCAATGGCTTATAAAAGCAGATATAGATTACGCAAAGACACATCTACATAAGGACTAATGAGTCTACTCAATGGTGAAACATGTAGTATAGAGACCAGTAGAGAAAAGGTGTTGAGAGTGATGTATATAGACATTAGCGAGGTAAGGTAGCGGAAGGACAAAGCAGAGGGAGGATGATGAATATCAAAAGGATGGAGGTGATGCAGAGGAAGGAGAGTATAGACTGGAGAAGATAAGCTCAACTCGGGGCAGGAAGGATGTAGCTGATCATGCAATAATGAAGACATGCACAACAGAAAGGAAGCGACAAAAGATCATGGAAGAAGGAAGAAGATGGTACTGACTCTACATCGGAGTCTCAGTAGTTTGCTGTTTCATTACCAGCCAGAAGAGAACATGTACATGAGACAAGAACGTACTATAGATGCATCAGAACATTGTTCAACTTCTCCAATGTAAGTCCTCGGTGACTGTCATCTATGGAGCAAAATGTCAGGTATTGAGTGATAGGGTCGGGGACTGAATGCACGCACCTGACGGAGACTGATGGCCCTCCAGAACTCACTATCATAGTCATAACAGCAGTCTCCAGAGTACGCGTCTGAGAGCAAAGGAGGAAGAGAACGACTTGGAAGTTCAAGTGCAAGTTGAACATTCAACAACGGACGACGCGCGTCGCCTTTTGCTTAGCATTCAAGCTCCGACCCGGCAATCCGCGAGCTTGGGCTTGACTCACGGCCGGGGAACCACTATTTAGCGTGCTCTAAAGGTGTGTCTAAAGAAATTTATATATATTATATGTGGTCTCCCCTTTGGGAAGTACTAAAGAGAAACTTTAGGGTCATCTAAAGGCGGGTCTATGCATTTTCTGTAGAAATGCCGTACAAACGCTAAAGATTGACTTTGGAGGACGCTAAAGGCTGTTGAGCACCTCGGGCTTGCCTTATGTGGCAACCCCGAACCTCTTTAGCATCCTCTAAAGGCAATTCAGATAATAATCAATGGAATTCACTATAGAGCTCGCTAAAGTTTCGCTCTAGAGAGCGCTAAATTGACATCCATATATGACATTTTGACCAAGATTTGGATTCCACTTTAGCGGGCTCTAAATAGTGGTTTCTCGGTCGTGACTTCGATTTCGACCAAGGTTAGCTCGCTACTCGCTACAATCCCTTTGGCTCGATATGGCTAAGTATTGTCGAGTATGCAAGTACTGTAACTGCCCAGAAGTATTTGGCCACCCAGTGTCGCAGGGGTTAGCAGATGCTACCACTTGCAGCAGACCTCTTTTACCCATGTATTTTAGTATACAGTGATTACCATGATATGGAGAATATTGAGACATGAAAAGAATTGCCGAAGACTCAATTGGTGTATGAGGAGAGAGACCATGTGTGGCATGTGTCAAGTGGCACTCCATCCTCCAACAACACACTGGCCTCGTTGGAAGACAAAGCTCTGATCAAAAAATTACAATAAATTGACTGTAGCTAGTATTTGGTATACCACCCCTTTGCCTGAATAAGAGCCTCGATCCGCCTCACAGTACTTCCATACAAAGCCTCCAGGTATTCCTTCCCTAGATTCGCCCATTCCTCCTCTAAAGCTGCCCACAACTCGTCACAATTTGCTGGCGGTGGAGATCGAGCGCGCACCCGTTTATCAAGAGCCTCCCATGCATTCTCTAAGATGTTCATATCTGGAGATTTCGAAGGCCATGGGAGTAATTTGATGCCATTGTCATCGAACCAAGCTCGTGTGCATCGTGATGTGTGCTTGCGATCATTATCTTGCTGGAAGATGATGTCGGAGGGCAGTAGAAAGTGGTCGTCGAGTGTGTGGAGGAGTCCATCTTCGAGTATTGCAACATACTTTTCGGCATCGACCTTGCCTGTGATCCGCACAAGACGTCCGAATCCAAAGCGGGTGATACAACCCCACACCATAACACTTCCACCTCCGTACTTCTCGTGTGCATCCACATACCGCCGGTCAAACCCCTTCCCCCGCTCACACCACACCCATCTATTCCCATCAGAACCGTGTAGGTTGAACTTGGACTCGTCTGAGTACACAATGCGCTTCCAATCATCCACTGTCCACTCCCTGTGCTCCCTTGCCCATTTCCGTCTCGCAGAAGCGTGAGCCGCCTTGAGGTAAAATTTTCGACGCCGTCTGTAAGCTTGAAGGCCTGTGCCTTTGAGCGCACAACGTATGGTCTTGACCGAGGCATCGGGGAACAACTGTCGCTTGACCTCGACAGCGTTGGGAATCTCGCCTGTACGGACTTTTCTAGCAGCGTAGCGAGCGTCGGCCTTGCTGAGGAGCGGTGGGCGGCCAGATTTAGGGGCATAATAGTAGTAAGACTGGCCTGCTTTGATCCTCTCGTAGATATTGGCAGCCGTGGTATGGCTGATGCCAAGTTCCCGTCCAACAGCACGTTGAGACATGCCGTGGTCTATCATAGTCACAATTTTGGCTCGTGAGGCTGGAGAAGTATACCCCATGGTAAGCTGTAGGATATGTGTGCTGGTGATTGTGTTTCTGAGCAGGTGGCTATGGGTGAGGAGTGCAGAGACGAGTGCGAAGAGACACGCAAGCGTGTCGCGACGCGTCTGATTACATAAGTCCATGTGGCCCCGTTCTTTTGTTGCGCGCCTTTGGCATGTCCCGGAGCTCATTCTGCCAGACCATTTCACGAATAGAGAGATAATGTGCATATGATACACATATAATATTTATACAGCCACAGGTATTGTTAATTAGTTATGGTGAGCTATTGAACAAAACCATACGGTGTGGCCAAATTCTTTTGGGCAGTTACAGTAGCTAGCATTGGTGATGCAGACCAAGTATGACCGCAACATCACCTTCGGTCTGAATAAACAGGGAGTGATTCGCGCAGAATAGACAAGAATCCAATTCCGAGTAAGTACCTGAGCGGTATACCGTATTAGTACGCTGGTACTGTTGTATCATCAAGACTCTTGGTAGCCAGTCATCTCGCAGTTTGTTCTGGAAAATGACAGGCGAAGCACAACATGGGGCATGCATGAGCATTACAAATAAATGCATGAGAAATGCATGGCCATGTCAGGTCTGCATGGATCTGCGTGGAAACGCTCGGATCATCATGGTAGCCCTATGGCTATAGTATTCAACAATCTGCATGGAAGATGGATTGCCAGTATTTTATCATTATATAACACTCATTACTATTCCTCATCATTTCAGGTATAAATAAGCATGCCACCCATACATGATCATCTCACTGCTAATTCCGTGGTGCAGGACTGACAAAACAAATCCACATGCTGTCCACTATCGTTCTCATGTCCTGCAGGAAATAGCTGTTCAGCGACTACTAGTGCATAACGACCAGGAAGAAATCATCACCATCGGTATTTAAGAAATTAATATGTAAGATTGAACATCATAGTCTTCGCGCCAGCCGTCGCTCCCCACGCGCAGCAGAGTAGGTTACCAGTGAGGAATCATGGTAAGTTTCTCAGCGCTCAAGCACCTCTCCTATTCCAGCAACACGATATACGAAGAGAACAAAAGTTGGCTCGATCTGCCGTGTCCATGAGCTCGATTGGGTATCGCAGAAGCCCTCTCGAAGCCCTGAAAAAAAATCTCAGAGCGCGTAACAATAGGCACCAAATAGCAAAGACGCTTACCTTCAGCCTCTACCGTGTTGACTAAGTTATCAAGATACGTTCACAAACTGCCTAGCGCTTTCTGATGGATCTCTAGGATTCCGAGCCTAATCCACAAGGAAGAGCCTTATCGTTTCCGAGTCCCTAGAACGGCTACCAGTATCTAGGGATTCCGATTGCCTGACAAGCCCCATTATTTTCCCCTCATATCACTCCGAGAGATCAATGAGAGCGTCTCTGTTACGCCGAGATACTGATCTTCTTCGACGAATTGTCGACAAAAATGAGACTGACTCGAATGCCCAACTGATGCTTGCAAAGCGTGGTCAACATGAGCCCGACAGACTGCGCGCACTTCGTGACACAAGACATAGAGAGCAATTCCAAGTTGAGGCTGGCAAGAGTAGCTCTGAGCTTGCATCGGAAGGTACAGTAGAGGTGAAAAGGTTGATGTTGGACGAAAGTTTCCATTGCGTGGACTTGCAAATTCGCGGACAAACTGTCGGAGTTCAAACCCTCTTGTATTGAACCTTCCGCGCAGCGCGGTCAATCCAATGCGACTCTGGCCAGAAAGGACGGGCGAGCGGGATCGGAACGAGTCTAGGCGAGCACTATGTATCGACTGGCTACTCTGGCGCTACTGCTTCTGTGCGGAAAGACCTACTATGATGAGCGACGGGCTCATCGACGTTCATCTGCGAGGCTATCGTCATGCCTGTATTTCTCAATGCCGAGTAGACAGCGTCTAGTCAAAGGCGCGCCATGCATCCCAGGAAACTCATGTGAACAGTGACGAGCGTCAGTCGTATCCAAAGTAGAACTCACCCATTTCTTGACCTCAAACACGGTCACTCAAGCATTACCCGGAGATCGTACCACGTCAGCTCTAGGCTGCTCAACCCGAATCTGAGTAGAGATGGGTTTGGAATCATGATGATGCATGCATGAGTGAAGAAAAACGAAACAGCCACGGCGCATTAAAAGCAATGATAATGAGAAAGCACCACCACTGCGGGCTGCACATATATGTATATGTATGTAAGAGTGTGTTGAGAGAAGAATTCGAATCCTATGCCATGGAGCCCACAACATAACTCAACTCCTCTTCCTATCCCTCTTCCTCTCCCTTCCCTCCCCTCTGATCCTCAACGACTGAACCTCTTCTTCTACCGCCCAACAACCGCGGAGTCTCCACTACCCGCATCCATCCTCGGCCTCTCGGCGCTCCTGATTCCGCTCCTCCCCGCACTGCCCAACAGAACTTCGGATTCTCCAAGCGAACCGGGGATGAATTCGGCTTCAAGGGGTTCAGATGCAGATGAGGAAGGTGAGGAGGAGGGTGAGGACGAGGATGAGAAGAGGGCGTCGGGGGTGAAGCCGAGGAAGGTGGAGGTGGGGAGGTGGACTTCGTGTGGAGGGGTGCGGGAGAGGTAGAGTCGGTGGAGGGCGTCTTCACATGCCTGTGGTGGGGGTCGGGGGTGATAGGAGTATGTGTTAGTATGGTATTTCGGTTTATGGATTGAGATTGGGGAAGTATGATGGTGAGAGGAAAACGGAACGCGGTTCGGGCGTACGTGGTCACGTGATGGACGCGGAATGAAACGAGCGTAAATTCTAACGCAGAGCACGCGTGGAATGGAGTCCAAAGGAAGGACAGACAAAGGAGATACGCACTCGGTATTCAGCCATCTTCAACGAGCTTCCGAAGCCTTCTCCCAGCTTATCCACACCGGAGTAAGCACCCACCACGAACACAGGAGATATCGAGTGTCGACCTGTCTCCTTGAGCAATCTGTACAGTTTCACAATGACAAATCATTCGTAAGAAACATAGTATCAGTATCACCAGAAGATATACACACCGGGTAACAGGCTTCTCGCGTCCGTATTTGGCGACGGTCTCTATGAGGTTCAACCTCGGGTCGGTGAACTTGAGCATAGTTCGAATGTCCACGTCTCGGCTGAGGAAAAAGGTGTGTGCGAATGATCGTGCGGTGGGGAGAGAGCGTTGTTGATAGACGAGTGCAGTCAGTGCGCGCGGTATTGACGAGAGCGCGGTCGCGTGCAGTATTGGCGGTCGCATTGGATTTGGTGGCTACGGGTACGGCTTTAACGCTGCGCATGAGCAAAACAGAAGTAGATGATGACGCACTGTTCTATGCCATCGTAGGAGAGGAGCGGCACCGATCTCTTTCGCGACACTGGCACAAGTCTGGGGGCCAACGTAGGCACTTACGGCTGCCTTGAGAACCCTCGTCGGAAGATGTGGATAGGATGTATGGAGGAACTCGGACGCGAAGAGACCGAGCAGGGAGTTACCTAGCGTCGCTAGATTGCCATTCGCGTTTAACGACTGCTCGTCCGGATTGTGTTTCGAGTAGAAAGGAAGGTATGACGGGTGGGTGCAGGCCTGCTCGATCTCCTTATTGGACAGCACTTGGGCGAGACCTATACGATGGGCGAGAGCGGTGAATGTAGACTGAGGTGACGGTTGGAGGGCAGCCCATGTCTGGGGGTCCCAGTCTCCCCATTTCGAGGTGGAAGGGGTGCCCGGTGGAGGATGGCGGAGGGCGCCTTTTGGAGGGAATTTTGGGAGCTGGGAGATGGGGACCGAGACTAGCTTTGCGGCTGTGGATGCGAAGCGCTTTTGAACATGGCGACTCGTAGACATCGACCGAGACAGTGAACAAGCTAGCGACAGTCGGTGACGAGCTCGTGTTGTTTGTTCGCGAGTCCGACTTCGTTATGTTCGCGTCGCCCAAATTTTGGCTGTCCGGACTCTTCCGGCACGCGACCTCCTCTTCCGCTCAGCGCACGAGTGTTGCTTCATCCACCGTCTGTGTCTTTTCTTTCCTGGATTACCTTTTACAAAAGGGACCGTATGCGATCTGGGGCTAGTGTCAAGCTCTTCTCCTGACTGTCTTGGTCGAACCTTCTCCTTGCGAGGGGACTAAATATTTGCAACATGGTTCGTTGCAGGTACTTGCTTGCGACATCACAAGAATGGCTGTCAAATTCTGGGAACTTTTGTATATTTCTAGGGGAGCTTTCGTGCTGTTCAGCTGCTTCAGGAATTGTTCTGTGCCGTCTCTCTTAAGACTTGTGGAATCCTTGTGCCCGTCGGTTTATCCTGACCAATCTGCTTAAAGACGCAACGTTTCGGCGATCAGGACAAGAAATCGATGTTACAGACTCTGCATATTTTAAGAGGTTCAACGCCGTTATCCTACGCAGAGTACTCGCGCCAGTCGTCACTCCTCCCGTGTAGCAGAGTAGGTCACTAGTCTACTCTATGCCTTGGAAGCCGCAGACTTCTCGATGGCACTCCGGAATCGAAGACGCCGGTTTTCCTCGAATAATGTGAGTCGTGCAGTAACCTTCGTGGCTATAAACATAGACATTTGAACGATCGATAGTTTATATTAGTTCCCTCATTATTGACCTCTCAAATATTTCCATCAAGACAAGGCCTCTTCGACATCATCGGCTCTTTCACTCTACCGACAATCATACCATCCTCAACCACTACTTACGCGAAGGAAAGTCCTGTTTGAGACTCTCGAGAACTCAGAATGATCTAGATGGTCTCGCCGAGACACTTATGAGATGACAGAATACCTGAGAGGGTGGTGGGCAGTGCAGTAGACCACCGCGCGAATCCGGCTATAGCAACATACAGTACATTGTATTGCTGTCATATATACAACCCATTAGCTAGACAATCAAATATGCCATCCTCCAAGCTAGAAGTTCGCCGTAAGAGACCTACAAACTTGAGAGAGGAAACACGAATTACGCTGGCCACAGTGGCACTTGAACGTGTTCCGCTCAGGGGAAGCCGCGGACGGGAATGGCCGTGGCACCCAGAACGTCTGTACCGCCCTTGACCTGCACAGCCCGCTATACTTCCCCCTCGAGTTTCACGCCTTCCAGACTCGCTTTATTCCCCTTCGAGCCCGACGTCTCCATCACAGCCTTTTCAGCACGTCTGCATCGCTAGCCGGATTGTCTCTTTCTTAACGGCCACGTCGTTCGCGACTAGGATAGGACCCCCACCCGAGCTTTGAACGGAACGTGCGACGTCGAACGATGGCCGTGCTGTCACTACCGCTCTCGTTCACCAACTCGTTCTGGTCACAGGACTATAGGAAAGGTCTCGAGGTGCTTTACCAGAAGCTGGGACAGGTTCGTCTTGTCGCATGTTGCGTTCCTGAGGTACACGGTCTTAAGCAGGATATGTTGTCCACGTAGGGTGTCGCCGAGAATGACGAGATCATAGCGTTCATACGGGTACGAACATATCTTCACTGGTCTTGTCAATCATTCCTGAACTTGACAGTCTGTAAACATAACAGGCTCGCGCTGTCGCAGAAGGCCACATCGCTGCTGCGTTGTCGCATCCTCCTCCGCAAGGTGCGTTCGGGTCCAATGCTATTTCACATCGACTAAAGGTAGCTGCTGTGCAGGAACTGGCTTCAACACGGATGATGGAGCGACGCTGCTCATGGCCTTCCGTGGCCTGCAGGCAGAGACGGCCAAACAAGGCGAGGCGCACAGAAATATCTCTCATGAGTTGCATACCCTCGTCGCAGACCCATTTCAGGAATGGGCTGCCGGCTACAAGGTAACGTGTTCTGCCTCCTAATGATCCACCATAATATTAATTAACGGTTGACTACAGGAGAGGTTGCGGAATAGCAAGCATACCCTGGTGGACGGATACCTGAGGAACTACGAGCACTCGCAGTCCGAGGTGCGTGGATACAACATCAATGACTGGACAAATATTCATCATGTTACGTACAGGTCAATAAACTGAAGAACACGTACTTGACTAAAGTTCGCAAAGCGGACGAGGCTGAGGACGACGCGAAATTCGCGCCTAACAACGACTTCAGCGACAAGTATACCACCTCTCCCCGCCTAGCCCCACAGACTGGCAGCACCACCACCACCACCACAGGTGGACAACCCCCTCAACGCGGCGCCAGCATCTCTGACCGTATCGCCCAACGTCTCAAAGACATCCAGCGCAGGACCGCCACTGCCACCGCCTCTGCGACCGCTTCGCCCGAAGCATCAAAGTACGAGCTCCCTCCCGAAGACGATACCAATGAGAAAGATGGTCTGCTCCCCGCAAAGGTCGACAAAGGCAAGGGCAAAGCGGTCGACTTGCCAGAGGCCCCGCCGCAACTCAGTGTGTCCCCACCCCCGTTGTCGCCCCCGTTGCCACCCTCGAAACTGGGGCTCGAGATCCCTCCATCGTCGCCGATGCCGCCTCCCCCGCCTTCGCCAATGCTCGTGGCGGGCCTTTCGCTGCCTCCTCAGGCTATCTCGTCGCTTCTCACCCGTGCTGCCGCCGAGCTTCCTCTCCGTCCTGTGCGCTTCCCTCTCCTGGGTGAATACCCCGACTGCTTCAGTGGCGAAGAGTTCGTCGTCTGGTTGAACGAGAACGTCCAAGGGTTTGGAGGAAGCCTCGACCGCGCTGAAGACGCTGCGAAGGACCTTACCGAGCGTGATGGGCTGCTCCGTCGCGTGGGCGAGTTCGGAAACTCGTTCGAGAGTTCCGACGATGCGTTCTACCAGTTCAGGACCAAGGCCTTCGACCTCGACAAGACCGTCGCCCGTCCCGCCGATGCCGTCTCTTCTCCTCAGAAATTGACCCCCGTGGCGGAGAACATCATGAAGCGCGGCAACAGCCTGTTCAACGTCGTCTCCAAAGCTCTCAATGCGAACGGGCAGGCCGAACCCCCTCACGTTCGTGCGCGTGCCGATGCCGAAGCCGCGGACAAGACGTATCGTATCGCTGTGCGCAAGCTCGACAGGCAGCGTCTCGGGCTCGAGGAACGTATGGAGGACACGTTCAAGACTTTGCAGAAGTGGGAAGTCGATCGTCTGCGGGCCGTCAAGACCGTTTTGCTCCAATACCACGGAACGCTGTCGAACCTCCCGCGGTCGCTCGAGCCTAGTCTTGAGAGGTCGAACACACTTATTTCGGCGTATTTGCCAGAGGCGGATTTGAATGCGTTGATTGAGAGGTATAGGACGGGTCCGTTCAGGCCGCATCCGCATTTGTATGAGAGCGTGAGTCATGATGAGAGCGATGTGGTGTTTGGGATCGATTTGAGGAAGTGGTATGAGGGCGGGTGGAGTATGGTGAAGAGTGGGGAGGAGAGGAAGGAGGTTGTGCCGCCGGTGTTAACGGCGCTTTTGGAAGGGCTGACTGCGGCATATCCAAAGATCGAGAACGATGAAGGTTAGTGCTCTCCGCCTCTTGTTTTTCGGAACATTTTGTCGACTAATTGGATTATTTGCCGTCGATCTGCAGAGAAGAGGAAGACGTGGATCTACGAGGTTCCACTGCCCGCTGTGCATCATCTCAGGGAAAGCTTGAACGCCGTAGAGCCCGAGCAACCGATCCCAACAGAGATCCTGACGAAATACGACCCTCCGGTGCTCGCTAGTGCCGTCAAGCTGTGGACCCTCGAGCTGGACCCTCCTCTGGCGCTCTGGGAAGGCTGGGAAGAGATTCGTCGCATCTATCCTATTGGTGAGTATTTTTGAACATGGTGCTTCGCTTTGAAAGAAATGAGCTGAAGGTGCTGTGCGTGGTTCCCTTCTGGAATAGTCGGTTCTGCTGTGTTCGAAGATGCGGCAGCGGAGGCGGCACATCTTGAACAGCTTCAAGGGGCATTACAGCGATTGCCGAAGGTTCATCTTTACGTCTTGGACGCTTTGGTGTCTCACCTGAACAAGTGAGCATCTTTACCTTTTTGGGCCCTGAAGGTCCTATTCTGAGCCAATGTCTTTGCGTAGACTTATCGAAAGCACGACCTCCGAGGAACCAAACGAGGTATATGTCACGAAGCTTGCGCTTTCGATTGGCAGGAGTATGTTTAATTCTTCTTCTCTACGATACGTTTTACTGACGTGGTTACTCGTCTTCAGCTGTCCTCCGGCCAAAGTTCGAGACGGAGATGTCGATTCAAGACCGGCATCCTGCCAGTAAGTTCCGGCCACCGTCTTCGTAGCGTGGCGCCTCTGATCACCTTTGCCTTGCAGTGTTCTTCATTGACCTTATCAAGCACTACCAAGAGCTCATCCCAACGACGCTCGCGAAGAAGAAACGCGAATCGGAGCGCAAACTACCAATCCGCAAACGCACCGCCCCCATCGACATGCGTATGTCTCGTTCCCGCCTTTCCGTAGGCACCGACGCTCGCGAATGGCTCGCAGCACAGCGTGCGAACGGGACTGTCCCTCCTCCCGTTCCTCCTGTGCCATCCAAAATCGAAACAGGCGCACCGCCTGTGACAGAAGTCCAGACCCAGCTTTCGGCTGGGACTGTACAGTCACCACCGACTGTGAGCCCGGTGCAGGAAAAACCGGAGGAAGCTGCTGAACTACCGCCGGTGTTGTCCATTCCTGCTCCGGAACAGCCTCCTGTTCCCGAGTTCGTTCCCCCTCCGCCCCCGGTTCCCCAACAACCTCCTATCGTCGAGGCAGCTGCTCCGGAGCCCGTGCGTCCTTCGTTCAAGGAGCCCCCTCCTGAACTCGACGACCTTCCCCCTCGTCCTCCCGCTTTCAGGGAGCCCGATCTCGGTGACGTTTCGCCTCCGCCTCCCAGGCCTACGTTCGCCGAGCCCAAAGAATCGATAGACGACGTCGACCTGAAGTCCCCCTCATCTGCAACCTTTGTCTCTCCCAGCGAAACGCCCAGGTCTTCGAGCCCCAAGAGCCCCGCCGTCCGCGTCCGGACTCCACTCTCCGCCGCTTCCCCCACCGCTCGCAAGTTTACCTCTCGAAGCCCTTCGCCACCCCCCTCCGCTACAGAAGACCGTCCCATCGCTGGCGCGGGTAACCGTGCGTCACTCTCGAGACATGCATCGGGCGAAGCTAGCCGCGTCAGGGGTCCCAGGGGCTCGAGGCCACCTAGGACGGGAGGTGGGAGTAGTGTGAGCAATATGGTGGCGAACTTGAACAGGAATTCATTGGCTGGTTCGCCGACGTCGCCTAGCGCGAGGCCAACATCTCCGCCTGGAAGTGCGACCAGTGGGGGGTTTAAGGGGAGACCGGCGAGTACTCTAATCGAGGACCGGAGGAGGAGTTTGAATAGGGTGGGTGGGACGACTGGGTCAAGGCCCGGGAGCTTATCGAGGAGGACGATGGAGAGCGACGCGGAGGATAATATTGTCAATTGAAGTGTCGTTGGATAGGCGATGCGAAGTGATGCTGGGATCTAAGTATATCGGGGATGCTGACTGTTGATATTTTGGTTTGGGACTTGGGGCTGGGGACTGGTGTGTCTTGGAAAGGTTGGGTCCTGTGGACTGTTCATACGTGGTCTCTAAGATTTGTCTACATGCTCCTTTTTACGTTTCTTTTGGCCTTGAATTATGTCCTTTCATACCATATGCACAATGCTTGCGTCAATATATCCTATAGTCTTCAACTAACCCTCTTACCTGACTGGCCGTGCTTCTTGGGCGGATCCGCACTGGCGTTTGTTCAAGGCCACAGCACGGAGTAGACGGAGGTAAAACGGAAGCAATCGTGGCTTCTGAGCATGACATTGACAGGACAGGTTCAACATACAGAGGAGAGAAACATGCAAACAGATTTATGGTGTGGTATAAGTACATCGTAACTTACAATGAAACGATGAGAGTAAAAGTATGGGGTGAGATATACATGAGATTTGTAGAAATGCAGTCGTTCCATTCATCGAAAGTCCGAAGAAAAAAAGAGCAAGACGCCACACTTTGATATGCGGATGTGGCGCGAACACAGACAAGAAAAGTTGCAAAGACCGACTCCAAGTCAGGACATAGCAAAGTCCTTGTAGATCATCTTTGTTGACTCAGGGTCACCATGATCGAGTCAACGATCGGGAACCAGGCTATTTCGGCTTGGGCTTGGGCCTGCTCGGACCGACCACTGGCTTGTTAGGTCGTCCTTGAGGAGCATTCTTTCCAGTCGAAGGTGCGGCGCCGGGTAACATCTCGTCTTCGTCTTCGTCGTCGGAAAGCGATATGGCCCGGGATGTGGGAGCACTATTCAGAGTGAACGAAAAGAGGTGTCAGAGATCAGTATATACATCCAAAGAGGTCGACTTACGCTCGGCCTCGAGGTCTGAATGTTACCTTTGGAATGCTTGGCAGTCTGGACTTTGGCTTGTCGGCTGGCTCAGTCGTGCTCCCTTGTTGGGATGGCTCGGCAGGAGCAGACGACGTCGATGGATGAGCAGGCTCGACCGGAGAAGCAGACGCAGTATCTTCATCTTCATCCGAGTCTTCGTATTGTGGTTGGTGCCTGTGCAGCAAAAAACCATGGGTCAGTAAGGATTATCAAAGTGAATATAATGGGTAGGATGTTGACAAACCCTGCTTGTGAAGAGGAACCGCGAGGTATGAAGGAAGGCTTTGGTGTGGGCTTTGGCGTCGGCTTGGGCTTGGGCTTCGGTGGAGGACCGACCACGGGTCGGTTGGGCCGTCCAGTATCTGCTGTCGAGGTAGCGCCTAATGTTTGCACGCCCTCTTCCTCGTCATCATCGTCTTCGTATCGAGGTTCGGGAGGCCTATCATGGGAACGGATCATCAAGTAGAAAAAGCAGTGTTAGACGAGAATTATCAGTCTCAACATTCTCGAACAAAGCTCACCCTGGTTTTCCGATGACCCCGCGAGGTTTGAATAAAGGTTGGTTTGATGGCTTGCTCTCGACGGTGCTTTGAGTGGATTGTGATTGCTCAATAGCAACTGGAGGTGGAGATGGAGGCTCTGATGCGGCTGAGGCTGCGGTGTTGGGCACACTGGAGAAAATGCATGGTCAATAACGTCGAAGAAGAACAACTCATACAGAGGAAGCGTACAGTGCGTCTCGATCCTTCTCATCTGACTTCGACTTGGACGAAACGCAAGGAATAAACTTGAGCACGATCTTGGATAACGACCATGCCATGTTGACAGGTGGGGTTGGTAGACGGGACTGTGAGTGCGAAAGACGACTGGTTGATAAAGAGATTCGGTGCTGTGTAGGGATCAACGGTGCCGCAAGCGTCTATTGAATCACCAATAAATTGTCGAGGGTGTCGATGAGTCGTATTGCTAACAAAGAAGCCCGGTTCGCTGTCGATGATCCGAGTGAGCTTTTGGGAGCTTCGCTATCTGGCTGGTTGTCGTGGTGGAGGATGGTAAGAAGCTGGCTTGAAAAAGAAAAGCAGCCGTTTTTATAGCGAACACAGGGGCTGTGTGGCGTTGGGCCTGTGGCCCAGCCCCAAGCAAATACACAGCAACTCACAGCCCCTGCTTCATTGAACGAATGTTTCGGCATAGGAAACGTAAACGACTTTGAATAGCTTGGCAGAACGGGCTGAAAGGGGAGTGACAAGAAATGAGATATCGATATCACACCCAAAACTTTAGATGTGCTCCCCGCTGAGGCCGTGAAACATGTCAGTGTTGTGCGATCGCAACACTTCATCGCTCTGATATGTCAGCGACGTCAATTCCATGACCAAGTACGACTTCCGCAGAAGTTCAGTCTCGAGACTGGCAGCCACGCACAGGTCGACGTCGGCACAAGGTCCGTCACGTTGTGTTCTTTCCGAGGATAGAGTTCTCAATGGAAACATCCCACCTTCGATGCTGCGTGAAGGCGAAAGTAAGGGGACGAGGCCAGGTATCCATTACACGGTACTACATATAGAACAACTCGAAGTATCATATAGAAAGCATTTGGTAAGCGTTTGGAAAACATTTGGAAAGCAGGCAGTGTACGGTGTGTGATGAAAGAGTGGTCAGGAAAGTCCGAAATACGTGATAAGATTCCTATGGACTTGACAGAGAGAAGAAAAGGTAGTCCTAAGACATATCTTCGGCGTGTGCGAGAGATGATGATGATGATGAAACACAGAAGTCCAGGCCTGTAAGCGTCCAAAGCAACATCCTACATGGCCCACCCCTAGTCTTCCTCACATAAATACCGACCGCCGTTAGGGCTTAGGCTTGGGCTTAGGCTTGGGCTTGGACGTGGTGGAAGAACTGGAGAAAGGCTTCGACGGCCTTCCATACAGGCCATCCTTCGCGGCGGGGCCAGATGTTTCTTCGGATTCTTCTTCTTCAGTGGGGGTGGGTGATGGTTTCGCAGTCCTGTTGCAACAATCGTCACTTGTCAAACTGCGAACTGCACCGAAGATTGATGTGATGATGTGATGTCAATGGCTTACTTTCGCCCACGCGGCCTGAAGGAGGGAAGTTTATGGTTTGACATCGTTTCAGGCTCCCGGACAAAGTCATCTGCACCCGGCAGCGCTTCTTGCGGGGCTGTGATGTCGACGGTGTGTGCATCAGAAGTGGACGGAGCATTCTCGTCGCCGTCTTCATCTTCGTATGAGCGTTCAATTCTGTTCGGTGGAGAAGTAGTATGAGTCGATCGGATGAATGAGACGGTTGAAGCGTTTTTCACAGGCGTGCTACAAGAAACATACCCTGATTGTGAGAGGGGCGTGGCGGCTGCCTTGGATTCAGAGACAGTCGTCTTCACGGACGCGACGCCTTCGTCAACAGTGTCGGTCACAGGAGGCGGCGCGGGGTGGAGGGAGCCGCGACGGGACGGGAAAGATGTCACTGGTGCATCACGGACGCTAGTGATGGGAAGAAAGGACGGGTCTGTGAGCACTGGCACTGAGGCCTGATTGGTAAATAGAGACGCACAGTGGATTCCTGTCTTCCTCCTGCATGTCCTGCCCGTTCGAACTTGGCTTGAACGGAATGCATAGGAAGAGCTTGCGGATGAACTTCAGGAATTGGGACGTCATGGTGTTTAGATGTCGAGGGGAAGGATGGTTCGATGGCGGCGGAAGCGGAGGTGAAGAGGCAGGCGGTATTGATGATGGTGAAAAAGACGAGGTCGTGGTGATTGTGGATCTTCTAGTGGTGGTCAAATTGGCCTCAGATTAAGTACCCCATGGATCTCTTCAGCGTGACGTAGTGAATGGCTGTGGTCAGTCAGTTCCTGTCAGTTCGGATCGGACATGAGCAGCTCGAGTCACTGCCGCGGGATATGCAGGACACTGCCCGAAGTAAGATCGGACAATGTGGCTCCTTACTGAACAATAATTAAGGGGGAAGGGGCGTGCCCGAGGGTGAGTCGTGCAATCTCCTCGTTCTGTAAAGCTGAAACAATCAAAGTATGTGTTGCACACCATTCCTCGTGTCTCATTGAGGCTGCCCAAACTGTTCGACACCAAAAATACCAAGAACGCTGTGCATATCACACAGCCAAAGCTTCTGTTTCTCGAATACTTCACCCCCTGAGAGGTAAGCAATTAGGCTTTGGGGCGGCCTCGACAAGTCCCATTAATTCCGGTACAGGTCTGTCAGAGATATTCTGGGCAGAGGAGGGTTGTCGTATTGTTCACATCTGCAAGTGGGACGTGTTCAAGAGCGGTAGGCTGACGTGAATGCTGGTCGATACTATATAGTACACAAGCAGGCCGACTCAGCAAGAGTGCCCAATGATAGGACCCCCGAAAATTGGCTGAGAGGCCATTCGGAACATTCTGAGAAATCCCAAAAATCCCCCGGACAGCATTTTGCCAGTTTTCCCCGGAAAACGAAACGGCCTCAGCGATTTCTGCCAAAATCCCCCGAATTTCCGGAATGGCCTCAGAGCCGAAAAAAAATGCCAAAACATTCCGGAAATAATAATTTTCCTCCCAGGCGTCGGTATCGTGCTCTGGGAGGTCAAAAATCATGTTTGCAAAGTGAAGAACTCACTTTCCATGGCCAGAATGACGATGAACAAACGGGCTGATGTGGCCACACCGAACAGCCAAGGAACGACCAATTTTACCCGGAAAACGAAGAGGCCTCCGGTCTCTAGACTCATTTTACCCCGGTTTTCCGTAACGGCCTGTTGGCCCAATCTGGCCCATTTTCCCCGGAAAACCAAATGGCCTGAGGGGTCCAAAACCCAAAATTTCCCCGTTTTTCCGAATGGCTTCTCAGCCAGTTTTCGGGGGTCCTCCAATGATCTTCTTGAAATTGAAGTCCCGCCACGGCGCTTGCCATGCCGTTCCGGTCCGACCAGTCCGGCTAACCACCCACTTTCCACACTCCCGCCGCAAGTCCCAGGAGCAACACCGGAACCTCCTGCTTCCTTCTCCAATCTGAATTGTTCTATTCCTCTCTCCAGAAGGCAGAATTCTCTATATCGCTCCGATTCTTTAAATGGATGAACTGTCGTAGCGCACCAATATCAAGCTCTAACGTCGTCATTCCCCCTTGTGGATGCACACGTGAACACCAAAGAACCCTTGAGGGTTGAACTTCTCACCACAAACACACTGGCCGAATTGAGTGCTCTTCATTCGGCTCACGCTAAGTATGTCACCTGAAGATGCCTCGTTCAGCCCATAGTCTTTCCGGTTCCTTACGGTAAGCCGTGACGCTGTATGGCCCATCTCCATCTGTCACCGATTGGGGCGGGTATATAAGATGCAGACCGTGTCGGAGTGCCTTGAGAGTTTTTCTTCCACCACGCTTCACGCTACGACGATCATCTAGTGCTTGCTCGTTATGTCTGTTGAAGCAGGCGCGAAACCGGGCTCCTGTGCGTCTTCTGGAAAGCTCGCGGACGAGAAAGGGAGAGTGGCTGTCCGCGAAGATGCAGAGGAACGTGGAGGCATCTATCGCGAGGATATCGATACCTCGGGGGTCAACGAACGCAAGCTCTTGCGCAAAGTCGACATGAGATTGATTCCTTGGTTGTCTTTGCTTTACTTGCTGAGCTTTCTGGACCGGACAAGTATCGGGAACGCTAAGGTATGTGCCACATCTGACAGCGTCGTCTAATACAGCACTAATCATGCGTTCGACTTAGCTTTATGGATTGGAAACGGACTTGCACATCACGGACAAGCAGTATCTGCTGTCTCTTACAATATTTTTCTTCCCGTACGCACTTTTTGAGGTGAGTTCTCCCATACTGCAGAAACTCGCCTCGAGTACCGATTATCGTCTCACCAACCCTACGTCGTATCTCAGGTCCCCTCGAATGTATTTCTGAAACGACTCAGACCGTCAATCTGGCTGTCCGCTATCATGCTATTATGGGGCGTCATGATGGTATATACAATCGTCCGCTCAGCTATTTCCATCCTCTGATCTATTCCTCGAGAAAAGGCCGTGCAGGGATTGGTGCATAATTTTGGAGGACTAATGGGTAAGATACTTCGTGCACTTTCCGCACTTTACTCCCATGTCGCTCATACTCGGTGACATATCGTTCCGTATCTGCTGCAGGCATGAGATTCATGTTGGGTGAGTCCCACTCCAACAGACGGAGATACTCGTAGGAGATCCATTACTATAATTGACCATACTGACTTCTATCCCCTACTCTCTCCGCGTCTCGGATGGGACAGGTCTTATGGAAGCGGGCCTCTTCCCTGGTGTGAATTACTACCTATCATGGTACGTGTCTCCCATACCTTCACGAACTTGTTCGTTTTGTCAGTCGACCGTCCTGTTCCGTCCCCGAGTTACTACCGATGACGAGAAGCTGACATCTCAATGTTTCTTCTCCACGGCACACGCTTCGACACCTCCTGACTCCTAAAGTTGGTACAAACGTTCAGAATTCGGCATACGTGCCGCTATCTTCTTCTCTGCCGCTTCGGTGTCGGGTGCGTTTGGAGGGCTGCTTGCTGTAAGTATTCCCAGTCTGGTCTTGTTCTCCATCCACCTTCACGGCCCATAGTTCAACACATACTTTCGCCGCTCCGCGGACCTCATCCATACTTCCTGACATACGTCCAACCGATACCGATCCTCAAATAGTTTAGTAGTCACACTGACATGCATTGCTTCATGTTTAGGCAGCTATATCTGACATGAAAGGCGTCGGCGGAAAATCCGGGTGGTCATGGATCTTCATCCTCGAAGGTTTAGCCACCGTGCTCGCAGGAGTGCTCAGCTTCTGGGTCATCCAAGATTTCCCAGACACTGCGAAGTTCCTGACCGAGGAAGAGAGGGTGGTGATAATTCGGAGGTTGCAAAGCGATGATCAGTTCAGTGCAGCGGGGGAGAGGTTGAGGTGGAAGTGGATCTGGAAGAGTGTCTTTGATTGGAAGACTTGGGTCGGAAGTGAGTGTCTTTTCTCACCCTGTTGCATTCAATGTACTGATGTTTCATTTGGACTGTGCGCAGTGATAGTCTATGTTGGGAGTGATATGCCGCTTTACGCGTTCAGTCTGTGGGTTCTTCTGGTACCTCATCCTGCACGATATCGCGAGCTCATCTTCATTTGGTGTGCTCTGTAGGTTCCTGCCTAGTATCATCAGCCAGGTTCGCTTCCAATTAGAGGTATCATCGTATATGTTCTGAGAATCTCATTCACCTTCTGGGCCTTCTCATTATTATTCCAGCTCGGTAAGCTTTTCCAGATTCCTCCGACTTTAATGTGTAGTCGTTGGACAGTATTTTGTACTGTGGCCGATGTCGATCACTTCTACAGGCTTCAAGTCAACACCCGCAAACTTACTCACTGTTCCCGTCTACGCCTTTGCCTGCCTCGTCACTTGTCTCGTCGGATGGTATGCCGATCGAATCAAACAGAGAGGACTGTTGAACATGTACGGCTATCCCACACTTAAGGAACATGTGGCTGCGCAATCCGTCGATCGCTAACTTTTTCATAATATAGTGGATTCCTTTTCCTCGGGGGAGCAGGATACATCATCTTGATTGCATCGAGAAGCGCTGCCCTGTCATATTTCGCTGTTTATCTCGCGACTTGGTACGCTTGGGTGCTCTGATCTGGACACACGAGACGCGGCGCTGATAGTTCATTCATCTCATCTCAGTGGTATATATCCACTGATTCGTGAGTGCCTCATTTCTGAAAGCTTCGGAAACTTCTTCCATACTAATAAATGAATATCGTTGTAGCGAATACTATGTATGTTCCTTGACCGTCTCCACTTTGCTGCACTTCTTTGCTGATCAACTATGATATAGCGCGTGGGTCTCCAACAACGTAGAGGGATCATATAAACGATCTGTGACGATAGCCATGGTCATCTCTTTGTGTGTCCCTCTCACCCTTTGCCTGTTAGCAAAGTATGCTCATTCCTTGATCTATCAGCGGTAACATCAACGGAGCAGTTTCTTCCAACGTCGTTCGTCTCTTTGTTCCGACGTATAAATATTTTCTCCGCTGACTTGCATCAATGTTCTGCTCAGTACCGATCCGAAGACCAACCTTGGTACACCCTCGGTCATGGTCTCGTCCTGATGTATATCGGCTTCGGCATTGTAGCGTCTTCCACCTATTACTTTTTCCTACGTCGCGAAAACGCTAGGCGTGACAGGGGTGAACGCGAAGAGGTCATCGAAGGCGTTTATTTGGAACGGATGGGAGCCGATGGTGGAACAGAGAAAGAGAGCGAAGCGGCCAGGGAGGAGAGGGCGAGAAGGAACGGAAGGTTTGAGAGCGTTGAAGCGGCGAGGACGGAGAAGGGGGATGATTGGAGCGGTTATCGGTACACTCTTTGAGCCTGACAGTGTTTGCTACCATCGCCTGGGGTTGCAGGTGCTCAGCGCGGAGGCATGACGCTGGAGGCGATTTCTGACGCTCAGGATGTGTATGAATATGTATGACTACTTACGATGAAATGACTGATGATTATTTGACTGCGATCAAGTCAATCGGAGGGGTGTTTGGTTTCATGAACATGGTCATGACTGAGTATCGTGTACTTGTATTGGGCCACTGTGGCACTTTGTGACACGCAGTAAACACGATCACGTGCGGTCAGGGTAACAAGGGCGCGCCACGCGGCAATACCCTTTCGTTCAACTTGCCTCGTTTTCTCTGTGCCGTCGACTGCTCTGTGGCTCCCATTTCCTCTCGTTCGACACCGCCGAAACAAGTGGCTCCAGTATTGTACTAGTGATACCTTATACTTAAGTTTGGTAAGTTGAAGTACGTCAGTTTTGCGTATCCGCCGGCGACTCTGACAACTTAAACTGGACCAGCACCCACTCAAAACCGTCCCGCCGTCTCAAAGATATGAGCAACATGGCTCTTCTAGAGACGCCATCTCGTATATGGAGGCGTATAGAAGACAATGAAGGGCAAGATATGCCCTCTCTACCCTCTCTACCCGCCTTCGAGGACTCCGCATACCCAGACCACACGGCCACCTCCGAAGATGATCACAACAACAACTCACAGTCATTGACCGATCCCAATCTTTCGCTGTCTCTTCCCTATACCTCTACGCCCGCAGCCATCTCGGTCCACACTGCTACCACCATCAGGCCTCCTTCGAGTACAACGAGTACAACACGGTTCGCACATTCGATTGATAGTCGGAGTCATGGACGATCAGGCTCTGGTGCCGGGTTTTCTACTGTATCTAATACTGGCTCCTTCAGACTAGGAAGATCCGATACGCGATCCCCTCAGACCCGGGCAAACAGCTTCACTCGCAATAGCTTCAACGACATCAGCATAATTCCTTCTCTGCCACAGATAGATCCAGAGCCTGGCAGTGATGAGGACATGGACTTGAGTGATAGTCACGGTGGAATGCTGAAGAGTACGAATGCTGGAAGTGCGGGCGATGCAGATGGAGATGATTACTCACTTGCGGAGGCGCTGGGTTCTGTTAGTCGGACAGGTTCACCATTTCCGCCGGAGGAGATGGAAGTGGACCATGGATCGCAATCGAAGTCAAGGAAGTACGATTATTCCATCAAGTCAGAGACGAGTAGGGTGAGTGCTTTCATTTTGACAGAATCAGGTGAATTTCAATAGATACCCTTGCAGGCCACTCCCTTCGATAAACTTCGCAACGTCACGTTACGGAATACCGTAATAGGGAGACGTACGCCGTCCCTTACTCATACCATTCCATCACCGTCCTCCTCTTCATCGAACTCGACACCTCAGAGCAGCCGGTCCTTTGGGCCTCCTCGCCCACGCGAAGCATCACCTCGTTCACCATTCGCGATCCCCCTTCCGCCCTCGAATAACAACTCTCCCGCATATGAATACTCTCGATCTCGGTCCTTCCCTCGACACGAAGAAGGGCAAGAGCAAGACATCACAGAGGAAGCAAATGACCAAACTAGCTCGCAACAGCCTACGGACGATGAACAACGCCACCCATACGACACGAGCGACATGGACCTCGATGTCGACGTCGACCTTCCTTCTCTTCCACACCCGGAAGATAGTCCGCCCGAGCGTAGTGAGGTGAACGACGAACCCACTACCGATGAGCGCACTGTCAGCTCGCAATCCCACTCGCGAACTGTCCGCGAACCTACATTTTCATCTGAAGAGGCGACCCCAATGCCGCATTACCGCTCACCCGCCCTGGTGCTCCCTCCTTCGACGCTCCATTCACCCACACCATCACAATACTCTAACGCCCTTTCTCCACCCGCTCCGTCCACCGCGCACTCTTCTCCTGCAGGGTCGGTCATGTTCACGCCAACACCGGCTTTTCAACCACGACCTCGCGCTCGTTTCCAGATCACTGCCCCCATGGCCACTCCGGCACCGGCAGTGCCGTCCACCTCCGCTTTCTTCGGCGTACCGGCGACTCCTGCTAACTATGGCAGCCAGGGTACTGGGGGATACGACGAAGAACTTGACTTTACCACACCATTCGCAAAGAAGAAATCATTCCTGATTGACGTTATTAACTCAACGGCAAGACCTCGATACGCCGCCCATCCTACACCTCACCCTCGCCATGTCGCCGAGACTCCGGAACCAGTCTCTAGTACAAGTGGTGGCAGCGGCTCTGTTCGTGGTAACAGCCTCAGCCCCGCAGCGAACATAACTGTGACTGCCAGTGGCAGCGGTAGCGGAAGTGGAGATGGCTTGACGGACGAAAGCGCGTCTACTGGAGGCCGATTGCAAGCCCCCTTCGTAGGTGTCACTCCTCGTCCCCGTGCGCGAGGCGGGCGATTCTCCCATCCTCTTGCTCAAGGTTGGACTGCGTCCTCCGAATCAAATGTTAATCACGACGATGCAAGAAGTGCAGCTCATTCCGAAGGTTCACAATCGCCATACGAGTACGGGACTGATCGAGCCTCATTCATCTCCACTGCTTCCTCGCACGATCTTACGACTCAGCCACACGCGCGTGCTAATGCATCTTTCGATCCTGTCATGGGGCTAGGAGCTGGTGGGCATGGAGTTGGAAGGTTCAATGCAGGGAAGTTGAATAGTTATCTGCACGGATTGAACAGAAGATTGCAGGAGGAGAATGAAGGCATGGGCAGGATTGTGGGAGCATTGAAGGTGGAGAATGGGCATCTGGTGGCGGAAGTTGAGGAGCTGAGGAGGATGGTAGAGAATGGTATTGGGGCGGAGACAGGAATGGGGGGAATGGATCTAAGGAGTGCCGGCAGAAGGAGGAGGAGCTCAGGCGCGGGAAGGCCGAGGATAAGTGATATCGGGCTTGGCTTGGATAATGTGGCGGAAGATATAGGTGGGGAGGGGTGGATGGAAGAGAAAGTGGCGATGGAGGAGGAATTGGAGAACTTGAGATCTGAGTTGGATCGGTGTGTGCAGGAGAAGGAGGATGTGAACCAGAGGTATCAGGCAGAGAACGCGGATCGCATGAAGGATAAGGAGAGGTGGAGAGAGCGTATGGGCGAGGTGGAAAAGGGGGTGGAGAGGATCGTGCAGGACTTGGAGAGCAAACTGGCAGATGCGGAGGCCAGAGCTACTGGGGCCGACAAGATCAAGGAGAACGTGAAGGAGCTGGAGAGGGCCTTGGAGAAATGTGAGGCAGAGAGAGAGTTTTCCGTGAGGAGGGCTGAGCAGGCAGAACGGATGATGGGAAGTGGGGGCGTCGGCCACGAACTGCGGGACGCGAACGAGAAACTTGGTCAAACTATGGCTGAGCTTCGGGACGCCAAGTCCCAAATTCGAAGCCTCGACGACGAGCTTACGGAGGCGGACAACCGGATCTCTAACCTCGAGCAGAAGTGCAGGGACGAACGATCAAAGTCTCGTGGGCTCGAGGAACAGCTCAAGGCGAAGGAAGAACAGTTGACTACAGCCGAGCGCCAAATTGCAGAGAAGGAGTCGGTCATACAGGATGCAGAGGCGGAATTGGAAGCTGCTCAAGGCTACATCCTCAACCTCGAAGCTGACGCCACCACTGCCGCCGAACGCATCCACGTCCAGGACGAGGAACTCGCTGAACTCCACGACAAGCTTTCTGCTTCTCGTGCCGAAGACGAAGACGCCCAGGAAGCCATGGCCGAACTTGAGGAAGAGGCCGAGCGCAACAAGGAGCTTGCTCGTCAGATGGAGGAGGCCCTCGAAGCCACAGAGGCCAAGATGTCCCAGGACGAGGCAGCATTGACAGATCTTCGTAGCAAGTTGGCTGCTCTTGAGCGTAAGCGCGAACACTCGGGCTCCCATATTGATCCTTCGAGGGACATGGACACTGCTTTTGAAGAAGCCGCGGCTCAAGTCGAGGCGTTGGAAGAAGAGTTGGACGAGGCGCACAAGGAAATCGGGAGGTTGAACGGCCTGTTAGCGCAATCTCCTGCTCGCAAGGCCATCGACAGAGCTCGGGACGCCAAGGTTGAGGTGCTGGAGAGGGAGCGAGACGAGTTGCTGGAGAGGGTTAAAGGTCTCAAGAGTAACTTGTCCATGGCTACGCCCAGCAGGATCCTTAGCAACACGAGCGGCATCTCTCCCTTCCATCGCCACGCCCTCAATATGACGTTGAAGACACCTAAGACGCCTGGAGCCCCTTTGAAAGACGTGAGTTTAATCGAGCTTTTCGCTATTTCATAGTGCTATCTGTTACTGAACGAAGATCGTGACTCGTATATAGCTTACTTGGTTGAATTCCCCCACGAATGGTGGTGTTGATGCATCGCCCTACGTTCACGAGGTTGAACGCTTGCAAAGTGAGGTCGAAGAGCTGAACGAAGTTCTTGACGAAAAATTGGACCGACTCCAAGAGGCCGATTTCGGCGCCGTCCGGCTTAGGCAGCAACTTGAAGAAGAACGGACTCGAGTTGTGGCCGTGGAAGACGAAATAGCGCGATTGATGAGAAAAGAAGAGCGTAGGACACGTAGACTCGAGAAGGTACGATGCCAGAAGTGCCATACGAAGGTCGACATGCATGCTTTCAGCCGACTTGCCGAAGGAGATGAGAGGTATTTGGTTTTGTCTTCCCCCTGTCCGGATTCGCATCATGATATTAACGATGTGATTATAGCTCGATCCTAGAACGCTCGTCGTTGAACCTCTCTGAGCCTCCTACTCCACCCAACAAAAGCTCTGAAGCCCTCCGATCTGAGCTCAAAGCCGTGAACTCACAACTTCGTTCCATGAAACGTCAATGGGACGAGGAAAAGCGTAAACTTCTCGGTGATCAGGTGGCTTTGAAGGATGCAGCGAATCGCCTGAATCAGGAGGTTCAAGAGGCGAAGGAACGAATCGCGGAGAAGACACGGGCAGGAGAGAGGGCGAAGGCTGGTGTACAGGAGGTAAGACCGTTGTCTCTACATTGTATATCTGGAGCGTCTACTGATTCAAGTCATGTAGGACTTGGAACAGGCTAGAAAGGTCATTAGCGAACTTGAGGACGCTCTTAAGACAGAGCGTACGAGGTTGAGGGCGCTGAACGCCGAGCAAGGTCGTTGGGACCGGGAGAAGCAGGACATCATGCTTCAATTACGTCGGACAGAATCTGTTCGTTTATCCGGCTACCTGGCCCATGTACTTGGATACTAACTACTCACCCTCAATTAGGATATGGAAGACGTCAAACACCATTTGCAGCGGGTCAAGAAGAATAGTAACGACCTCGAAGGCGAGCTCCGAGGTGATTCATTCGTATCGCTGCACGTTGTTCCCTTCTTCCTAACCGTGCAAATCCTCTAGTCACTGCCAATGCCGAACAGAAAGCTCGCTTGCTCGAGAGCAAAGTCGCCGAGAACCAGGACACTATCGAGCAACTGCGTCAGGAACGTTCCATGCTCGCCGCCGACCACAAAGCCCTCCAACGACGCTATACAGAGGCTTCAGAGGTGATCATTCCAATGTCTATTTTGTACCATACACCGTACTGATTGAATGTCTCCTTTACGCCTACAAATAGCGCCTTGCCAAGCTACGCGACGAGCGCGCCGCCCATCAAACCTCGCACGACGATCGCCGTCACGCACTCGACCTTCGTCTCCTAGAGATCGAAGATCTTCGCCGTGCCCTCTCCGATCTCACGACTGCCCAAACCGAAACCCATCGCCAAACCCAGACCCTCGCACAAACCCAGACTCAACTCAGCCAGACACACCAACAACAGAAAGAACAGCTCCAGCACGAGATTGCACTCAGGAAAGAACATTCTGAGATCATTTCCTCGCTTGAGGCTGATCTGGTGCGTATGAGGAAGTCAGCGGAGGGGTTGGGCAAGGATTTGAAAAAGGAGAGGGAGCAGAGAGAGAAGGAGCAGAAGGAGAGGAAGGAGGAGGAGAGGAGGAACGAAAGAAATCTCAGGAAGGAGGTGGAGGACATGAAGAGAGAGGTGGAGAAGATGGAGAGAGGTAAGAAGCAGGCTGGGGCGGAGGTGAGGGTGTTGAGAGAGCGGATCGGCATGCTTGAGGGACAGAAGAGTAGTTGGGAGGATCATGTCTGTGAAGCGTGAGCAGTTTTTTCCTCCTACCCATCATGAGTGATCTGGTTCACTGACGACTATTTTCTTCGCGATGTAGGAACGGCGACCAGGTCGAAGCTCTACGCGCGCAACACAAACTTGAGAGCAAAGGGCTCATCGTTCAGATACGGTATCTCAAGGCCAAGTTCACTCGTGAGAGCATGCTTCGGATAGACCTCGCGTACCAGAAGAAGTATTTGATGGTGTTGCTGGCTCGATCTGAGAGAGGGTACGTGCCAATGCCTTTTCTTTTCTTTGATGCCATGCTGAGTTGTGTTTCAATTTTCTTCATGTTGAATAGAGATGAGAAGATCGTGGCCTCCATCGCGCGGATCGGGTTCCCGGTAGCTCCTGTGGTCCAAAAGACGTCGAAGAAGAGGAAGACGGTGAGGGCGGTCGCGCTGGGTGTTATGTTCTTGCAAAGGGCCCGGTAAGTTGGAACCCCCTCATCTCCCGTGTATAGCTCATATATCCTAATGCATATTTTACAGTCGTGCAAGCGAAGTCTGGCGGAACCAATGTGCTCAGAAGCCCGCAGTACAAGCCGCCCTTGAGGAGGTCCGACGCAGACGAGTCGAGAACGGCACAGGTGGTCGAGCTAGCGGTAGTGGCAGCAGACCATAGACATGAACCATATGTACATTGGCGATTTCCTTTACATTTCATTGGTCAGATATACTCGCATCCAGTTTCTAAGAGTCCTAATCTCCTCTCTATGTCCTTTTTTCGCTGGTTTCGTAGTCTGGATTATGGATTGACTGGGATTCGCTCGAACCAGCATGACATGCACTGTGTCATTGGTTCACTTCACCTCACTTCTATTATTCACTTTCAACTTACTTACAATACAGCGACACCGGTCTTCTTTCGTTCCTTCCTTCTCGTGCTTTCGTCTGTCGTGTTCGCGTTCTTCGATCTCCGTGTTTTGTGTTCTCAGCTCTGTCCCATTCAACGATGTATCCCCACTCGCCACCGCCACATTCTCCATTATCTCGTTCTGGTTAGGTTACTGAAAGAGAAGAGAAGTCACGTATAGCATGTAATACGTTCTTGTTTTATATACTGTTTATTCGGTTTTTCGGAAGAGTATGTTTCTGACATTTGATGTAATATGTGTCTGCTAGAGCAAGAAGCCTGCGTGTCGCATAACCTCACAGTGCTAGATTTCTATCAAACTATCGCTTCGAGCTGAACCGTATTCCGTCGTTGAGGGCAGTGAAGATGAAGCGGAATATCGACCACTGATTCGCACTGTTTGATGGCGTACGATGGTGCTGACCGACTGACTACGAAGGCGGAGGAGTCGGTGGCGGTGGCGGGGTGCCAGGCGGGACTTTCGCATTTTTGGCTACCACACGGAATCCATTCTTCGCGAAGACATATGAGAGGCCGCTCCAAACCGTTGTTGCTGCAACGGTCCATCTGGAAATGATCATAATGAGGTCACAATCACAAGGTGAGAGGACGTGAAACGTACTGCAGGCCCCAGAGGAATGTGGAAATGTCGTGCGGCATAAGGGGTCCGACGGTTGTTACACCCATGAGCAACAATTGTAGAGCGGTATTGACCTGGTTCAAGGCAAAGAGGTCAGATATGTGGTATAAAAGGGTACTAGTATGGACTAGCCCACCTTGCTGATCTGCGTGGGGCGCACCTCAGCGGAAGGGATAGAGAAATCCCAATACCGCTGGAATGTTTTCTAAAGTGTGGCCCAAACACAAGTGTTCAACACGCCACGTCATCCCCAGAAGAGGAGAGGCGCGCGTACCGGAGGAGGAAGAGAAGTGTATCGTATGTAGAACGCCGACAGACTAAGAAGTACATCTCGTCCAAGGATGACCACCGCCAGAGGAACTAGCAGCACATTTGTCACGCGTGTGCGACATGAGATGGTAGGGTAAGCGTACGAGGCAGTAGATCCTTCATGGCCAGAGTTATAACAAGTGTCGTCATGAGAGCTTTATCGGCCGCTGGGTCAAGAATTGTTCCCATGACGGATTGCATATTGAATCGACGTGCGAGGAACCCGTCAACCTGCAAGAAACAGAGTTCATTCAACACTTCTCACAATCCCAAACGCGCCGTTCGAAACAGCAGGTATTCGGACGTACCCAGTCAGTCACCCCAGCATACGCCAACAGTCCTGTCGCAAGTAGATAATCGTCCGATAGAATAGCCCAACCAAGAACAGGGCACGCTGCGATTCGAGAGGCGGTGAGCAAGTTGGGTAACGTGTAGATGTTTTCGTGTATTGCTTTTGCCAGACTATCAAATTTAGGCGGTATCGGGTCTAAGTCATTCTGAGATCCTGTAGAAGTAGGTTTATTATCTTTCTGAGGTATCTTTGAGCTGTAATGACATTGTTGGAAACGCCGTTGAACTGGAAAGTCGAGAAGTCGGGACGGTGGCCGCAGGAAACATGGATACGATGGATTTATGCGTAAGGATGTTGAGAATTTCGAGACTTTGAGATGTCGTGGCACAGAAACCTCGGCATGCCATAGTGTCCTAGAGACCGTGGGCCAGATATGGCGTGCAGAGTACATCGAAGAGGACATCGAACAAGGCGCCAGGCTTGGCTGGAGGTCCTTGCCCCTGAGGCCACTCTGTTGGATTTATAATTCATAGCGCTATATATATATCACACAATTTGCTAAATTATATAATATTAATAACGCGAAGGTCTTGGGTTCAATCCCCACAATGGCCACTGCTGGAATGCTACATCCATTGTTTTTGTTTTCTGCTGAGACAGGATCTAGTTTCACATAGTGGTAAGTAGCAGGGATGAGAGCGTGCGTGAGATGAGGCCTTACAGAGACATGTGCATGGAGAACTTTTGTTGTGATTTATCATATCCTGTGCGGTGTATGGTGGCGGTAGCCACTTCATGTCACACCGTATTCAATTTTTTCTTGACCTGAAAATAGGATTTCTGGACTCAGGGACCCTCATTCCAGAGTAAATCCGCCATTTCGAAGTCAGGGGATTTTCCTAACCCTAACCCTAACCAAACGGCCAAATTTCTGGTGAAGACCCACACCAGGAACCCTAAGTACCCAAGATATATTGACTAAAAAAATTTCATGATGTGTATATACCTGGAACATCGTGAAGTCTGGTTGTATATTTGCTTGTACAGTCTTCAAACAGACGTTGGAGAAGACTGGCAGGCTACGGTGGTGGAGTGGCGGGGTGGCGGACGACCACACGTGTGACAAATCATGCCCAGTATGGTAATGTCACACGCACGTGGTGTGACAAACGGCCAAATTTCTCTGACGAAAACCCCCCCGGAGAATTTTTAAAAAGTGCACCGACCATCCTCTAGATACCCTCCCTGGGGTCTTATATATGAAGCAACAAGCCGCCAAACCCCCGAATCCGTGTTCCATTAAGCAAAGGGTTCCGCGGCACAAGGCTTGCCATGAAGTGGCTACCGCCACCATACGCGTCCCTCGCGCGTCACGTCCTTCTCAGCTTACGAGAGGTTCGTCAGCATACCTCGAAACATCTCGAATATTCTCCTTGCCTAACAGAAAGATGATTTTCTACACCTATTGACATTAATATTCAGATCTCACACAGAGGTTCAAACTATCCAATTACCCTTCCATCAGACGCCACCCTCGCAGAGCTCAGGTCCTCCATCGCGGAGCTGACAAATATACCTCCTACGAACCAGAAGTTACTCTACAAGGGCAAGAAAGCTTCACACGGAGATGATACAACACTGTCCGATGCAGGGTTCAAGGATGGGTTTAAGTTGCAGATGTTGGGGAACACGGACGAGGAGTTGGGCGGTTTGAGAAAGGTGGAGGATGAACAGAAGAGGGTGGAAAGGATTATGCAGGAGAGGCAAGCAAAGGGTACCGTAAAGGTGCGTGGCTTTTCATTCATTATTTTCTGGGTTGCGGATTGACGAAACTATGCCCACTATACGGATAGGTTCGCTCGACAGGTTCTTCGTCCTCCGCTGCCCTCAAGTATCGCTTCCACCGCATCGAACCCCTTCCACACCTACCCAATCCATCCTCGGCTCTCTCCTTCCTTCAACGGCTTGCATCAGACCCAGCTATCAAGCATGTCATGCAGACCAACCGGCTCGAAGTCGGTCTGCTGACAGAGCTTGCGCCACACGAGCATCCGGACCTACTTGGTCTGAACGTGAATGCGGGACAGGCGATCAAGTTGCGGATACGGACCAACGCGTATGATGGGTTTAAGCTGTACGCGGATGTGAGGAAGGTTCTGTGCCATGAGTTGACACACAATGTTTGGGGTAATCACGACGACGATGTGCGTATCGTTGATTAATTGTCTACGGCGCCGTGACTGACGAAATATATTCGTGGATAGTTCAAGGAGATGAACTCCCGACTGAACCGAGAGGTCCTCGCATATGAGCAAGCTGCGAAAGCCGGCACACATACCCTCGGAGGGTCGTACCCTGTATACGAGTCATCCTCCGAGCCCGAGCTCGAAGCTGCCCACGTTCTCGGCGGATCAGGTGTGGCGTCTTTAGCGAATGAGACCCCCGAGGATCGCAGAAGAAAGATACTCAGTGCGACGATGAGTCGGCTGAGAAAGGAAGAGGAGGAGCTGGAGCAAAGCTGTGGAACAGCGGGGCCGGCGAGAGAGCAAGACCAGGAGACTGCATAGTGGAGATACTGCAAGGTTTTGAGGCTTCACCATACTCCTGCCTGGTGTGCAGTTCGGGTCGTGGTATGGGCTCGGCATAGACTGAGGGCGCTGTTGTCTGAACTAGGGACTTTGGTACTGTACTTTTATCGCGCGATATAACTTTATCTACTTGGATTATAATATTGTACTTTCTACTCACCGGCTGGCTGCTTAAGGAGTGTCGGGGCCCGCGAGCAAAATACCAGAAGAAAACAATCGCTCGTCAGAGTAAAGCAACCAAACGCCGTCGCCGAACTTAGATGAACGACAGAAGGCCGGGGATATCCGGGATCTAGCAGATGTCCTCAGGCATACAACGTCAAGGTAAATGGGAATAAGACCCCTTCAATGGTGAGTGTTTACGTGGTAAGCGAGTATAGTAAATAGTAGGATATCCGACCAGGGAAAGAGTTCATTTGTATATATACCATGGGAATGCAAGGAAGAGCTATGGCCACGGTATCATAGTGAATAGTGATAATAATGATGGAGGTCAATGTTTGAGCCTGACCATAAAGTATGCTTCGATTTGGCATGCCCAACCGGGGGCATAAACCATAGGACCCTTTTTAAATAAGCGAGCCAGGCAACAGATAGACAGAAATGAAGGGATTGCCTTGACCTCGATGACTTAGATGACTTGAGTCGACAGATTCTTCAAAGTTGATAGACTCTTCAAACCCCGGGAATAAGCTGAAGCAGAGGCATGATAGATCCTTTAGAGACCCATGTCAAGCCGACGAGACGAATGTATTGCGACGTCACCCGGCCGTACCCAGCGATGACGATGTCATGGTCCTAAATCCACAGTGTTGTCAACACTCAGACATCAGAGTCGTGATGAAGGATATCGTGGCCTCACCCTCAGATATGAGTCCACCCGCCGACAGATAACTTTCGCTAGCTCTGATTTCGTGATAGGTCTTCTCCCGCTCTTACGACCTTTCCAGAGTTGAATCTGCTTCGTCGTCACACTAGGTTGACCAACGGGCTAGAGTGCAAATTATATCAACTGCCCATGAAATGAGTAGATCTAAATCAATGCATACCCAGATATGCAACTTGCAGGAGTAGAGGCCCCCCAACGGTGCCTGTTCGTCGCCTTCCTTGATAAGGCGGAATCGGCCCCTAGCACCGTTCAATACATTTATTCCCATTGAAGGAATCGAACCGGCTGGATGTGTCTCGCGACACCGGAACCACACCGGCCATGAGAGGACAGCTAAATGGTCTTCTCTGGCTGTCCCTTCGTAAGGGATCCACAGTCTCTGGCGTAGCATCGGGACTGAGACACTTTCGGAGGCAGAATAGCTCCAGTTTGAAAGGAGCAAGTGGAATCCGAGTGGCCAAGCGTGATCTGCATCGAACGAATCACGCAGATAGGTACCCTCGGATGGGCCGTAGTCCTGTGAAGATATCCGTCAGCATTAGACTTCATTATGACTGACATCATGCCGCTACCTCCATCATCAACGAGAACTAGTCGAACACAAGGAATGGGTGGATGAAGGACTCGGTGGGGGAGGTGTTCACAAGTACCCTGGGCTTGATATATAACGGTCGAGCCCTCAAGAAAATGTGCAATACACGGGTTCATCCCTGATACAGGTGAATCGGGGAGTCGGTCAGCGTTACACGTGGATCAACCTGCCGAATCTCTTTGATCGATCTGAGATCATCTATGCTGCCCACGACTTCAGCGACGGAGATGACGACGTGGAATGGAGAGGTACATACCTGGGGACGAACTCACAGAAGTGTGCCCTGTGCGCGAGCCTAAAACTCTGACGAATGCGGTATGCGGGACACAATGCGAAGGACATGAGGTCTCTGTCCCGCACATCGAATGATGCAAGATCCAGACTCCCCACGAAACCAGGCCCCTGTCACTGGATATCGTCAAAGTTAAAAGCAACTATCCTTTGGCTGAGACGCTTCCAGGTATGATTCTGTGAGCAAGGAGCAGCCGCGCGGAAACCGATCACAAATATCAGCACTGGATTACTGCCAAAAAAACGAGACCTTGTGTCAAAACAAGACAATGACAACGCACCTGGCCTTGAATTTGCCTGTTTTCACAGAGACAAGCTGCCAAGCTGCACCAACGATAGAGCTAAGAAAATATTTTCGTCAATCGGATGCCAAAGAGTAACCCTATCAGAGTTTGAGAGAATTCGATGGGAATGAAGCGAACAACGTTGTTCACCTGGTTAGGGAGACCTACACTTGTGAGCACCTCCAACAAGACGCTACTTCCGCTCCTGATGTGAATCAAGTCCGAGGACTGAATCCCTTGAGTAGACACTCTGTAGACTGCTGTCTAACACGATCGCTCGTCAAGAACAACTTATAGTCAGAAGGCCAGCATAACGTGAAGCACGCCAATAGGGGTAGGTGTCTTTAGCACGCACAAACGGCACGCATCAAGGCATCACATCTCGTAAAAGGCCTAAGCTCTCCGTGTAGTCTTCGATGCCTGCGAAGGCGGGTAGGAGTGGATCGAAAGGGGCATGGTAGGCACCGTGCACATCCGCTGTACAGACCAGACCAATCTCCAAGTCCCTGGTGAATCAGTGTGATGCCAGGTCTGATTGCCATGCTGTCGTCGCGCCTGTGAGAGACATGGCGTTGCTAAAAATATAGACGGCAAACTGGAAGATGAGCGGCTCGTGGATTCCCGAGTCACGGTCCCCAGTATTATTCTGGCTAAGATGCTCAAAGCGAATCCTGTTGATACGCTAGCGAACAAGTGCTGCAATGTTTGGGAGGACTTCAACTGCCATGTGGCACCAAGATCGACGAAGTTGATGCCATTGCCTGCTTCCATCGTCGGCGATAAAACACGCGCGGAGCCACCTCCAGACGGATATAACGCAGAAACATGCGTCAAACATCATCTTAGTCGGCGATATAAAGCGATTCTGAGTCATCTTCGATATCACGATGCAATGCGAGTACGCAACTGGTTCGTCAACTCAAAACACCGGTAGAAAGATTCTTCCCTCGAGCGGACTCCATTATGGACCTGACGCTTGTCCCAATTGAACCGTGTTGAACGTTCAAATCCTCGAGGCTGCATGCATACGCCCTTACTTATAGGCGCAAGGATGGTTTCCTCAAGCCCCACTGATTGTCTTCACGCTCTCCAGCCAACATCGTCACGGTACCCTCTTCCCTCTTGTCAAGAACAATGCCCGCCCGCTACCACGCAGACGATGTCGATCCTGCCCCGCTGGGCCAACCTCTTCACTTCACCTTTTCAGGCCGCACCGCGCCCAACCGTTTCCTAAAATCTGCCATGACCGAACGTCTCTCCTCCTTCCACCCCACCGACCTACCCTCTCGTGGCGTGCCGTCTTCAAACTACGTCAATCTCTACAGACGCTGGGGCGAAGGCCAAATCGGTCTCATTGTCTCGGGAAACATCCAGATCGAGTACGAACACCTCGAAGCGACGGGGAACGCCATCATCCCGAGGGAGGCGAAGTTCGAAGGGGTGAGGTTTGAGAGGTTTAGGGAGGCAGCGAGTGAGGGGAAGAAGAATGGGAGTTTGTTCGTGGGGCAGGTTAGCCATCCTGGAAGACAAGTTCCCGACACGATCCAGTCCCATCCCATCTCCGCGAGCGACATTCAGCTCCCAGGTAAGCTAGAGCCATCCATCCATCTCTCCTTCCTCACTACGCACTACGCGCACAGTTTCTGAATCACCGAACGTGCAGGCAATGCCAATGGCATAACTTTCGCCAAGCCGCGCGCCGCCTCGCTTGAAGACATCCAAAACATCATCTCAGGCTTCGTTCATGCCGCCTCATACCTCGAGAAGGCCGGCTTCGACGGTATTCAGCTGCACGGCGCCTATGGCTACCTCATCGCACAGTTTCTCTCCCAAACCACCAACAAACGGACCGATTGATACGGCGGCTCGGTCACCAACCGTGCCCGCCTCATCGTCGAAATCGGACAAGGCGTCCGTAAAGCCACCTCTCCTTCCTTTATCCTCGGCATCAAGCTCAACAGCCAGGAATTCCAGGAGGGCGGGCTGCAGGCGGAGGAGGCAAGAGAGGTGTGCAGAATCTTGGAGGAGAACACGTTCGATTTTGTGGAGCTGTCGGGAGGGACGTCCGAGGCGTTGGGATGGGAACATAAGCGAGAGAGTACGAGGAAGAGGGAGGCGTTCTTCATCGAGTTTGCGGAGAAGATCGTGCCCGCGTTGTCCAAAACGAAGGCGTACATCACGGGTGGGTTCAAGACCGCAGGAGCGATGGTGAAGGCTTTGGATACCGTCGACGGTGTCGGCCTTGCGCGTACTTTGTGCCAGGAGCCGTGTCTGTGCAGGGACATTTTGTCGGGGAAGGTGAAGGGTGCGATCCAGCAGAGGTTCGACCCGAACGATATTGGGGGCACGGTACTGGCAGCGGGGGCACTGCTCACGCAAATAAGCAAGGATCACGAGCCTGTAGATTTGAGTTCTGAGGAGAACCTGGCTGCTTACTTGAAGGATGTAGAGCTGTGGGTGAAGGCATCTAAGGATGGTGCGGCGTATGGGCACCCGAACTTGACTGCCGCTATTTCTTATATCGCGGTGTAGCCAGGAAAAGTTCTATTGGGGCGCTAGAGTTCTTGTAAGACACCAGTCGTAGATAGATGTAGAACAAATCTTGACGAGCATACCGAGCGCGCAGGGGTAAATAAGGCTTACCTCGTGTCATCCCACTTTTGGACGAAAGGATAACTCGAAATTTTCGAGCCCATAGTTTCCTACCGGGTCGTTGGTACTGATAATGCTTACAGAACGCCCTCCAAGGGCTGGGAGGCAAAGATCAGAGCGATCCGAGGGACGTCCAGTGCACGGGATGCGTGATGTCTCCCAAGGTCGGGGAGGATAAAAGAGGAGCAAGACCCAGAACCGTGACGGACTCGACTCAGACCACAGTTGAATCAAAATAGCAATTCATCTCATTAGGTTACGAGCCATGAACCGTTAGACGTCGGATGGCCATGGGTGACTGCAGCTGGTGAAAGCGAAGGGTAAGTTCAAGTGACAGCGTGGGACGTACATGCAGCGAAGGCGCCCGGGCCGCGCCTTTTCAATTTGAATTCCTCCAACCTTCCTCCTCTCGCCACTCATTGCCAACCCGTGTGGCCCAACTCCTATGAACCTAGCTGAACCTTCGCCTGCAGCCATCCATATCACCACTGGTCACCAACATTCCACACGACAATCGAGTGTACAAAGGATCATCTTTATTTATGTACAATTGCGTCTAAACAAAAAAGCGACCACACGAGCACATACACACATGCTCAAGTTCCCCGACCCTAACACTTCCATCCTTCCTGACCACCGCTGAGCACGAAGTCAGGGATGATACAAGTGCAAGTGCTGGAAGTATCATAGTGCGTATGTATACGTCTCATGAGGTCGCAATACTGTAACACCAAGATAGACACAGACACACTGTAACAGAAGATAAGACGGGAGAAAGAGATGAAATCAAAAAGGGTCAACAAAAAAAGAAGAAAAAAGTAAGAAGAAAAAGTAAGAAAGGCAACAGCCCGAGGGTCGATGAGAAGTTTGAAGAAAGAAAATATGATAGACAATTGGAAGAAGTGAAAGGAGAAAAGGAAAGGAATATGAAACAAGAAAAGGAATATGACACAAGAAGAAGAATGAAGAAGAAGAATGGAGAAAAAAAAATCAAACACGACACAACTGTAACTGACTATGACAGGCAGGAGACCGAGACTGGGACCGACCGAGACCGAGTGCGATTGATGAATCGATGACTATGTACTAGAGACTAGAGCGACGAGATGAATGGATGTATGGATGTATGTATGGATGCGACAACAACTGAACACCGAACACTGAAACAAACACAAACACACAGACACTAACAAGATGCGACCGACACAGAACCCAAACATGTACAACACAACGACACTGACATCCACACATTCCATCCTAACATCACCTTTCACCCTTCGCTCATCTCCATCTCCATCACAAGTCGATCGCCCCGTCCCCCACTATCACCACCACAGTCACCATCACAAGAAAAAGAAAAGAAAGCCGTCTCCGTCTACTAGTCCGTGTATAAACAAGCACCCCTCGCCCATCCTATGACCTCGTCCCATTCGCCACCACCGCCGCCCCATTGCCATTGCTCGAGTTCTCCCCCACAGCGATAGGAACAGGCCCAGAAGCGTCCCCATCAGCGACGTTCAACGCCCCCATCCTCTCCGAGAGCACGGCGGCAGCAGCAGCAGCCGACTTGTCCTGCAGAATAGCAAAGAACACCATCAAAAAACAACACTCATACTCATGAAAACCACGGGGGATGACAAAAATTGCACAACGAACTCACCTTTCCCTGCTCCGCACTCCCTTCACCATTCCTCGCATTCGCACCACCCGCACCAGTGGCACCCGCAAGCGCATTACTATACGACGCATGCTGCCCCGGCGGGCTCATCAACACCGACCTCCCCGACGCCGCACCCCACACCCCAAACTTCTTCTCTCCTCCTCCACCACCACCAACTCCATTCCCCGGCCCTCCTCCTCCACCGCCCCCTCCAGCAGCAGCAGTAGCACCTCCTCCTCCCCCTACCGCACCGGGACCTGAAGCTGAATTAACACCGCCCCCACCCCCCAACGGCGGGAAATCCGCCGAAGACTGCAGCGCGACCACCGGGGGGCCGTTCGCTCGACCCGACGGTCCATTCTGCTGTTGCTGTGGTTGTTGATGGAGAGAGGACCGACTAGACGACGACGACGAGCCATGGTTATTAGTGTTCGTGTGATGCCCATGATGGTTCCGCGGAGGCGTATGAGGATGCGGATGAGGATGCGGGTGTTGGTGTTGATGCGGGAGTGGATGCGGGTGCGAGTTAGGCGCCAGGGTCGGCTGGGCTTTTAGACCGACCGCCCAGTCTGGTCGGGCGGGGAGGGGATGCTGTGATGAAGCGGTCGAAGTATACGTTCGCCGTGATGACGAAGACGTCGATGACTAGAACCCACCCACCCAACGCCATACCATACACAGTTAAAGTCAAAGTTAAGAGCACGTTCACCAATTCAGTCAGCATAAAATGAAACGGAAACGTTTGCATGCCAAGACAAATTAAATAGAATCCGTGAAGAATGGAGGTGGGAGAAAGGGGGGGAATGTAGAGAAAGGAAGGGGACGAGGTAGTCATTTATAAGTGACTCACAGCGGTAGACGATGCCTCGTCGCCCGGCGTCCTATTCCCCCCACTACCACCCACACTAGCACCACCCGCACTCGAATTCGACGTCCCAGACGTCCTCCTCACCGAACTCAACCTCGGACCCACAGGCCCAGATGACATCCCATCCAGCCCGCCCCCACCACCCCCACCACCCCCACCACCAAACCCACTATACCCACCACCTCCACCACCAAACCCTCCACCACTCCCACTAAACCCTGACGAGCTGCTCGAACTCGAACTTAGTGCCGACAACCCACTCTGTCCGCCCATCCCCGCCCCAGGGCCATAACTCCACCCCCTCCTCTGCTGCGACGACGAGCCCCCCGACCCTCCGCTCGCATTCCTCCTCGGCGCCATACCCATGCTTCCACTACCGCCACTGCTACCACTACCAGGCCCATGCCCATTCGATCCACTCCCGCCACTGCTGCTATTCGTCCCCGTCGTCCTCGCCGGAGGCCGCACGTGATGCATTCCTCCGTTCCCGTTCCCAGCACCATTCCCATTACCCATCCCACCACTACCACCCGTCGTCCCATTCACAGGCGAATGCTGTATCTCACCCGTATACATCGGCTGCTGCTGTTGTCCTTGTCCTTGTCCCTGTCCCTGCATGGGCGGCGACATGACCTGCTGCTGCTGTGGCGGTGGCTGTAAAGGCGCATAATACCCCTGCATTGGATATCCCCCATACGGACTCGGCGCATATTGCTGCTGCTGCTGCTGATGCTGAGATAGATGCGAAAGATGTGGACCCCCCGGAGGCGGAAGCGCATACCCTCCCTGTCCCGCCAACGGCGGTGACGGTGCCGCCGAATGAGGATGCGAATGTTGTCCCTGTCCCTGCTGCTGTTGATGCTGATGCTGGTGGGTAGGGGGAGGAGGAACAGGCGGCGGAGGCGGGCCACCCGCAGGAGACCACATATACGGCGCCATATACATCGGCTGCTGTGAATGCGCCGGTATATACAGTCCGTTCATCTCGTTCGCGGGCGTCGAAGGATCGGAGTGATGATGGGGATGTTGAGGCTGGGATTGAGGGGGTGGGTAGCCTGGGTACGGTGGGTAGTAAGGATAGGGCGCCATATATCCCTGTGGAGCCTGGCCGTGGCCGTGCGGTGGAGGAGGCGGGTACGAGTACATATAAGGTGGTACGTATCCTTGCTGGAGATGTCCGTGTCCGGATGAGGCAGCGGCGGCGGCGGCGGCTGCTTGGTTAGGATCGTAGACGACCGCGTTGTTCGACGATGGCGGTGGTTCGTACAGAGAGGCGTACGTGAACGCAGGTGACGCTGCGCGGGAATTACGGGAGCTACCGGCGTGGGCAGAAGAACGTAGAGACCGTGAGGACGATCCGGCAGAGTTCGTCCCTGAGCCCCCTCCACCTCCACCGCCGCCTCCGCCGTTGCCGCCTCCGTGGCCGTTACCACGACGAACGTTGACGTCCTTCTTGTCGCGGGTGACAGGCCCGGACCACTCGCTCTCCGTCGCAGCGCTACTGACGCCCGAATCGTCGAGAAGGTCCCCGGAGATACTGCTCCCACCCCCGCTCGTCGAGGCCGAGCCGGAGACGAGCGAGAAGACGGAGGAGCTCGCGCTCATGTCGTTCTCCTTTTCCTTGATCTTTTCCTCGAAATCCATAAAGATACGCGAGCGGGCCTCGTTGTACGCCGCCTCGCGCTGCTCGATGGTGAGGTGTTTCTTGCTCGTCGCGGTGTGACTTCGTCCGCCGGCACTGCCGGTCTCGGAGGGCTCGACATCGGAAAGATCGTTGTCTTCACCGTTGACGGAACCGCTGCGGGATTGGGGCTTGGAGCGCATACGGTCGTGCGGTGTGCGACGCATGATCTTGAACGCGGGTTGTTTTGTGGCTTCGGGTGGGACGAGGTCGGCGAGGCGCCGTGAGGGGCTAATGAGGACGGAATGAGGATGTGTGTATTTAGCAGAGAGACAGAAAGGGGCTTGCTTACATTTTGCTGTCGATGGTGGTGATAATGATGAGGGCCTTCGTACTAGGGTCTGGTTCGGGAGCGACCTTGTAGTAGGTGCAACATCGATGGACGAGGAGACGTTGGTAGGACGTTTGCGGGTTGACTTCGATACGTGGCCTGTTGGGATGAACGAATGACAGGGAGCGAGAGAACAGATGATGGTCAGCCCACGAGCGCCTCGGAGTTGCGTCCCAGCCCGGCACACGAGTGCACAGAAAGAAGACGACAGCGACGAGAAAAGGAAATGGGAAATGGAATTGGAATTGAATGAAAGACGTACTTGCGGTCGTTGATGAGCCCCTCTACGAGCTCACCGACCCTGAGTACAAAGAGCCGATCCTTGCTCTTGAGTGCCTCGAGGATCTGCGGGTCGACGTCCGCGTTCGGGTCCTTCTCCTGGCTCGTTGAGGGCGCATGCAGAGTCGAGTCCGCCTCGTCGGAATTATGGCTGGAGGACGAGGCGGAAACGGGCGCCTGTGCTCTGTCGATGATGGATATGGTGTTCATCGTCGGTGTGGTGATGGTGGCCGTCGAAGAGGACGGTGGGTTGGAGGAAGAGCAAGGGGATGTGGCAGTGACGTTGTTGGTGGCGGGAAGAGAGATTGAGGATGTGGCTGTCGTCGGTGCCTGTGCTGTCGTCGCCGTGCTCGTCGAGGCCTCGATGGCCATCATTGTGTGAGATGATGGAGCGCGTTGTGTGCGCGCGGAAGAAGAGAGGGAAGTTGTCGCTGACGACGACGGCGGCGATGGTGGACGTGTGTCTGGAGAAGGAGCGCGCAGCGGAGAAAGACGAGTGAGCACTCGCTAGTCGCCGCCAATCGTCGGGTCTCGCCCAGATATAATATTATATGTCCTCGCACACGCACAACACGCACAACACGACAACCGGCTCAGTAATATTATATAGCAATACTCACCGACGGACATTCACTCTCTGCTCTCTGCTTTGGCGTGTGCGTGTCGTGCAAGTGCGTTCTAGCTGTCGTGGGCGTTCCGGGCGATGCTGAGACGGGGAGATCTAGCAGAAGAACGTCGCGGACGACGAGGACGACATCAGGTCAGAGGGCAGCAGCGCTCGTCAGCTCGTTCTCCGAATCCTCTTCCTCATCATTAATTATTTTGGGGCCATCTAACCCCGATTTGGGCCACTTATCCGTCCCCATCACCCATCGCTCTCCCATAGAAACCCTCGGTGTGGCGACGCCCTCGGCCTCTCTCTACCTGGCTCTTTGTTTCCATGAAAGAGATTGATTCATTGGAGGACGATGTGATCCTACTCGGCACCCAGTGTGGCACCCGAGTATTGTTGAACATATATTATTCACGACTCCTTCCTCCCTTCCAATAGTAATACGAGCCAACAGTGTGGCACCCTCGGCCTTACTTACGCTCGAGCATCACTTCTTCCACAAACCAAACCATAATTTATGTCGTAGCAAATTCATAATACCAGGGATAGGGTGTAAAGCACGTCCACAAACCACTTCTCCTTCCACCCTCATACCAACCACCCACAAAAACTCAATGCGAAGGCGCCCCACTCCCCGTGACGAGCTGATAGACATTAAAACTCAAACTGTCCGCCCAAAAGAAAAGAGAACGGTCAGCACACCACTCACCACCATCAATAACCACCAGAGTATTAGGAGGCTGAGGACTCAAAGTTAAAGACTCACCAGAACACGAGTATGAACGCCCCATAGCACGCGAGCGCCAGAGCCGCTCGCGTCAACGTCTTATTAGCGCTCGGGTCGTCTCGAGTTAGCTTTTGGGTAGCACGATAATGGGATGAGCGTCAATATACCTCGGTGGAGGAAGGCGGGGAGGAGAGACTCACCTTCCAATAGAATAGACCTGGGAGGATGAACGAGAGCGTCGTCGAGCCTGTAGCTCCCACGAACGAGAGCACTACAGACAAAATCGTCAGTCCCGGACCGCGTCCACCTTCAAGGATAAAGACGCACCCATCTGCAGATCATCCACGAAATAGGCAGTCGTGAATCCACTCGCAATAATCCCCGCCGTCAACAACGTATGCTTCACCGTGCTCATCTCCGCCCCCGCATGATCCTCATCCACCACTTCCTCATCCACCTCCTCCTCTTCTACCGTCCTCTCATCCACCACCGTCGCCTCTTCCCCCTCTTCCTCTACTAGCATCTTCTTCCCCTTCTCCCCCTTCCCAGCCTTCCCAAACCCAAACACCTTATCCAAACAATTCCTACACGGATGCAACTGCAACGGATACGAAAACAACACAAGTATCGCGATGGCCAGCTGCCCGAACGCCACAAACAGTGACGTAGACGGATACATCGCTATGATGTTCGCCCCCACTGTCGACCCGAAGGTGAGATACCCGAACACGGCGATGATCTCGTAGGTGAGCGTCGCGGAGCCGATGGAGGTGCCGATTACGATGTTCATCCGTTTTTGGGTGTTCGTGCGGACTTCGTTGAAGATCGGGAAGATCTTTTTATTATTATAGATATGGTAGTGAGTGTGGGCATGGATGGATGACAAGGGTTATAGGAATAGGAAAGAGGGGGGACGTACGTTCTGAGCACAGGTGAACGCGAAGACCTGGATGGGCCACGTCGATACGAAGCCGGACGTGAACTTGATCAAGTGGACTTCACCCCTCGGCGGCATATCCTCGAACGGACTGAAATAAGCCGTGATCACGATCACGACCAGATACGCTGTTCCCGCAACCCAACCCATCGTCAGTAAGCCTATATCACAAAAACAAAACCAGAAAGGATGAAGAGAAAGGACTCACCGACCGAGAACAACGCGATATAACTCGTATGTCGCAGACTATCCAGATGTCTCTGGAACGCGAGTGGGATAAGGATGACCATGAGGAGCGAGATCCATACGCGGCCGCTGAGCGCCCAGGCCGGTGGGTTCTTGTGTGGCGAGAGGTCGTGGTAGAGCGAGGCGACGACGTTCGGGAGGAGGCTCTTGATGATGATCAGGTAACTGTTTTTGTATTCAGCATCATAGCGCTCTGAACGAGAGTAAAGTCAAAGGAGGAGAAGGAGAGGGCGGCTACGAACCTGATAGAAACACCGAAACACTTGATCGCAATTGCTGCGTCGAAGAAGACCGCAGCTCTGGGGAAAGTGAGGTTCGCGATGGCGAAGAAAGAGGCGGCTCGGTGTGGGGCTTTGCGTGCGCATGCGGAGAGGAGGTAGAGACCGAAAGCAGCAACACTGCCCGAAAAGGCACAGGTGATCATGCCAGGGATGACACCCGCTGAAGCCATTGCCTACATCGCAAGAAAGCACAAGACGAAACGGTATGAGCTCGCGCCACAGTGGGTTTACTGCTGTACCAGCAAAGTCGGACAAGGGGACGTACGAGTGGAAACGTGAGCATACCTTCAAACAAAACAAACAAACGTATCCTCGTCAGTTATTACAGCAGCAATGCCAAAGAAAGATATTCTATTCATACGCACCACTCCCAATAATCGTATTCGCCAAATTGCTCACACAACTAACCAACGTCGCATGGCCCTCCCTCAACTTCTTCCCCTTCCCCAACAACCCATCATACACCTCTCCGTCCGGCCTGATCCCATCCGTCAACAACGCGCTCACCTCCGTCTCACCCGTCCCTTCCACCGCATCGTCTTCTCTCCTCTCGATGAAATCCACTCCTTCCACTGCATCGTCCCCCCGACCTTGGCTGGACGTCGCACCGTAAGACTGCACCATCTCAAATTCCTCGGGATCGAACGTCGACTTCGTCAAGCTGCTATTGCGCGAATGCGTATACCCTCCGTGTCCGTGGCCGGCGCTAGTTGAACTTCCGGCTGCTGGTCCGATTCTCCTCCCAGGTGTCGACGAACTATGTGCAACGGCACTCGTGCTCGAAACCGGCACCAATAAATCACCAGGCGGTCTCTTCGTAGGTTTCTTAGCACTAGTAGTAGTATTCCTCGGCCCAGTCCCTGATGCGGACGGAGAAGACGAAGAAGGCGAGAGTGGCGAGACGAAAGACGAAGAGGTCGATCGAGGAGCCAGGTTGGGTTTACACGCCAGATAAGGAGAACGCTCGGCTTTAGCACGGGACTTGCGGCGGAGGTCCTTCCCTGCGTAATTTATTTATATCCTGTATATAATCAGACGTTGTGGCCGGAGGCGAGTCTACGTCCAAAGACACGCGTGAGGGTCGTGAAGAGTGCGAGGATGGGTGGATAGAAGATAATTATCTGTGAAGCCCGAAGAGCGTGAGTTGGATCCGGGGTGGGCACCTGTGAGCACTGCTGGCCAGCAAAGCATGCTCGATTTCGTCAGTCGGAGCCAGGACCACGTATGCACGCCAAACGCTCGGTCAGATCTCGAGCGGGGAGATTGGCTTGATGCAAGCTTGACGTCGAGATCTGGACGGATCTGAGTAGGTTAAAGATAGAAAGCATGGGCCACAGTGGCGCCGTCAACGAGAGCATGCGACCAACACCAGCACTGTAACTCGATCAGAAAAGTGCATGCAATGGAATCATAGACTCGAGGAAGCCGTATATAATGGAACAAATAAACAACTTGTTTTTCATCATGTCGAGAATCGGAAACCGAGAGCATAGCGTACTTATATACACCTCATGTACGGGACGACGTGATGTACGTGTATATCTCTCGTCTCGTCTCTCTCTTCATCTTTGCCTGGTCGGCTGTCTATCCCGTGTTTTTTTTGTCTATTGTTATATAATTCCGCAAGTCGCGTTATATAAGGCAGAGGCCATCAGCGACCGACAAACGTCACGTGAAGTGGCGTTTCGACAGTCCTCTGCAAATAGCAAATGCTGAAAAGACTTTTGCAAAAATTCGGTTGCGCAGTCCTTTAGAGGTGATCGTTACTCGTTGAATTGTGTAGTCATATTCAGAGAAAATGCAAAACTGTGAGGGGCATTCACTGCAGAATGGCAAGAACAGCTGTGGCGTCGCGGCCCGGATCTTCTGAGCGTTGTAAGTTGAATGGCCCTCGCAAAACCGACTCGTTTACAAAACGGATTGCACAGGAATGGTAAACACATACGTTCGCGTCGACCTGCGCAATTGAATTTTTGACAAAGATCTTTTTGTACGCGCTATTCTTGAATAAACGGTTTGCGCCACAACACGTGATGTTCGTCGGTCGCTGATGGCCTCTGCCTTATACTATATTTCTTGGACTCTCGTCTCGGCTCGTCTCGGCTCGTCTCGGCTCGGCTCGTCCCTCGTTCTCGTTCCCGTTCGCGTTGTTCACAGCATATCTATGGACACAGAGGGACGAGACAGGACGAGATAGCAAATAAGGATGAACGATGACGGATGGAGAGCGCGATAGATACAGACGACGGAGCGTTCGATGTTGATGACGGATGACGATGCCGGAAACCCCAGAGACAAGAAGAAAAAACTATAGGACAGAGGAGACGATCGGAATGGAGATGGAGGGGTATGTATCACAATCGGAAGATGCACAACAGGGAAACCAAAATCGAGAAACAATTACACAAGAAACCGAACTCAGGGAACTATTATCACAAAATGCGCCCATAACCCGGCGCTACCAATGTACACGAAACACGAAACAGAACGGAGAGAGAGAGAAAAAATACACAGAGGGAATCTACCCCCTCCCATTCGTAATAACATTTACAAACCTGTTCCTCTTCTTCTCCGCACCTCCACCAGGACTGCTGGGCCCTATCTCACTGCTGCCCCCAAACCTCACAAAACCCCTCCTCTTCGTCTCCCTCAGGTCCGCCATCATCTGTTGCGCGACCGGCGACAGCTCAGACGACGAAGCAGGCGAGGGAGCCGCTCCAGGAGTCATCTCCGCATCGAAAATAGCCCGCGACCGAGCGGGCGTGACGGGAAGTCGAGATTTCAAATTCATAGCCCCAGCGCCGTTCGCGTTCGCTGGCCTGTTAAGGTCGAAGTTCTGGTATGGCGCATTCTTGGCGGTGGCGTTGGAGTCGTTGGCGTTTGTAGCAAACGAATCCCTAACGAGATCGAGCGAACGACTGCCCGCTCGAGTAGGCATCGCTCGAGGACCCGACACTTGTCCGTTCTCTTTCCCAGCCCCAACGACATATCCCCCTCTCCCTTTCCCAGGAACTGGCACATCCGCACCCCTCACCGCACTCCTCACCAACTTCGGCATCTCATCCTCACTGACCACCGACCACGACCCAGAGCTGGAGATCCTCCTCTTCTCTTTCCAGCCAACGGCTACCGAAGATGGTGTGGGCGTGGGAGTAGGGTACGCAGAGGCGGTTGCGTTCAACGCAGTAGTAAGCGAGACTTTGGAGCTGGTGGAACTAGCGATAGAAGGTATACGGGTGCCCGAACGGAGAGGAATGGATGACGATGTGGAGATATTAGTGTTCGTCGTCGTGCGAAGAGCCATGTTCGGGGCAGGGGCGGCGGTATGAATATATGAGGGCTTTGGAGTGGGCATCGGAGTAGTCGAGGGTGTGTTGAACGTTTTGAATTTCGCCGCAGCCGTTGTCGTACTAAGAGTCTTCGCGGCAGCGTTTGGTGTGGACGCGTCGTCGAATGGATTATTCGAGTCATGGGTCATCGCGACGCTCGTCCTCGGACCTTTAGGGCCTCTTGGAATCCTACTCCCAATTGCGTTGGACAAGGTGTGCGTAAGGCCAGTTATCGAGTTCCTCGACGGCGCACGAGCAGGACCAGAGGCCGAAGGTGTGACCTGGACTTGATGCGCCCTCGGGCCCTCACGGAGCCCGTTACCGACGGGCGTCGGCGTCCTGTTCATGATCATAGCCAACTGTGGCGGATCCTCAAAAATGGAGCCGGCAGAAGAAGGGGAATCGTTGGAAGTCGGGGAAGTCTCGGTCGTCTGAAGTGTAGAAGACTTCTTATCGGCGGTGGAGAGCGTCTTCTGACTGCTGGAAGGAGAGGGTCGGAGAGAAGTAGAACCGAGTTGTGGCGCGAGGAAGTTGTCGTCGACGATGGGCTTGATAGTGCTACCTGTGGTGATGGAGCGAATGGGAGAAAGAATCTGATGCGCCGCGCTGTCGGACGACGAGTCCGGGTCCATATTCATCGGCAACATAGGCAAGGGCCTTTCGAACCCGCCATACGCATCCTCCTCATCCTCATCCTCACTGCCAGAGGTACTCGGTGGGGCACTCGCTGGCCTCGCAATGGAATCCCGATTCCGCTGCGGCTTGTTCAAGAACGCGAATACCTCGGACGCACGATGTGGAGTGTCAGGGTTGTGGTAAGGTGAGTTCGCTTGGGAGTAGCCACGCTTCATTTTCTCTTCTATTGTGCTTGTCATGCTAAGCTCGACCTCCATGGAGGAGATAGCTGGCAGTGGGTCGTGGCTGCGGTCGTTTTCGTCAGATTTGTGGCTAAAGAATGTGGCATTGTTGGGGTTGATGGTGGCGTTGCGGTTGTCATCAGAGACGATAGAAGGGTCAGTGGTGAATGCGTGATCAGGATTGACGGGCGTTTCGAGGCCAAGGGAGGAGGCAGAGCTAGAGTCATCTTGACCTTCCCTATCATCACAAATAGGGTCAGTATTGAAAATAGTGAGCACCTGAGAATATTACGACTACTCACTGAATGAACCTCTCTGCCCAAGAGATATCACCTTCGAACATATCACCGACTTTAGAAGTAGCGTTCAGGTCGCCCATAAGCTGCCTGAGGGTCGAACCGCCCCGCTTTATTTGCGCTCTTCCCTCGTCCTTCAGAGGCTCCCTTCCGGAGCGCGCTGAGCTCTTCGGCTGATTCTCGGTATCAACAGCCTTATCAATATCGACAGGGCTGTTCGAGAATGCTTTGTTGTCAAGCCGGCCATTGTCATCGTACATCGTCAGTAAGCTCGCCACGGAAGGATCTTGACGAAGTTTATAGAGACGGCTCTGGTCCCTTGGGGTGATAGGGGCGAGTTTGTCGCGAGGGGCGGCGTGACCACATGGAGAGGAAGGGGCGGAGACAGAAGATGGTCGCAGAGGTGCGTTGTTGGCCATAGGAGGGTTAGCGTTGGGAAATTCGGTTCGAGTGTGGACGGTTCGGCCGTGGACTTTGACGCGATAGGTTGTTGCGCGAGATTGAACGCTTGCGGCGCGACCTGGAGAGCCGGTGGGGTCAGCATTGCGATTGTTGATCCGTTGGGCTGCACAATTAAAGATAATTATAGTTAGCCAAAACTTAAAGGGAAAGTTAAACGATTGTGCGCACGAATAGGAGGTAAAGAGGTATAATCTACTTCGGAAACCACTGCAAAGTGAGCCGAGGATGAGCGCAACAACCGGCTTGCTTTCGCCTCCTGCTCCTCTTCCTCCTTCTTCCGGTCTAATAAATCTCCCTGTGTCGCGGCATGAGCAGTTTGCTCGTACGGCATGCCACCGAGCTGCTCTCGCTTGGACTTCTTGCCCTTCTTGCTGCCCATTGAGAGTAGACGTTTGATGAATCCCATCGTTTCTACCCTAACTTTGAAGTGATTGTGATGTTGTAAGGAGCCGTGAGTTCGTGTAGAGACGTGAGTTGGACGGTGAAGTGCGAGCGTGCGCGTGTTGCGGGAGAAGTATGATGCAGGGAGAGTGGTCGTCGGAGAAAAGAAGGAAGAGTGCGCGCGCCGGCCAACTCGAACACCTGCCAAACAAAGAGCCAAACACGCCTTCCCCGTGACCGCGCTACTAAGAAGAAAGATGACGTAATGCTCCCAATCCGGACAGATATTTGTTTTGTTTTGCCGAACGTCCTCCCGCTGGGACCACCAACAGCAATATTTATGCTCAGAGTTGGCGAGGTGCATTTCCTCATCTATCTTACTTTTGACTGCTAGAGTCCATGCCTTACTTGTCACTCGAAGCTGTAGGCAGCTCAGCCACAGACTTCTGCATGCTTGAGAGAAATTACCTATCGCACATCAGAGTATGTCGCCTCACCACCGTCGTACTCACATTTATCCACTGACCAAAGTTCAGCTTGCTCTTCTCCTGATGCTAATATCTTCAGCCGTTCTTCTGCGAACCCGTTTCTCAGGCCCAGACGAAGACTCAGAGTTCCGTCCAGAAAAGAGCATTGCATTGGCTTCGCTTGAAGTTGTTACAGCTCTAGTCGTCGTAGCCGGAGGCCTTTGGGAGTACGATTCCTGTTTACGGGACATGCGAGCTCGTCGGGCCTTCCTTTACTCTACTGCGTGAGCTCTTCGATGCCGCTCAATACAGCATGCATGTGCTGACTTGCATCCAAGGCCTCATCTTGCTGTCATGACTGTCGTCTCCGCTGTGGTGTCCGTCACTTGGATTGTCTTAATTGCCGAGGAGGGTGGCATCGGCTCAGAGATGGATATGAACTGATAGAGCGTGGCCTTGAATGTGAGTTTGTATCTGCTGTGACTGTAATGCCTTACGTTCACTCATGGCCGACATGTCACTACGCTCAGACCGTCTTCCCCTCTGTACTTATATATAATGGAACTCGTAGATTCAGACCGAAGATATATTGCTGCCGCGATCAGGTCATAGACGGAAGGACTCTAGGCTCGCATGCAAATCAAGGACCTCTATGTACCTTCTTGCCGGAGTACTAGAGATTGGGCGATTGGTACACTGATCACAACGCCATGGCCCAAGCAGTATACCCGAGGCTCTAAGGAATATCATCACAATACCACTTCGAACAGACTCATGTCCCGAGGACGGACGTATTCCTATGTGAGCAATGAAACTGTCAGGGTACTGCTGCACTGCTCACTACGCCCGCGTTTTTGGGCAGATATCTCTTTCGAGCTCGCTGGCTCTCACGGAAGTACCTCCAATCGCACTCGACAAGGTTTGCCCTTCCGAATATGTCAGACACTCGAATTCAGCGTCAAAGTGCCGGACCGAACAGTATCAGAGTTCCGTATCACGACGTAGACGAGTGGAGCCTTCCACTGAGATGGCGCCAAAGCCCTCGGGTGGCCGCAACTAGCATAGCGTTCGCCTCATCCCTCCTTCTTCCTTCTAGTTTGAGACTGCTCTCCGGAGATATGCCCATTTGAAGGATATGTGCCAGGCCCAGTCTAGCTCCTGATTTCATCTCATTTGCACAGACACAGACATAATGCTTCTAAGCCTCGTGCTAAGGCAGTTGTCTTCGTGGAATGAGCCTCGACCTGCTCTGTCATGGAGGCCTTCTTTCGCTCTCGCAGTGAAGGCAAACCATAGTCTTGGCGCCTATGCTCTCCTTGAGCGCCTGTGGTTCAGTTGTTCTGAACGATCATCCTGCCCTCGCCACTTGCACTGAGACTTCGATTCGCTATCCTGCTATCCCTATCCTTGACGAGGCTGGAGAGACATGCGAGGACGGAATGCTACTATAGACTGCTCGCCATGTAGTAATATTGCTATGCGCTCTCCTGTTCGGTTCGACGTCCGCCAGCTCGTAGATGACGCGCCGTTATCTCGTCACTCCGCAGATGCGATTTCGCTCGACGTGCGTTATGGAAGCGTGTCTGACCGTCGATATACATCAGCACGAAATGTTGGGTGACTTCAGTGTTATCATTCACATAATCTGCCCATGCGAAACCGAACCACCACGAACATTCTGATTGAATGCGACCTACTGTCGTGTTTGTACCACATCAGACAGACTCAATATGTCAACCTTACGACGACTACTTAGTCCATAAAACCACGGACAAAGGCTGTGGCCCTATGTCATAGCAAAAACAAATAGACCAACGTATGGTTCAGTGGGTCCTTATATATCCATTATGAGATGTCCCCCCTCACGCTCACGCTCTCACCCAGTCTCCACCTCGCCTGCTTCCTCTTGTTGCAACACCAATGAACACTTCAGCTTTAGTTCGTACTACTCAAGGTATTCTTCGGCTACACAACTGACTTATATTCAATCTCATCCTCAGGCCGCCATCACTCCAGGACCCAGCGTCTATTATTACCTTCTCACCAATTCATTTTCAGCCCTTACGTTCGGTCATGATTCTCGCCAGTTCTTCTTTTCGATCCTCAAAGTCGACGTTGTCACCCTTCCCGTCCTATACGACGCAAACTTTGCGTCCTTCTACCTTCTTCCGCCACATGCCGACTCATCCAGCCCGAGAACGTTCAAGTTACTTGACTTCTACACTCCTCTTATCCGCACGGGATCAGTGGTCCCTCAAGGGCTCTGGTTACCTAGAAGCGAGACAGATCGCCAACGACATGTGAGGGACGCACCTCTACAATTCCCGATATGGCTCCATCGAAGCGATGCATCTCTTGGAGTGTCCATGCTGCATGCGGCCTCCGGGAACCTCTCAAGCTTGATCGGGTCCCAAGAGACCATCAACATCGGCGGGAGGTCCACAATTCACCTCCGTATCATGGTTCGTCATTCGCTCCTACGGACTTACGGAACTCACAGGAAGTTATCACTTGCAGTGGCCCGGATATCTTCCACAGAACTATCAGATTCAACTCAGGGGTCAAACAGGGTCACACAATTTTATCACCGCCGAGAGGTTCATTGCAAGTGTGGGTCGGGCATTGAGCAGATTCTTTGACGTACGTCGTTGTCCATGTTGTTTCCCCCCCAGAAACCGCCGGATTGACACGCAGAACGATATTAGACTTGCACGCAAACTACCCCCGTATTGTATCCACATTGGAGGATAGGCTCACAAGGAGGGATCACAAAGAATGAAGTGATAATCGTTGGACTTTTCCACGTCTCGGCTGGCTCTTTCCAACTCTGCTTGCAGCTTGAGAACAGAATCGTTCCCGGATAACACGATGCCTGAGCGGACCGGACACTTGATGAATGTAGGATACGACACAACTTACTTATGCCAGGACTATGGATCTTTATGTATGACATTTTCCGCCGATCGTCATCTTTTTAGGCTTCTGTCAAGGACATCATCTGATTAGTAATATGCGTATACTGCTTCTCCATTCTGTTCTGTTCTGTTCTGTTCTGTTCCGAATTGTGGCTACATGTGTTTCTCCTTACTGACTTTAATCCGATACGGCGTTGCGCTTACGGGTTGACTCCATCTCCATGATTGGTTTGCGGCACGCGGCCCTTTACCATTCAGTAAAGTCACCATGTGTCAGCTTCGCTCGCTGGTAATGGCATACGAACCTTGTACGAACCTGAATCTGACAGTGCGCCACGACCACGGACCCGTAGCAGCTAGATCACCTGTAAACCCTCTTTTCTGCTATCTCTAGAGTGTTCGTTACACTACTACTGTAATAGGCCCTTCCATCAATCATGTACATTACATTAGCTTTGTTTTGGACACGCGCCACCTATTACTGGACTGGGCCACATAAAGGATTGAAAGTCCGCCTTCTCCGCTTTTTCTCCGCGGATGCGCGACTTCTTTACCTTTTGACACCATTGATCGAAGGCATCCCTAGCCAGCCCTTCTGCTAACTGTACGAGGTGGCACAGCGTCCTGAACATTAGCATCGCATATAGGTGCGCCACTTGTCTTATTCCCCAATGTCTAAATTCGCATCGTGCGGCCACGTACTTAGGTACCATATCAGCACAAGGTCCTGGACATGTTCACGGACACCGACGCAAAAGCCTATTAGAAGTATGCGCTGGGACGTAGCCTCACAAACATGAAACATGCAAACCTCCGTAATTGATGATGGTATGAGAGCTAAGAATGCAGGCTGTAGGACATTTCCTGGCCTTTTGATACGGTTATAGACGAGGTCGTCTTCTCAAGAATGACGCTGTATGTTTGCCATGACGACTCTAGCCCGAAGCCCATGGTCGTGATATGCAGCAATGTATCATTCGATGTCGTGAGCCGATTTTTAATGTCGACCCGACTGCCATTGGGCGAAGAACTCTATTATTTTATCCAGAGAAATCTGCATGTTGCCGCGGAACAGATCCTGCAACACATCATTGATGCCAACGGGATCATCACCGTGACTGAGGCTCTGCCAAGCCTCGACACCATACTGCCAGTGCCCCATGAAACTGATATCGACAGGGCTCGTGTGTCACGATTTTTTTAGTTTCTTCTTGAGCCGCACAATACTCAGCCATCCCTGCGTCTTGCGACTAATCAGCTCCAAGCCACGGATACATGTGCATTTACGTTGTCTCCCTATTGCGACCAACCGTTTTGATGGGAATTCTTTTGCATTGACTTTCAACGTACCGCATCCTGCTGTTATGTGCCGTGGCATGATGCAAAATCCGACGGGGAACGTGGTGATTTTCTTCGAGATCGAACGCGTGTGGTGATGCTTTGATCCATAACAGACCCTCCAGCTCAGGAGATTACTTTCATTGTTCCATTTTTGGTGGGAGTGAGCCAGTCGTGGGATCTGGGGTGAGATCTAGCTCAGTCGGCATCCAAGTACCCCTCTGTTGGATTGAACCCCCGTTCCTTTTCTTTACAGGTGGTTCCATTCGAATTCCGCGATGAGAGAGGAAATAGCCACTCCAGGCCAGCATCTCTTTCGTGAGTGGCGTTAGTGCGGTGGAGCGAATGGCGTCAATAGCTATGGAGACGGCGACCAGCACTTTCGCTAGAGTATCTAACTCCCATGATGGCGCATTCTCGTTCTCGTTATGTCAAATGTCGACACGATTGGTGGCGTAAGCTGCCTTCGATTCAGATATAGACCATCTTCGTCCTTGTGCTTCGACCGTTGGAAGAAAACTATACCGCTCTCATGAGCCTCATAGGGTTTGGACGCGCACCCCTCGTGGGCATGCGCTTTGTCTTCTGATCGTCCCCTTTCATATCCAGGATGGTCCCCTTGATTATCCCACTTTGATTTTGTCCTGCCATCAGTCTTGCCTACAGGCTTGAAGGCAGAAGCAATGGTGCGTGCACCGTCTTTGATTTTATTGCATTTTTAACACCGTTGACCTACTTTTTTCAGTCAACGGCAAACGTTGCAGCTACCGGTAGCGATTCCCACTCTTCAATTCTCATTTCCGGCTGCCTAAGTCGCAGTTTTGGATCTAACAAAGCTCGGTCTCTATTAATCGCACTTCTGAAGGCGGACATCACAACTTTCCCCATACGCCATAATCACGTATCACGTTGTTTCTTTCTTCCTGCAAACGCCATCCGCCCAGGCAGCCGCCCTTGTCTCATTGACATAGAGACTACATATCACACTGGCTCCATAGTTCCACAGAACCTGTGGACGCCTTTGAGTCAGACCGTTCGTCGCAGACACGTTGAGCGTGCAAGACTCTACCTTCCAGGAATATTTCGTTTCGCGGATGGGACTGTCGGTGTCAATATCATCGATGCTTTGGCAGGAAACTATGGAGGATTAACGACGCGAGATGAGGAGGTCGACATTGGCGGCAGGGTTACCATCTACCTCAGAATTTCAGTATGTCCCCCTTGTACGCTATGATTATACCACTCGAGTGATAGGACATGATCACCAGTGGCCTGGCTACGCAGATACAGAAGAACAGCTTCAGCTCAAGAAGCCCAAAGCCCACACGCCTATCACTGCAGGCAAGCTATTGAACTTCGTTGGACGAGCTTTATCCCGGTTCTTTGAGGTCGGTGAATTACCTATTTTGGTTTACACTATGTATTGACGAGAAGAGCACAGCGTGCCAGTCATGAAGCCCAGATCTCTAATTTTTCTTGGCGAATTGGAGGTCATGGCGGCATCGTGCCCGATGATGTAGTCATTATTGGCCTTGTCCACGTTTCGTCGGGATCTTTGCAGCCACTTCTACAGCTCACTAGCAGGGTCATCTCTCCACAATGAACTTCTTACAAGCCACATGAGAGTGTATCTTTGTGCGTGGAGGTCATACAGATGGTTCTCCATTCACCTCGATGATCATTATTCTGTTCGCGCGACAGTTCCTGTAGGCACCTTACCTTAGTAGTGATTACATTTGATTTGTATATAATTCTAAAGAAACATTTCCTTTCCTATTCGATGAGACTGCTATCATCCTATGCAAGGCTCTCCACTGGTTCTCCGGGTTGTAAGATGACGGGTTTCCTGTAGTTTCCTAGAACTAGTAACGCCACCCGGCCACAAAGATTAGGACCCGGCATTCGCCGAATGCCAGTGCCTCTCAAGTCGCCCCGCTGCCAGCAACTCAACTCCAGCTTGTATCATCTCAAACTAGATTTGGACGTGCTCGAGGACCTACATTAGAAGAGTCTTAGGTATATCTCATTAAGCGAAACCCGTTCAAGGTCTCTGTCTATTGATAAACTATTGGTTCTAGATGAATGCGTCCGGCGGTGTAGGCTACACCCCGCTGCTCGGAGAAGTGTATAAATCCGTGCTGTCCCTCGATCCTCCTATCTCATTCAATACAGTTCCTTAGACTTGGTCAGAGCTTCGCAACAGCGCATGACTCAAGAGTCAAGACTCCCTCATCCCACGCATGTTCAATGTACACATCGTGCGTGATCACCACGCCGAAGCTACCACCCAAAACAGTATCTGAGGACAACTTCGGGGCTGTCGCATTGTCCGCAGTCCTTGCCTGCAGGTTTCTGAAACTATCAGTATTATTTGATTCGATGGGTTTGCCGGGGAAGTTCCCATCGAATGCTTCTGCACCTTGTTTCCGCCCCCTTCTGATGCGCCAGAATCCGTAGACGAGCTTATGATGCGGATTGGCTATGATAGGGTACGTTTTTCTCACCGATTCGATGGGTGTTGTATGCACTCTAGCCTGCTGGACCAGATACCACAAGGACGGGGCGCTCCAGTGCGCAATATTTGGACCGCCCAGCTGCAACCTTTTGATAAGGTTTGCTTTTATTGCGAAAGTGCTCTTTTTGTTGACAAAGGTCTGATCCAAGAACGTCACGGACCACCCCCAAGCCCAGGATATCTGGGGTACCGGGTATCACGGTGAGTACGATGGTCTCGATGGCTGGATGGTCTCGAGACGGAGCAAAGTGACTGGTTCAGATTCGTCAACAGATATCCGCACTGTCACTATTATAACGTCCGCGCAATCATCTTCCTTTTTCATGCGCGCCTCGTCGAGGCAGTATTTTTCCGATCTTCTCCCCGAAAAGACCTTGCTATACAGTATCGTACGACACCCTTAACGTTCCTGCACGAGGATGAAATACGCGACAGTCCCATCTTTCGGCAGGGATGCCGCCGATCTTCCTGGCTTTCCCATAGGTGATCTTCCAAGGATTCTCTCAAGGTTTGAATCTCGGATGTAGCGATACCATCTTGAAGGTACCCAGGGACGATGTTCGTGAAATGTCCCTGCCATCTGGGCACAAGAGTTGCCCATTTCCTTCGACGGAGCCGGGGTGGGACGTTGTTCTAGTAATACTTCTGAGAAGATGTCCTCGCCGCAGGAATGGAACACATCTTGCATCGTGGGCGGTCTTCAAGAAGTGCTCGGGCTTGGTTACGCGAGGTAATATCCAAATCCCTGAACCGTTTTGATGCTTCATTGAACGGCTTCTTTTCACAAGAGGGAAAGGAAGCCTCGGCACGGGATGATGCAGCCCAGGATATCTATATTCTCTCTACTAATAATTTCGGATGATGCCTCTACTAGGTATTTGGAGAGCTTAATCGAGTGATGTAGTCATTCTCTCAAAGTTCACACCGCTGCCGCACCTTATGACATGACCTGTCCAGGGAGTTCATTGAACCTTGCTTTTTCCTCACGCTCACCCCGGGCGATGACCGTTGTTCTGGTTACATCGAATTCTTACTCGGTTTCAGAAATTGCTTGACTGTAGACGGTAATCCATTATTGTCCCGATGGCAGCCGATATCATAAACGATCCTAGGACAGATCACCAGCCTATCATCCTATTTTTATTATGAGGGACAGTCCGAGGAGGTGTTACTCAGGACCGATATGCAGGACGCCATATAAATTTTGTTGGTGTTGCCAATCACCTTTTCTGTCATCAGTCTGCGCCCTCCTTTCCTGTCAGTCGCATTGTTCATTTCTTCTCGGTGGCCTTGTCGTGACCCTTCTGACTTTTCCCTTTAATTGTCTACGAAGTCTAGGGCAACATGGACCCCAGCACCGACCTATTCGCCCAGTCTTATACGTCGCGGACGCTCACAACATCTCAAGCCCGATATCTTTTGCAAAAGATCCTCAAAGCTCCGTCACCCAGTGCCGTTGACATCCAGTATGACCCTTTCGAACTTTCGTTCTTCCTTGTCCAACCTCCATGGCGCGTGGACTTCAACGCTGAAGCCGACCCTACGCGAGGCCCGGTTGTTCCGCAGAGGCTCTGGTCTCCCCAAAGTCCCACACGTCGCCAACAACACGTTGACGAAGGCGTCCTCACCTTGCCCCTCATCTTCGTCGACTTTTCCTGGACGGTGGGGGTTTCGGTTGCAGACGCTATAACTGGCAACTGTCCGAACCTTCGTGGACTTCGTGATGAGGTCCACTTCGGCGAAAGGAAGACTATCACCCTTCGTATTCTGGTATGTTTACTATCACAGTCGTCGTATGAAGTTCAAAGGCGATGCTTAGTATGCACGCGGTGCGCAGTGGCCTGGATATCAGGAATCTACCTCTCAATTCCAACTTCGCCACCAATCCAGTGAAAGGCCTATTACAGTCTGTGACCTCGTTGGTCTCGTGGGGCGAGCACTTGACAGATTCTTCAACGTACGTCAGAACTATAATGAATCCAGAGCTGCTCTTATCTTGTGCGCGAAATTATAGACTGCTGAGCATGAAATCCAATTGTCTGCTCATGAATGGAGAATTGGACGTCACGGAGGGATCGTAAAGGAGGACGTCATTATTATTGGCGTCGTTCATGTTTCTGATGGAACTCTGCAGGCATGACTTGCTCTTCCCTGTCCGATTGCGCTGGCTGATCATACTTGTGGCAACAGGTCCTCATGCAATTGGCCCACCCAAGGCTCTCTACGCAGCCGCCCGGTCCCGAATGAGCCTTTGCCTGACCCGAGGCGCTAGCGCCTTCTCGTTGGATGTCTACAAAAGTAGTCATGCAGATCTCCCAAAATAATATCTTTGATCCTATAGCCTTTCTGGAGGAGAGTTCACATGGCCTTCGTGGCCCCTAGTCGTACCATCTTGCCTATATCGTTACCTCGTACGCTCTATCATGTATTGTTCTCAACGCTACTCGCGCAGGTCGCGCTCCTCCTCTATCCAACAGTCTAGTAATCCCGAGTAGTTCAACCACATCTGGCGCCACAGAGCCGGTTTGCATTCTTTGCAAGCGCCACGCTGTCCGAGCTTCGGCCCTGGTCGACTCACCGAGTACATAAGCCAATGAACTTTCTGGCCCGCACCGCAACTATGGGTATGAGAGCCGGCGGAAGTCCACCTCCGAGAGTCCCTCGCCCCCGAATAGGGGCACATCATGTTCAATTTCGTGGTCAGCGGCTCTGCAGAACGGTCGATGAACTTACTGCCGAACGCAGTCGAATTGTCGAGCGCTTAAGCTCGAGCATGAGATCTTGAGGGGGACGGAGAACGGCACGGATCTTGAGCGCTAAGAACGATGTGTGAGGACTCCCCTCTTCCATACTTTGGTGGAAAATCTTGATTACTTACGGATTCGGGAGAGCCTCGAAGCCTCGAAGCCCACGGCCGGGGATACCTGAAGTAGCGTCAAATGTGTGAGCGAACATCGTCCCTGACCGGTTTGCATCATAAAGTCAATTGCGTAGCGCCATCCGCTCTGCACTCGTGCACCATGTGTAAGCTACAGATAAATCCCAAAATATTAAGAAGAACACAGTGCTGGTGGAAGGGAAAAGCAAACACCGCCACCACACCAAACCAACAGAGCAACAGAAGAATTAATAATACAACCAACGTCTTCATCGTCATCAACAGCGGCTAACCGAATCCATAGGGGTGTGATAGTGGGATAGAGTGAAGAATAGCTTTTCGTGCAGGTAGGGAGGAGAAAGCAAGAGCAGAGTAGAAAGTGCGACTATAAGGCGTGTACAACCGTAGACTTCTCGTGGTGGCGAATGAGACATCGTAGACGAAGGATGAGGAGCGATGGATTCGCTTCTAAACAGTAGCGATAGCGGAAGGGTCTGAAGGTTCCCCGCGCCTGTTGACGTACGAAGGCGCTTGAATGTCGATCTTACCTTGTTCCTCGGCTGTGTGTGAAGATGGATGTGGTGTTGTGTGTGACAATCGATAAAATAGTGCAATCGGAAGATGATTTGATCAGTATCAATGTGGCGTGAACAAATAGTGGAGAGAGCAATAAGGCACGAAACTTACGAGTCGAACGCCAGAAGTATACCACGAGACCGACGATGACGACGACGAACGAGGGGAAGTAGAGCCAGTATGGGCTGTAGTGCTGTATAAGAGGAGATCAATGTCAGTCGGACAATATCACTGAAAAATGGCGGCTGTCGACATACGAAGAGGAAGAGACCTGTGTGAGGCGATAGATTTCGATGAGTATCATAAATTTGGGGAAATAATAGGTCTGATAGGCGTACCGAAGAGAAGACCGTAGAAGTCGCTTGTGAGCAAGCTGATGTTGTAGTACGTCGATGACGCGAGGCGGTATAGCAACGGTGCAACGGTGTACAGAATGAACATAGCTAAAAGGAAATAAATTGGTCACCATGCCACATGAGAAGGAACGAGAAACATACCCGAAGTATAAGCGACGAGAAGACCAACTGCATAGGCGAAGGGCAATTTAATGAGATCAAATGCCGGTGATTAAAAGTGAAAGGAGCGTACTATTCATGCCGGACCAGGTAGCCAACTTCATGACTTCGTGTTCCAGCCCCGCTGCTTGGATTCCATTGATGATCATACCCCACATTCCAAGTTGACCCACAACTTCGTAAAGAGGCGATCGGCGCACGAAGAACTCTTCTGTCGCATTGGCTGTGGTAGATCAAGTCAGTCAAAGTGATAGTTGAAGGTGAGGCGAATGGGAAAGGGGAAACGCACTGAATCCGTAGAGTGTGGCGCCGACAATCATGAAAGCGTCGCCCTTGCCCTTGCTCAGGGCAGGGTAGTCCTTGTCCGTGATTTCGTCGGAGGCCACGAGGAGACCCAAGCCAAGAACACAGATCAGGATACCCTAGAGTACGAGAGAGCAGTCAATCGGAGTGAGAATTGTAGTTGAAAACCCATTCAGGAGTGGGCGAACGTACAATCACTTGAGTCCAATGGTATTTCGGACGCATGTACAGCCAGGCAAAAAACATACACGTAGGAATGGCCCATCTATCGTCCGGTTAAATCATTTAGTTGCTAGTGGGCGCGGTTAAAGACAAGGGGTACATACGCATCAAGCAACATGCAGGAGAGTAAGTTGGTGTAGTTGTAAGCCTGGCAGGGTGTTGTCAACACACAAAACAAATCAGCGCAGGAACTGAGTTACCAACCTTCACTACGAGGAAATTGCCTTCGACGTCGCAAGCAGCCAGGATAATGTCTGAACACACAACGTGAGAATCAGAGTATACAGGCACACCCAAAAGGTACGTACACTTCCAGCTGTCCTTGTAGAGCATCTTGAACCAGCCCTTGAAGCCATCTTGATAGCGGCCTCAGTAAATCTCTAAATTCTCCATGCAAACACCAAAGGAAGCTCACATTTGTAGATCGTGTAGGGGGTGTACGTGATGAACAGGGAGAAGTATCTGATAGATAAATTAGCCGCAGGACGTAGACTAGAACAAGTTGAATACGCACAAAAACCACGTCTGGGTGGTAGGGAGTGACCAGTTCCGATCCACCAGCTCCGTCGTAGTGACGTTTGTGCAGGTAATGCACAGTGACACGACCTGTCCCGCCAACAGACTGAGAATGAACCGCTGAGTCCAAACGCTCCGGAATCTCCTCCAGCAACTCGAGACAAAAGCGCCCGGAGAGTGATACTCAATCGGTGGCCGATATTCTTCCTGCTCCGAGAGGTGGCTGTCGACATAGTCAAGCTGAGGTCCCTCAGTCGTAGGATCAACCTCGCTTTTGTTGTCTGGCTTGAAAGACGACATAGTGCTTGACCTGTGCGAGCGCGAAGGGGATGATGGTGGTCCGTGGAAAGGAACGACGAAGAAGCAGGAGACCTCGCGGTCAAGTACTTCAATTGACCGGTGTTGTGGCGCACTGAGAGAAAAATTGGAATGATCGCCACTTGGTCCGGCTCCACAGCCAGGCACAATCTCACGATCTTATCTCCTTTTCGGGTAACAAGCAGATCTCCGAACGCTTTGAACGCACCGAATATATCCGCTCATTTTCTCTCGATTTTACTCCCTCTTGCTCTTTGCCACATATCGATTTTTATTACTTGCACAACATTGGGCACAATATTAAGAGTCTATGTTCATCAGGAACCGGTGTATATATACCAAGCGCGCAATGTCCCTTGATCCGAAAACAGGCTCGTATGAACGTGGGTGACCCCTCAAGCTTCAATACAACATTGACAGAGTCTAGCACCAATTCTGCACCATGTCAAGATATACCAGATTAATTATACAAAATTAATCCCAAGAAAGATACATGCAGGCAACATTAACATACGCCCTTTCACGTCTCCTATGCTTCCAAGAACGCCACATCCCCATCCACACCTAACGCACTCAGTCGACTCTTCGCAATCTTCGCCACATCCTCCACCGCTCTTCGACACTCAGTCAGATACTCCTCATCTCCCTGCTTCACCTTTCCAATATCCTCCAGCCCGAAAGTCTTGTTCCCGACGCCGAGAACTTCCTGCATCTCCTGCATAACCTCCTTCCGGCTCCTTCCATTCACGAACGTGATGTATCTCAGGCCTTCAAACTTCCTCTCATACGCCTCATTCAATACCTTCAACCTCTCCAAAACCTCAGGCGGTGTCGCTCGCGCAGCCTGTTCACTTGCGCTCAAAGCCGAAAGATTGCTCACTTCACCGATCCGGGGATGAGCACCGACGAAAGATGCCTGGTCTTCGATCGACCATAATGAGATCGTATCCCGAGCGAAGTCAATGAGCGAGTTATATGTCAGAGGTGTAGGTCTTTCGGATGGTTGGTGCAGCTTTGGATGGAGTTCAGGGACGAGTTTCGTGAGGAGAATGGGTGAAGGTTCGAAGAGGGTGGATAACGCGGAGGTGAGGGCGTTGCGCTCGTCAGATACATCAGAGTTACCGACGATTTGAGAAAGAGAGGGCAATTTGGGATGCGACATAATGTGTGCTATATATATGATGTCTGTAGGTATAAACGCAGTGAAGTTTCGGAGAGAATGGAATTCTCGAGTCACCACGATCGCCTCGTTACAAATCAATCTTTCGCCACCTCCTTACGTATTGTGGCGAAACCCCGACATGAAAACTGCCACTGCGATACACATCTATAGCTACTCAGAATCACGAAGCAGAACCACACGAGGTCGAACAAGCACATCAGGTACAGTATCTCAGTGCCTAATAGGGCGCAAACGCCTTCTCCTCCCTCAACTTCGCCAACGCCTCGTCTACATCTCCTTGCAAATCATGATGCCAAATCTGCTCATACATGTTCGCAAAGTCCTTCCTGATGCCCTCTTTGGTGTATCCGGAGGGCCCGAAGGACTCGTAGATCCTGCCGGCTCGTGTGCTGCTTTGTAGGACGAAGGTGGCACGGGGAACACGAAGACGGCTATAGGCTTGGAAGACGGCCTGTGGTAGGAAAATCGCCATACGTAAGGGAAGTTACAGTGGTAAATCAGTGGTGGGAGATAAATTCAGAAGCAATTCGTACCTCGATGTTGGAGAGATTAGTCTCGGGGTGCGTAAGAAGTTGAGTCAGAACATAGGTATCCTCGATACCCTGTCCAACTCCCGACCCCAGATGTGGCAACATCGCATGAGCCTGTATCAACGAATATAATCCATCAAATCATTAACCCAACTCTGCCGACCCCTGGACAATCGACGGAAGATTCAGAATAGAGGAGGAAACTTACGGAATCACCAATCAACACCACCCTCCCCTTGGCATAACTCTCCAGGGGCGGGTTCATATTATGAATCGACCACTTGGCCGGCTCTTTGATACATTCCAGAATCTTCTTCGCGTCGTCGCTCCAGTCTGAGTAGGCAGCGATGAGCTCCTGTTGGGGAACTTGTTCGACCCAGGGGGCGTGTGGCGGGAGGGAAGTGGCACCGATGGGGATAGTGTTATCAGAGACGAAGGCGACGACATTGAGCTACAGAGGCGGGCAAAGTACGAGGAGGGATAGGAAGAGGAAGATTTGATGAGAAGGTGTTTGTATACACAGTCATCAGAGGTGAAAAGGACGTACAATCCTCTCTTGTTTGATCGGGAAGGTGATGAAGTGCTATTGTGGCGCAGGCATAATTCTAGTTAGGACGGTAGTCTCGGGACAAGATAGATTCCAATCGAATATTTACCTTATTGTAGCCAGTCCAGACTAGCGGATCGGGCGATACCTCCATCTTCACACCTTTCTTCTTCAATTCCTCCATAGGGATCAATCCACGATACGCGACCGTGTTCGTGTACTGCAAAGACTTCTTCGCCGTCTCTTCGCCGACAACAGCCGCGCGGACGACACTCCTGCATTCAAAAATAATCATGGTCAGTGACAGTTTCCCCCATAGACGGTACGGTATTCTACTCTGAAAGATGACTGACTTGATTCCATCCGCGCCGATGACTACATCAGTCTCGTGGGTCGTCCCATCCGTGAAATGGAGGACAGTGCGGGAGGCGTTAACAGTGGAGGGAGTAACGGAGATGCAGCGTTTGTTGAAGTGTTCCGTAACGAGTTTCTTGTCCAGGAACTTTGCAAGTGCGTCGAGAAGTCCGGCCCTGAAAGGCATTAGACGGGTTAGTATGCCCTGAATTGTGCAGGAACTCGAGGAGAGACACACCGATGCACACCAAGGGCAATGTCATCGTCTCGAGCAGGGTACTAGAATTCAAGGTTTGCCAATGAGCTGTGAACTAGTGCAAGGTAACTGGGACACATACGTGGTAGATGAAGTCGTTGTTGTCTGTTCCGTAAATGAAGTTGAAAGTCTTCATGTCCGCGGCGGACTCGTCCGAGCAAGCAATGATCTCGTCGAGAACACCAAAAGATTTCAAGACTCGGACCGCATTTGGGCCTGTGCAATACATAACATCGTCAGATCCATCCACCAAAAAAACCAGCTTAGGCCAGGCTACGCACCGAGCGCAACACCAGCACCGACTTCGCCATATTGCGCCTATAGCAAGCAAGACATCGTCGCACATTCAAAAATCAGCAACCTGCTGATATAAAGGCTCGAACGGTTGAAAATATATGAGGAAGTGGATCCCGTGCTCACCGCAGCCTCGAATACGTCGACCTTTATGCCAGCCTTGTTTAGAGCAATGGCGCAGAGCAAGCCACAAATGCCGCCGCCGACAATGGAGATGGAAAACTTGGTGTTGTCGCTGGACATATTGAATGAAGCAGAAGATCAAGGGGTTGTCGTAAACTCAGAAGTGTGAGTAACTGAAGAAGGAGAAGAAGCGTATGTCGAGATGTCTGTCGATTCGTGAAGCTTTGAGTGGTCCTTTATAGTTGTGTTTCGAGAAGCATACACGAAAACTCCCGAGTGAGCACAAGCATTCCGATTGTGCGTCATAGCAGTCAGATTGATCATCGTCGTGTTGGCGAGTTGACGATACCTCCGAGGTGTGCAACACAACGAGCAGTCGTCCGGAGTGAGCAACCCCGAGACCTTGCAGCTAGCAGGATTCGATAGCGTTGATCTATGAGTACGTTCAGAGGTCGTGAATAAGCCAGCTGAGTTGATGGGTATTTTGAGTTAATGGTAGGGTCACCCTGACCGTTACAAGCTGACGATTGTCCAGATATCAAGTTGGGCGAACGAATCATGCTTCATGGGTCGGACTAACTTGGGGCCAGGGAACGGCGCACAATCGTTTTGGCAAAGCGAAGGCGGTCCAAACGGCATACGTGGTCCTAGGCTTTATGATGAACACTGTAGCGAGTGGTCGACGCTGTACCATCGTGGTTGTCGGTGAACGAAATAAGGGAATGAGTACACAGACGCTGTTCCAAAATTAGTGTGGCGGCCCAACTCTGGCCCGGCTCACTGCACGCTACTGTGGCACTCCTTCTGTTAGAACCCAGACGCCAACTCCGGTTGTTTTCTTCGTGTATAGACGGGTTTGGCGGTGACAATGTTAGTGTCATAGCAATTAGTGAAGACGGCAATCCTCATGCGATAGTGGACGCACTCAATTAATAATATTAATGAACACAGTGGATAAACCACGTCGCCCGCCTTCAAGTTCAGCTACAGTACTTATTGCTCGTGCGAGAGCCCAATTGAAATCTCTGTCTACTCTCGCCTTTGCGAGCTCGAGACTATCAACTTCGTTCAAACTGAAGCTTGAACAATGAGCAGAGCCATGGTGTCGCTGAGCCATATTGCCGGTCCGATGACATAAGCCCCTAACAAAGCCTGCCTTCCGCTCCTCCGCCACATTCAACATTCATGCTGCTCTAGTCACCGCATCGTACAACTATGACTGCGGTCAAGTCCAAAGTCATCTTGTTATTCTACTACAGATCGGCTAGGCAGGCGTCTCTTAGCAGGTATACGGCAGAGATCTCAGACAAGGACACCATTTCGGATTTGGCGAAGCAAGTTGCGAGCGAGGAGGGCGTGAAGAGACATCAAGTCGTGCTATGGAAGGTTAGTCGTTTATTGTTCTGATTTTCTTACATCTTCTGACGCACCGAAAAGCCAAAGATAAATGTGAAGACTGGTGCCGAGCTACAGTATCAGCTGCAGGAGCACAATAACGACCTCGCAGAGTTCTGTGAGAACGCAACGGACATGGACATCGAATTTACAGTATACGAGCTTCTAAGGGCCACCAAGAGCACTTGGAGTACATCTCGCACGACCCTCGTTGTCGAGATTCGTCCTCTGACAGCAGCGAAGAGCGCGACAGACAGAGAGGACGAGGATGATGTCCTTTCAGAGCTAAAGAAGGGTAATTTTCCATTTTTCATCTCGCTAGTCGGCATGTGCTCACGCGATGTACAGATTACAAACGCACTATCGATGCTGCACGCAAGAGAAAGTCACCATCAGTAACCACAAAGTCAACGAACTACAGTGACCTGCAGCGAGAAGCTCCCGTTCTTGACGGTCGTTATCCTGCTGGTTATGGCCCAACTGCGGCCCCCCCAGTCGAACTCTACCATCCTGTATTTGCACGATTTCTCGCAAATGCCAGCAAGGCCGACCTTGATGTGCCGGACGACGTCGTACGGCAGACAGCCAGAATCATGGAGGCTGCTTCACTTATCGTCACACACGAAGCCTACTGTGAACGTAGCATACGCCGCCTTCTTGCCGACCTTTTGGGCTATGGGGTCAACCAGATTGCGAACCATCATAAGACTTCAGTGAATCACATAGCAGCTATCTCTCGAGACAAGCAACCCGCTGAACTAGCCGCCTTGGTCATCGCGGAGGAGAAATCTGAACTGGGATGGTTGGGTGATCCATCTGTGGAAGGTCCTCTGTCATATCTGGCATTCTGGTCTGATTCAAGCGTGCGTGGGGTCTCAGTTCAGTCTATTCCGACTATTTTCTCTCTTACTGTCCTCACCAGCGCGACCGACTTCGCGACCTGAGCTGCTGCCCCTCGTTCGTCGTTGGCATCGCTGGGCCTTGGCTCGTCATTCTAGGCTGCGTGTGTACGTCTAGCGTCATCGCCCAGAGACTCACGGACTACATGTGGATTGGCAACAGTCGTGTCATTGACGATGCGATTCCTTTACGCCTTGCTCGACGATTCTACGCCCTTCGCCTTGCCGTTAACGAGCTCCGGGATTACTATATTGCTCTGTCTATCGACATAGACAGGAGCCTTCGCTTCTTTCCGTCTGTGATGTCTTACACGAAGAACAATGCGACCTTCAATTTCCGATACGTGAAGCCACTCGAGTCCGACAAGGGGTGCGTGACGTTCCTTGCCGATCAGCTTCCACTGGCCCGCGACACAGAAGGAGGGGCCCCGGTGAACGAAGAGGAGCAGCAGGAACACAGCCAAAGCCTGGGACGGGATGAGGACGATTTCAAGGACGATGACAATGACGAGAGCGAGGACGGAAGACGGGTAGTCGTCAAGTTCGTGGAGCGATATGGCAGGGAAGCGCACAGGGTCCTAGCCTCACACGGACTGGCGCCAAAACTCTTCTTCTACGGCCCGATCTCAAAGGATTCCACATTATGTTATGGCGACCGTCGCTTGGTGGTGATGGAGTATATCGAGGGCGAGTCCCTGTACGATGCATATGTTCGAAAGGGAAAGCCCGTGCCCAAGAAGGTGCGCGAAAGGATCCACGATACCATCAAGATCCTTCAAGGACAGGAAGTGCCTCTTGTCCATGGCGATATTCGGGAGACGAACATCATAATCGAGAACCGTCCAGGCAGACCGGAGGACCGTCTGAAGATCATCGACTTCGACTGGGCAGGAGAGGAAAATGTGGTAAGATATCCGCTGCATCTTGCGATCGCTGGGCGACCCGACGGCGTCGAGGACTATGGGCTTATCAAGTGCGAACATGATACGAAGATGGTGGAGAAGCTGTAGTTGATGATGAAGCTTGCGGTGCGCGCTGTGTTTGTCCTGGTCTGTGATTTCGCAATCAGGGCTTGCATGTTTTTGTTGTTGTTGTTGAATTTATCCTCGTGAAGGAAGTTTCTTCTCTGTTTATTATTATTTTACTTACCCCTGGTCTCATGTTTTGTTTGGCGGTAACAATGTTAGTGTCGTAGCAATCAGTGAAGACGGCAATGCAGTCATGCGACAGTGGATGCACTCAATCAATAATATGAACATAGTGGACAATAAACCACATCGCCTGCCTTCACCTCAACTTCAGCTAGTAGTCCAACATTCTTTTAAATAAACCCATACAAGTGCACTTCACATGGGTGAAACGAGCAAGTCTGTCGGCCTCGAAGCAACCTGCTCCTCATAATCTGGCGCGAGATCGTTATCGACCAAATTCAAGGCGGTAGAGAACGTTCCATCCGTGACAAGCTCGACGCCGGCCAACGATGCTCCAGAGGCGTCTAAGCTCCATAAAGAGAGCGCGAGCGTATTCGTGGACGAACGCTTCAATATTCTATGGACAGAGTAGAGTCAGCATGGTCTTGGGATACAGTAGGACTCCCCAAATAGAAGTCGAGACTTACCCGGAAGGGAGAACGAACATCGTTTGGGGACTATGAGGGAGACATACAAATTCGCTTCCTCAGGAATGTCCTACGAACGGATAGAATGGGATTACTTACCCAAAGTTGTTGATATACTTGCCAAGCTGATACCCGTTCAAGTAGATCTGAACGCGGTAGTTCTGTGTGATATCACTAGGCGAGATCGACAAACGCACGGGGGCATCTACGTCTGATGCTAATGGCTATCCAAAGTACGTGTGTGGATACAACATTCAGAGTCTCGAGAACCAAATCTATGGTCTTAAATATAACTGAATTTGAACGCACCATGTCGAACGTTGTCCTGAAGAAGTTCACGCCTGCCGTAGAGACCCCTCCACTGGCCAGCGGCGTACCCGTGGACCATTTAGAGTCGTCGAAGCCTGGCAGGTGGGCACCAATCCTCTCCGCGTATAAACCCCCTTCGTTGAGGTATCCCCTGACGCTGTCTGGAGCGTTGGCGGCACCTCCCTGTAATGATAATGAGAAGCTTGAGTCCCACGACTACGAGCGTACAAGGATGGAGTGAGACCGACAAGATTTCCTTGAAGCTTCCAAGAGGTGAAGGTGGCATTGCTGCCTGGACCAGTGATAGTTGCGAGCCGGATTCCACGAGGCTCTTTGCCACTGTTGGCTGGAGGAGCATGCAAGTTTTCCGTCAGTATGTACTACAGAGTTAAACGCCGACATTTCGGATCACTCACTGCTTGTCTCCACGATACTGTTTGATGATTTCAGCCAAACGGCGGTAAGGTCTAGTAAACTTTCGTCATGGTTAAACAGACGTACCCCATGTGGTCTATCGCAGATAATTGTTTGAACAGAGATATGATCATAAGTAGAGTATCCTTCACACACCTTGAAGCACAACAAGCACATTGTCCTCTTCCGCCACGAGTGTACCATTGGGAATGCTCCATGTATTCACGGTCTCGCTCACAGTGATGTTGCCTTGACTCGATCCAAGGAACACACCATTCAGGAATGCAGAGTACCCGAACCAGAAACCACCCATGACGCGAAGGTTGACCGTAGTCTCGGACCCAGATGCATTGAAGTGACCACGCCAGATCAGATTGCCACCGTAGAACCTAGACGAAAGTGTCCGCGATTATGAGCATGTGAGGGAGTCATCCGTACTGGGTAGTAAAATACTATACCCGTATTGCTGCGAGTAGAGAACTTCAGGCCCGGATAGAGGTGGTAAATTCGTGTACTGGAACCGGCGTCAACATGATGTCACGAGATAAATGTTTGAGTTATATCATAACACTCACATTAGTGGTCGTTTGATCAGCTGTAGTGAAATTCGAGTCATCGAAGTCTCTGGCTATTTCTGGGAGGCTGAAGTATGCATTATAGTTATCACGACGGTGAAACTTTATCCGAGGAGAGCATTCTCTTACCTTCCAGAGACTGTCCAAGGGCCCAAGGATGGCAGCGCCGGTGCAGATACACTCTCGAGGGTGGCAGTGAACGACCCGAGAGACGTTTTTGTGATGTCAACATTGTTGCCATTCCAAGTGAGCGCAGAAACTGAAGAGGGAGCAAAGAACTCCAGGCTAGTCGTTTCGTTAAGATCTCCGGTCTGAAAAAAGTAACAGTCATTAGAAGGAGGATGGCTTTCTATCATGATCGACGCACCAATGAAAGTGTAGGCCCTGAGACGCTGGCGTTTCGGACTAGATATGGACCATTAACAAGGACGCTGTTTTGAGCGTGAGTGTCAGCTTCTTAAGAATGACAGGAAGCCGAAGCGCCTACGTTTCATTCGATCCAACTGAGAAGAACTGTCCAAACGCTCCCGTACCCGGGATGACAGGTGCATGCCATGTTGTTGCTGTGTTCTTGTCCAACAACACGACAGTGATATTCGTCCCGTTCCCATTGATGCTGACGTATTGCGACCCTTGAAGCTCGTAGTTGAGGGTGAGAGTCCCGTTTGTAAACGTCGAAGTGACGTTTTGAGCGCTTGAGGCCACAGAAACGGAAGGCTGCGAAGCGAATTTGAAGGCTGTCTCTCCCAGTTCAGTGATACCAGCGTAGATGATAACAAAGTCCGTCCCATCGATGCTAAATATGTGATATGTTAAGGGTCCGAAAAAGAAGAGAAGGGAATGTGGGCCTACGTAGTCCAAGTCATGACCCTGTGCGGTGTGAGAGACATTCATAGTCAGAACAGATATAAGGAGAAGGTAAATTGTCTTACTCGGCGGTAGAGTACAATATCGTTGTCTTACTAGTACCGAAGACATAGTCTGTCACGAGAATCTTACTATCTCTCCCATTCAAAGTGATGGCTCCTTGACTGGGTACCAACATCGAACCATCGGATGTTGTGATATTTATTTGCGTCGTGGTCAAGGCCGTAGATCTGCAATATACCAATTCAGTGGTACGCCATGGCACAGAAGGACTATGTACGAACGTGCTGTCATTATGCCTAATAACATAGAATGCAGCTCCGGTGTCCAGATTTCTCACTTCGGAGGTATGTACCAAGGTGGACGTGGTGTAGTTTGTCCCGTTACTGATTTGAATGGCTCCAAGGAAGTCACGAGAGGCGCGTAGAAACAATCCTATGTCCAAGCTTCGGTCCGTCTAGTGGCACTCTCCACACCAGAGAATTCGTACCTTGAAGTCTCATCTCATTCATTTTCGGGGTTGTCACCCTGTTCTCGTTGATACCTAAGACAATATATTGAGATTCTCCGAGATAGTTAATACAGTCTTGACAAACGTCTCACCTGCACCATAATCATAGCTAGAGTACACCGTAGGTTCCCCAGTTTGGCCGACGTTGGTTCCTCCAAAGGTCATGTAGATACCTTGACATTAAAAAGTGGGAAACTTAGCCTTAGGAGAACCTGTGAACGAAAAATGGCATAATCCCACTCAATATAGTAGCGGTCTCCGCGCTGACAGGCATGTTAACCTCTAGTATTTAAAAGGCTAGAAGGCGAAACATACTAGTTCTCCTTGTAAAACACGGTCTCTGTGACGCTTATCAGCGAGCTTCTGATTGAAGAACCTCTAACGGTGTGACTCACCCATTTGTGCGTTGTATTGACCGATCTCTGAAATTACCAATTGAATAGAACTCTCAGTGTCAAGCGATGCTCAGAATATTGTCTCAAGAACGTACCGAGATTCTCGTATCCTGTGCCGTTCCTGGTTCCAGACGCCCAGCTCAGGAGGAAGCCCCCACCAAACTAGCTCAATGTGGTTCACAGTCAGAGAATGAAGGAGAATAGAAGGCCTTAAGCGCACCTCAGCTAGACACAACGGGTTGCTCGGAGCGACCGCTTTGTGCCCGGAGAGGTAGATAGTCTGGACCACTGCCCAGCTATGCCCGGTCGACTGAGGATAAGAATCTCCGCTGGGCGAAACAGAGCATGATTATGAGATTTCGAGAAGTCTCGACAAGCGACGCACCAATAGATATTCACTGTGCCATTGCCGCCTAGGTCAGGACTGAAGTTTCCTGTAGTGCCAGAATGCTGAAAATACGAAGAGAATTAACGGCTTGAATTTGAGTGAAAACATGTGTCCATGGCCTCCATGCACGTACCTGATCATTGAACGTCAAAGCTATGAGGCAGTCGTGAGAATCGAGCTTCAAGGATCATCAGCTGAAAATACGCACGAACAACAATGCCGTTCTCTCTGAACGTGTTGATCACGTCCTGCATGTAATCACTTCTTCCGGTGCCGGCGGTGAATTCATTCTCTGCCTGGACTGAATCATTGTCAGAGTAAGTGAGAGCGAGTCGAACGCGTATTGATACTCACCCAGGATGACTGGAAATGCGTTCAAAACGTTGTTAAAGTCTTGCTAGAGTACCTATAGTCAAAAGAACTCACTGTTCCCTCCGTTCGTGATCTGGTTTTGTGCTAAGATCTTCGAGACGGCAGTTATGTACGGTTTCCAGGCTATTGATCGTTTGAGTCAGTTCAAATATTGTCTGAGTAAGGTGGCCATATACCTTGGGTATAATTGACGTCGTCGGTCCTCAAGCTGCCAGGTACATTCGTTGCGACCCATCCCGGAAACCCTCCACCCGTGGTCTCCGCATCTGTCAACAGCAATTCATATCGACCAACTGCTCGCCATCCAATATCGAGGTGAACTCACTTATATACGGGCCAGGCCTACGTCGAGAGTATTAGTGCCCTACGACCAAAATCACGACGTTCCAAGGGCGCACCTCGCTATCATCCACAACCCCGCATCCGCTGCATCGCTAATGAACCTCTGCAAGTCTCTCGTCGTACCTTCCTGCCAATCGCCATTCGTTCCGTTTGTATCAGGAGTCGGAAAGTGCAGCGCCCAGTTCACGTAGAAAGACACGGTGTTGAACCCATTTGCCTTCACCTTCTGGAACACGTCGGCCCAGAGATCAGGATTCGGCTGACGCCAAGGGTGTATCTCAGCAGAAAGTATGAACACGCGTTGCCCGAGAATGGAGAGACTGTGGGGGTCCCAAGTAACTTCATCGGTCAACCCGGTAGAGTTACGGCGGTACAGAGAATGGTCGGAAGGATCCAGGTAGGATGACGCGCAGGCTAGTAGAGAGCTGTAGGCCAAGGTGACCAGAGCGAAGAAAACATGGAAGAACATGGCGTGCAGCCAAGTTGAGGAACGCCGACGTCAGTGCGCCGGTTTTATGTTGGGACGAGGGCGGTCGTTCCTCGGTGAGAAGTCATGGGACCGCGTCGGGCCCCGACGAGGACAGGCACCGAAATTGCACACAACAGAGCATGGTTGCAGCGGACCGAAATGAATATAGTATAAGATCGTCGAACAAAGATCGACAATGGCGATTTCGCCACGAGAGCATGCTTGCGATAGATACTGGTTTCTGCTGATTACCACCATGCCACAGAAACACTATTGGTGCTATCAACCATGAATACATGGAGGGGTCAGTGTTAGGTAGCATCCATCTCGCATTCGCGCGCCATACGTGCCAAGGATGGATAAAGAAAGAAGGACGACGGAACAGTGAAGATGCTCTCTTGTCGGACTCGGATGCGCGCGCTTCGCACCAGGTGACACGGTTGGTGACCTCGAGTCGCATGGGAGAAGGGAAAGAATCGGGCCGCCACGCGTCATCACCAACAAATGCTCGAGAAAGTCAGACCGGACTCGGTTGAGGATGCATCGATGAGTGTTGGCAGTTGATAAGTAACGAATTTGCTATGGAAGTGCAGGATGAGCACAACGAGGTACAGGTGGCAACCCAGTGGCACCGTGAGAAAGGAGGCTCTTCCGGATTGAACTTTGAAGGACGATGAGAACCATAATCGGACTGTAGCAAGCACAGGATCATGCTGGAGGGCTGAACCGGCGTCCTTCGGACTACAAGAGAGCAATAATACTCATCGACCACGTTAAGTATCGTGGGGTCAAAGCTTTGAAGGCTGTTCCCCAATCATCCCACGACGAGGCATACCGAAGTTGCAGACCAAGGATTGAAGGAGTTAAAGCCCCTGCTTCATAATAAGCGCCAGTGTGAACCACAATTCGAAGCAGAGACAAAAATAAAAGACTCACCAGATGACAGACTCTCTACCCAATCCAGCTGCACTCGGCCGCCCATGATTCATCGACCGAATACTCGATACGCACACCAATTTATAACATCGCGGGACACTTTGCGCTCATGTCACTAGGAATCTGACTATCCACATCAACACGAGCTCATCCTTGAGAACTGGAACTCCACAGGCGCCGCTTCTATGACCAGACCAGGCCTTGTCAAAGAAACTATCAGCCGCAATGTGATCTTCCCAGGTCTTCATATATAAATAAAGCGAACAAGTACATACCCAACACTCACCCACCCACAGTCACCCACCCACACCACAACCATGACCGTGCGCTACCCCTCCGACGACGTCGACCCGACCCCGCTCTCTCAACCCCTACAATTCGCCTTCTCAGGCCGTACCGCCCCAAACCGTTTCCTCAAATCCGCCATGACCGAACGTCTCTGCACATGGTCCTCAACCAGTCTCGCCGCCCGAGGGATCCCGACGACGAACCTCGTGAACGTCTATCGGCGTTGGGGCGAAGGAGCGGTCGGGGTGTTGGTTTCTGGGAATGTTATGATCGACTATGAGCATATCGAAGCTGCGGGGAACGCGATCATTCCAAGAGACGCGAAGTTTGAGGGGGAGAGGTTCGAAGGGTTTAGAGATGTGGCGAGGGAGGCGAAGAGGTATGGGAGTTTGTTGGTTGCTCAGGTCAGTCATCCTGGACGACAGGTCCCCGACACGATGCAGGAACATCCTATCTCTGCGAGTGACATTCATTTGAAAGGTATGCATATCCATTCACGCAGGAAATTCATTTGATGGGTGGCTGACATGATGCCAACTGTGAATCGGGATAGGCACAGCCCTGGGCTCGACATTCGCTAAACCTCGCGCCGCGACACACGAAGAGATCGCGAACGTCGTCCAAGGCTTCGCCCACGCCGCCGAATATCTCGAGCGATCCGGTTTTGACGGTATCCAGCTGCACGGCGCGCACGGCTACCTCCTCGCCCAATTTCTCTCCCGAACGACCAACAAACGAACAGACGCCTATGGCGGCTCCCTCCGCAATCGTGCTCGCCTCGTCGTCGAAATCGGACAAGCGATCCGTAAAGTGACGTCTCCGAGATTCATACTCTGTATAAAGCTCAACAGCGTCGAATGGCAAGAGGGTGGGTTCGGTGTGGATGAGGCGAGGGAGGTATGCAAGATCTTGGAGGAGAACAGGTTCGATTTCGTCGAGCTTTCGGGAGGGACGTACGAGAAGCTCGTGTTTTATCATGAGAGGGAGAGCACGAAGAAGCGGGAAGCGTTCTTCATCGAGTTCGCGGAGAAGATCGTTCCGGGACTGTCGAAGACCAAGGTCTATGTTACCGGAGGGTTCAAAACGGTGGGGGCGATGGTGGAAGCTCTGAATACCGTCCCCGGAATCGGGATCGCACGTCCGCTTTGTCAGGAACCGTTGCTGTGCAAGGAGATTTTAGAGGGTAAGGTGAAGGGTGCGGTCGAGCAGAAGATCGACTTGACAGATGTTTCGTTGACGACTATAGCGGCAGGGGCGCAGATTAAGCAGCTAGGGAAGAATCAGGAGCCTATTGACCTGGGCGAGGAGAAGAATGTCGAGGTTTTCATGAGAGAGTTGAGCAAGTGGACGAATGCCCAGAAGAACAAAGCGGATGCAAGCGGTGGTCACAAGAAAGAAGCCGTTTATGGATTTATGGACCTCCCTGGTCCAGGAATCCCCGGATATGTCGAGGCGAAGTTGTAAAACCCTAGACCGAGCGAGCAGATATTTCTCGGTGTACTAGAAGTCAGTTTTTTTCCCCAATACAAGCCCACATGTGTAAGATTTGTAGTGTGTTTCAGACAAGCTTCAGGATGCATAACAAAGTCGACGAGAAACAAAGAAACAACAGCAAGCGCCAGCTCGGTACGAACATGTCAACCGGATCCACCCGATTGGCCGCCGTACGCGTGCCACAACCTTGGCCTGTGAATTCGAACCTCCTCTCGCCACCCACCCCCCTAAGTATTCACCCAGATTCACCCTCAAACATTGAAAATGACGTCATTCCCTCTCAATCGCACAGTGCTCCGCGACATCGCACGCGCAAACGGAACGGAAGCAAATTTCCTCGATCACCCCGAGTGAACATTGAACAATTTGACAAGTACTGTACGGTGACAGAGAGGATTGGCGATCACTGGCATTCTGCTGTGTCACGATCAAAATGTGTCCTTCTCATTGCCTATTATGGAGGCCACCTCTCGAAAACAAGGACGGCGGGCTGCTTTCGGTCTGTGGAAAGCCTCGGCGAGGAGAGAAAGCTGATAGACGAGATTTTTTGCGTGCTGAGATCTGTTGTAGGCAGTGAGTACTAGTAGAGCCCGGCGTCGCCTACATAAATCTTGATCTTTCAATCTTCCGACCGCCGCCCGACCGACCTGAAGTTTTCTGAGATTAAGTTAGAAGAGAAGACAAAGGCTCCGCATCCACATCAAAGACGACCTTCCTTTTCGAGCCCACCACACAACAAAACAAGCACGGCGTCCGTATAAGTAAAGCCTGTCTCCAGTCATATTGCAGTGATGCCGAATCTTTGAGTGAGACCGCAGCGGGCCCGCCCGCGAAAATCTGCGCATCTCGGGCTGTGGGTCGGCGATGGAAATGAATTACTTAGCGGAAGGCGAGATTATGGTAATAGCTTTGAGCTGCGATACGCTATAGCTAACGTTGTGGTTAGGCCTGTGTTGGACGATGTTAGTCCGGAGGACGCGAGGAGGAAAGGTTGACGCTGTACGGTTGCGGGCGACGGTCAAGATCAAGCCGTCTTCGAGCATCCCCCCTAAAAAATGGAAACTCATGGCCACTCAAAACCGTAGAAAAACGACGATGGACAAATTTTCTTGAAACACTCGCCGATCCTCCCAGCTCTGAATCATTAATTTCGATCTACGTGATCCGCGAATGCGTCGGGCGTCGAGTACACATAGGGGCTCAGTGAGGTGGTCTGACCGTGGCCCCTGTTCTCACTGCCATTAACCTCGACAAATATTCATGTTATTTGCGTAATTTACATGACAGTCGGCGAGCAGGGGCATCTCGGGATGGATGATTGATTCACGCCTCGATGTGCATTCTGCAACGATGACGACCAGCACCCATCGCCAACGAAGGATCATCCAGTGAATGATATTTGCCGCCGGAGCTCCTGTCTGTGATCCACCCGGCAGTTACTCCTCGTCTCCGATGTCGCCTCTGTGCCCCTCGTACGTGTGCGTTAGCGTGCTCGTGAGCTCCTAGAATTCGGAAACGATCATGTACTATAGCTACATACCGTCGCATACCGTCCTGGAGCTCTCTAGTGTCAGTAGCGCAAGTGGTGCATTTATCGCAAGGAAGAAAGAAAGGAATGATGATGTCGCAAAGGAGCTTGGTTGGGAGACATTGACAGGAGATCCTATCATAATTAATGGTCCAGGGAGTATCGACGTCACCGATAAGTCCGTCTATACATAGTCAATATTTGCAAACGTCGAGGAAGGTTGTTATATCATGTATAGTCGAGTATGATGCGCCGGTGGTGCGAGGCCAAAGAAGAAGCCCGAAAGTCGAGAACTGAGGAGCTTAAGATAGGACCGTTCGGAGGTAGTTAGTACTTGTACTGTAAACGCGTAAAGGACCCGGATGAGATTCAGACGATAGCAGCAATACATAGTCCAAGGATGGACCCAGAGTTTGATAGCCGGGCATTCAATGCAGTAGAGGCACATTCGTCCCTACTTACCGTCGCTCGACCGTAAGAAAAGACAACGGAAAGCTCGAAGGGGTAGGAGAGGCTCGAAAGGTACACCATGGACCGTCGTTCCGGGCGTCCGTATCTGTTTCTGGCGAACGATGATGATATTGGTCGTGGTTCGATAACCAATCCGTTCAACCGTTCAACCAGGGAAATGGAAGACCGGGGGAAGACGAAGGAGGAGGTTGACCGGCGGCGCGTGAGAAGAGGCTTGTAAGAGTGCAGCGCTGGAAGAGACGCGCAGGTACACGAAGAGAGATGAAACGAGCCAAGAATATGAGAAAGGAGAAGAGTCGCGAGGCGGAAATGAAAGGCAACAGGGATAGGACATGATGTCAATTCTCGTAAGTCGAGGATACTGGGTTCACGAATTCGTAATCATCGAGTTGGAGACAAGGTTCGACCTAGAATAGGCAGCACAGGCGAGGAAAAGATGGCCTGAAGCTGAAAGTAGATGCTCCACGGCATGTTGAGGAAAGTCCGCGTCTGGAACGGGTCGAATGATGAGATTTGGAGTGCGAAAGGTGGTAGTTCGTCCGTTCGGAAGATGAGGGTTCAGAGAGCATGGGAATGGTCTCGACCGGACTGTCGAGCATGACGGTGACGCATGTTGGAGCGACGAACGGGGACCCTGGAGGAGAGTGTGCGACCGGGATACGTACGGGGGTCGAATGCTGTGGGCAGTCGTGTATCTGAAGCAAAGATGAGTGTGAACGAGTCAGATAAACGTATTTGTGCAGGCGGCAGAGTGATGAACGCGGGGAAGTCGAGATGGCTTTGAAGCTGAGCAGGCAGGCATGATCCGGAGTATATTCCCCGGATGGCGCTCTTGAACGTTGTGGCGGGAGCAGCGCCCGTCCTGATTGGTGTTCCTGGGCCGTTCCGACCAGCGCCGAACCGGGTGCGGTCCGCCGTCGGTCTGTCACCAGCTTTCCTGCCAGCCTCGCCCCACCGTAAACGGCGAATGAGTGCTCACTCCCTCCTCTTCGTCAACCACCACCACCACCACCGTCAACCACAGTCCCCCGCCGTCGTTATCAACATCGTCGCCGACGACGCACTCAAGTCCGTCGTCGCCGTTCCGCACATCGCCGCCGCTCGCAGCACCATAGTCACCGCTGCTCACGCCCCTCCGATAATATCACACCGCAATTTTCGGTCTCCCTTTCCCCCTTTTCTTCTCATTTCATCCACCGACACTCTTACTCCCACCCTACCGGCCGCACGATGGCCAACTATCTTCCCCTTCTTCTCGTCTCTGTATCACATAATGCCGTACCCGACGATACCTCCCTCTCCACCCAGGCCCGCGGCCAAGTCGACTACCTCTCCCATGAGTGGCGTGAAGAGGACGTCTGGCGCTCCTGGCGCAATATGACCCGCCAGAAGAACGAGATCGCAAACGGCGCAAGGTTAGAGAACGCCTCATGGCGCACTTGGTGGAAACAGCGCAATAAGCTGAAGACCATTAGCCCGGAGACTCTGAACTGGTCAGTGTTATCTCCTTATTTTCACTCTCCCATTCCCTTCGTACACATCTCTTTCGATGTGCTGCACTCCGTTCTTTTGGGGCGCTGCCTATCAAATCACGCTGCGCCGATTGGACTCGGACGCCGTATCGCGCGGTCGCGTCGAGTTCCGTCCGGTGACATGGGTCCTGTCCTCTACCGTGCATGTCGTCCTCAGCCCTCGGTCCTCCTCGAACGTCGAAATTGCATGCATCCCTGGGTCCAGAGCAAGCATGGCGAGCACTGCTCATTTGCCTCCAAGCCCGGAACAAGGGCCTCATCTCCATTCTCCGGTATCCGATTCTCTCACCTCCGTGCACGGTGGCCCTAGCGCACACATCTACGGCGTCTGCTTATTTTGGCTTACGCATGTGCACATTTCACAACGAGACTCGCGCTATCGACCGTTATGATCGCAACTCCTCACTGCCTATTCGTTTTTTCCATCCTGATACTGATCTCATCCTTGTAAACTTTTTTTTCTCCCAATGCAGGCTGAAAGACTCGGACGTCACTTGGCTCTACGGACCCCTACACACTGCCGTCGATTGGTCTCCTCCCCCAAGACCTCCACCAGATCCTGACAGTGTCGGTAAAGTTCAGTCTGTTGAGGATCGTCTAGGACTCACAAGTCACGTTGGCATCATCCCCGGGCGGAAACCGATTCTCAAGCATCGGTCTATCGGTGAACTTCTCACCAATGCTCTACCTAACGCAGCAACGCCCGACGATAGTCCCGACGAGCTCGAGCCTATTGATGAAGATTACGAAGACGATTCTGAGGAGCCGCGGCCTCCACTGCTGCACACGAAGAGCGACACCAATATCACAAGATGGGCCGCACGTAATCATCCGTTGAGGAAGGACTCGCCTCCGCGTATCATAGCGCAACAGTCGCCGAGCGCAAACACGACCGAATTGTACGATGCTTCTGTCGACCAGAGGAATAACCCTCCAATCGTCGTCGAGCGCTCTGGCTCGAGTGATTCAGCCAGGGAGACGACGGGAGGGAGTTCGCAGGACTTGAACGGCCAGGCGAGGGCAGGTGGACAGAAGAAACATATCAGTTTCAATACGTTTGTCGAACAGTGCATCGCTATCGATTCGCCACCCAAGTCGAGCAGCTTCGGCGGCCGTAGGATGACCAGTCCGAAGGCCTATGACGAAGCGTACGACGAGGGGTCCGTTCCTTTTCCTCTTCTGCACGTTCGGTCCGCACGCTCATTGATTTTCCCTTCCTTCTCCTCGCGGGGGATTCCGCTCGTCGTCGTTCAGGTACGAAGAAGATTCAGAAGCGGCGTATAACGAAGACATCATGGAAGAGACCTCTTTCTCCGATCGACGGAACGCCGGGTCGGATTCAGACGAGGAAGAAGAGGAAGAAGAGGACGACGAAGATATCCTCGAGATGCGCACCTCGTCCACCCGCTCGCGCTCGTCCTCCTCTTCCCGTTCCCCGGGCAACAACGGCAGCGCTATGTCGCATTCGTATCCCGCACGTATGGTCCGCCCCGCCCTCGCGAGGACGAACTCGTCGGATAAGGAACATATGACGATCGCGCCGATCGCGCCTACGATCCTGAAGACCACGGGCGTTGGCAATCAGACGACGATGGGTTACGGCGGGCACGGCTATGGCCATGATGGTACGCCGGGTCAGATACCGTTGGTGAATCTGGTGTACGTCCCGCCGTGGAGTAATCCGAACGGGAACGGAAGCACGACTAGCAGTCCACCCATGCCTGAAGACGTCTATCGCCACTCCGAAGCTCGATTCAGTGTCGGCGGCAATAACGGCAATAACGCCAACAACGCCAACGCCAACAACAGGAACGCGTCGCCGAATTCCGCGTCCGGGTCGGGGTCCGCGCCTGGCTCGAGGTCGGCTTCAGGCTCGCCTTCGGATAAAGGGGGAGAGGAGGTTTCGCCCGTGCCGAGCGTGGAGGTGATGCCGCCGCCGGCGCAGTATGCGGGGAGCGCGACGAGCTCTGGGTCGAATTCGCCGAGTTCGCCGTATGCGTATTCGAGTGGGGTTACGGGGCCGGGGATTAATGGGGGGAGGACGCTGGTTGGGGCGGGGATTATGAATAAGATTCTTGGGGAGGGGGCGAGGGTTGGGGTCGTTGTGGGTGGTGTCGGTGGTGGTAGTGGTAGTGGAATCAATAGTAATGGGGGTGGAGGTGGTGGGGGAAGTGCTATTGGGATTGGGATTGGGTCGAGGAGTTCGTCGAGTTTGGAGGATGAGATGGATGTGGATGAGGAGGACGGGATCGATGAGGATGTGGATAAGAAGAGGATGGAGAGGGATTTGTTGAGGGAGAGGGAGAGGGAAATCGAGCGTGAGCGGGAGAGGGAGAAGGAGAGGAAGCAGGTGCATCAGGAGGTGGACGAGCATGATTATTTCGGGGGCACGGGCGACTTGAAGGAGAGTGCGGTGATGGTCGTGGGTGGGCTGAAGGAGAGCGGGAGCGCGGTGAGGAAAAAGAAGGAGAGTGTGGAGAGAAATTTGGCGCAGGCGGAGGTGGAGGCGGGGTTTGGGCCCGGGGTGGAGAGGGAGTCGAAACCGGTGGTGGCGTTGGACGAAAAGGCGGTTATGGATCGGAAAAAGGAGAAAGAGAGGATTAAGGAAAGGGAGAGGGAGAGGAGTAGGACGCCTTCGCATGGCGAGCAAGAGAATCTGATGGATGTCGATCCACCATTAACACCCACATCTCAGGTCCCTATTCCTTCCTCCGCATCATCCTCACCCGTCTCTCCTACCTCAACATCCGCCGCCGCCACCACCGCCACCCCACCACACTCCCAACCCGTCCCCGTTCCCATCCCCCGTTCTTCCACCACCAACTCATCCTCCGCTCAATCCATCCACGGCTACGGAATCGAAACCTCGCTCCTCTCACCGCCTTCCTCTCCCTTCCTCCCCTCACCCACCTTCTCCCGTGGTCGTTCCTCCGCCTCGTCACCCCGCAACCTCTCCATCGACCGCGACGAGCCTAGTTCGCAATCCCACTCAAGGGGCCGCTCTATCACTCGGAGCTCGTCGTACTCGGATAGGGAGAGGAGCGGGAGTCGAGTTAGTTCGCCACTTGGGATCGCGTTGGCGGGGGGCGTGTCGCCACCGAATGGAAAGGCGATTCTTCCTTCGTCTGTTTCGGGGTCTTCCTCCGGGTCGGTGTCGGGATCGAAATTGTATGATAAGGACGGGAGGGAGAGTAAAGAGGTTGGAGGGAGTTTGAGGGAGACGAGGGGCGTGGTCAGGGGGAGGATCGGGAGGAAGGTGAATGAGAGTATTTCACCGCCTGGCCAAGGGGGAGTGGGCGTGAATGGGAATGGGGGGACGCCGGCGAGTTTGGATGCGGCTTCGGAGGGGCTTTGGAGGGATGCGGTGGAGAGGAGTCCGTCGAGTTCGTCGATTGCGGGGTCGTCGGTGGCGGGGTCTGTGTCGGGATCGGTGAATGGTTCGGTGGCAGGATCTGTGAATGGCTCGGCAGCTGGATCTGGATCTGGGTATGGCGCTCAGGCTGGGATGGGAGCGAATTCGAACAATTCGAGCTCTTCGACGGTCGGTCCTACGCATACGAACACCAACGCGAACACAAACACCACCGGCGTCAACGGAAACGCGGTCGGCCATGTCACAAAGGAGAACACGAAGTTGGCGATGAATATTCCGATTCCGATCCCGGAGGCGATCATGGAAGAGGAGGAGAACGCGAGGTCGAGGATGCCGACGCCGGCGAATTCTCCGGTTAGGGCGTTCAAGACGACGCCTGTTTATCCTTCGGATGGGTCTACAACTCCCAATGGCAACGCGGATTCCAGCTCTTTGGACAAGTGTCAACCTCAGCCTTCGACAACGTCGTCTCCAGCGCCGTCGAAAGTCAACTCGACGTCTGGTGCCGCTGGTCCTAGTACGCCTTCGAAACCTTCCGGCTCGAAATCAACACCGAGTCCGCCGCCGATGTTGAAGGGCGTCGGACAGCCAAGTACGGCGACGTCGAACGAGAAGGCGGCTGCTGCTGTTCGGAGTGCGTCCGATTCGTCGTCCGCGAGTGCGACGTCACCCATTAGTCCTGCCGAGAGGAGTCTTTCGAGTCCGCATGGGAAGGAGAAGGGTGGGGTGGTTCCGAATGGTGCGAAGAATCATGGAGAGAGGGAGAGGGAGGCTGAGCATGGGTTGCTTGGGAGGGCGGCGGATATGGCGACGAGTGCGAGGGGGTTCTGGGGGAGTATTTGGGGTGGGGGTGGGGGGAGTTAATGCAAATGATGGGGTGGTGGTGAAGAGAGGGAGGGAGGGCATGGTGTGAGTGAGGTTTAGGTGTGTTTATGGCGCGAGATAATTGGACTCGAGGTGCGTTTTTTTGGCCGCTTATCGCTCGGGTGGCTCGGTTTGTGTGGTCTTGGCTGTTGGCTGATCGCGTTCTTTGTTTGTTTGCGTGCAGGTTTTCGTTGTCGCTAGTACATACACATTCTTCTTATCATTCTGCTGTTTCGATCATTTATTCGCCATTCCTGCCTTGTTCAATCTTCATCTTACATCTTCATACTCTTCCTGTTCTTTCTGTCTCACATCCTCATTCCCCTTCTTCGTTTCCTTGGCTCGGTTTCGGTCTCGGTTAATGCGTGGCTAGTCATAGTCTGTTGTTACCTTTTTCTTCTTGTTCCCCTGGCTTCCAGCAACCCTCTCTCGGCTTCGATGTTCTCATGTTTCTTGTTTCGTGTTTCGTGTCTCGTGTCCCGTGTTTCGATGGCAATCCGTCTCGGCCCAGCGTCATCCTATTCCCCCTTCTCATACTCATACTCAAGACTGCTACTCATTCCAATTCCCATTCCCATCTCTGTCTCTTCAAGCTTCATTTCCATTTCAACTCCCAAGTCTCGTTTTACGTCCATATTTGTCTGAGCCCGTCGTGGGGTGCTTGCATATACGATCGCTGCGGCTCGTGACCAGCCTCGATGCGGCTCTAAGAGTCTAAACTCTACATAACTCCTTACAGTCTGTCGACTTAGTTTGTTGTGGGACGTCAGTTTGTACGTTACGGGTTTTCCCACTTCCACTTCCACTTTTACTGCAGACACCTATTTCGCGCGGTATAATTTCAATTCGAGCGATGTGCTTTTCGTGCAGCCTTTTTTCGATTAGTTGATTGATTGCGTGCATTCGTTCGTTTCGTTCGCTCGTTCGCTCGTTCGACTTTGATTCGTTTTTCGGTAGTGTGAGCGGTCCCGGGTGGCCTGTTGCTCATACCCTTCAGTTGAATTCTGTTCACGTTCATGTCTTGACGTTGATGATACGTACGTTCATGAGTTTTATTTCTTCCTTGATGAGTCGTCCACTGAATACGCCCGCCCGCTCTACATACTTACTGACTGACCCTACGAACTCTCAATGTCCCGTTGAACTTGATTGATTTCCGATTCCATTCCCGTTCACATCTTCGTCTTTCATCTCGTTACTAGTCTGCTGATGCTACATTGTCGTGTCATGTCGTGTCCCTCGCTCCGTTCAAATCAATCGACTACTAGTAGAGTTCGCGTGCATACAATACATAGCTGCGTCGTGCATCATGATATGGCTCTCCGGTGTTTGGACGATGATTCAGAAACAGAGGATGCTTGCTTGTTTATCTATGAGAGGATTATTTTTGCTTGGTTTCCTTTGTGTAATTCGAGCAAATATGGTCTGATAGAATGTCTTTGGGTATATGGCGAGGTGCATGTAAGTCTCAGGGTGGCGCCACAGGGCTCCTGAGAGGCGGGTTCCGATGATATCGATTGCCGTTGATGGGGTTTTAACTTGGCACTCCATCCCCTGCAAGTCATATTTTATTTCAGAAACCCAACGAGAAAGTTACCATACACAACTTGGCCGTTTGATGGCCCTCGGTAGACAAGGTTGAACGCATAAAATGATGAAGCGGTCTTTGTTGATTGTGGCTCTTTGAAATGGAGTTGCTTGGCAGAACGTACAGAGCCAAGTTGTGGGTGCAGAGCACGTGGGCGAGGTAAATTGGGTCGTGCCACTCCGTGCGGCGTTCCCCCTCGTCTCGTTCCTCGTTTCCCTTCCCTCTGCCCTCTTTCTTCCCCCCCGTTTCCACGTCTGCTCTCGTGTGCTCTCGTCTTGCCGTCTTTTCTGTCTAGTTGTGATTTGGGACTGGCTTCGGACGCTCTGACTTTTATACACTCTCCTTTATTGGACAGACGTCTTCTTGAGAAACTCCTGACGGCTTCTTTGTTTAACGAACATGAAAATCAGTCAAAAGATTGAGCAGGCTGCGAAGGAGGATAAGGTCTGGTGGTCCTTTGAGTACTTCCCGCCACGAACTGCCCAGGTGTGTGCTTTTCTTCGTGTCCATGACCTTTCATGACCGCTAAATGCCTGTGAATCCAGGGCTTGCAAAACCTCCTAGACCGGATAGAGCGCATGCGCCAGCTAGGCCCGGAGTTCATCGATATCACTTGGTGTGTTTCTCTCATTGATTTCTGCCCGTGAGACTTGTGAAACGAATGGAAGTGCAGGAACGCGGGTGGACGGACGTCTGACCTCACCTCCGAGCTGGTGAAGACATGCCAAAGCTTGATCGGTATCGAGACATGCATGCATCTCACTTGCACGAACATGCCGAGGGAAAAGGTCGACATTGCTCTCCGGGTACGTCCTGCTTTCTTTTCCCTTTCCCATTCCCGTCTCGTGACTACCCGACTGAAGTTCCCCACGCCTACTTCTTCCAGGATGCGAAACATTTCGGCTGCCGCAACGTCCTTGCACTTCGCGGTGACCCACCACAAGGAAAGGATGAATGGGAGGCTGTCGACGGTGGCTTCGCCCATGGTATCGACCTCGTCCGCCACATCCGTAAAGAGTACGGCGACTACTTCGACATTGCCGTCGCAGGTTTCCCACAGAACCAGCTCCTGCCACCCGAAGAACGTGCTCGTGAACACCTTCTGGTAAACGTAACCATTACGAGGACCCCATCCAAAGACCTTATCGTCACTGCTCGCCCCGTTAACGGCGGGTTGAGAGTTAATGGTCAAGAAACCGAGCTCATTCATCTTCGCAAGTTGGCCAGCGATGGCGGACGTCTCCGTCAAGAGTCCCTGGTCAGACCACGGAAGGGCGGACAATTCGTTCTTACAGAATTTAGAGAAGAGTTGGGCGATGTCTGCGGGGGTTTCCGGGTGGCCCCACAGCTTGAGAGCATCCTCTTTCTACATTCCGCCGTCAGATTTCAGGTCACTTCTCGAAAAAAGAGTGCGCCGCTACTTACCGTTTGCTTGATCCATACGCCGTAACCGTCAAGTTCACCGTAAGCGGGACTGCGAGAATCACCGAAACGACCGTTGGGGTACTCGTCCCAGTTCTCGGTACGGGAGAGGTAGGACTTTGTCCGGTTGGCCCAAAAGATAGGACGAATGCTTTCTTGTCGCCGTGTGGGAGTGAGAGACTAGCACGAGTGTGGCGTCAGTCTCCAAAGAAGTACGCCACATGACAGAATAACGGAACTGACCTGCCGCCAAGGCAGAGGCTTGATCGTCTCCACCCTCGGAACGAAGTTCAGTTCCTCAAGCAGCATCTTCGTCCCCCTTTCGAGGTTCATGGTGTAGAAATGGAGGCCGCGAATTCCCACATCCGCCTGCAAGATCCTCTTACAGAGCTCTGCGACCAACTTAGTCCCGATCTCCCTGACCTTCTCGTCATCATTCTTGTATGGCTCGAGCGCATCGAGGTACGACTGTGGGATTTTCGTCTTCGCGAGACTCGTCGCCCTGTGGAACCCGTTCCACGTCTGGATCGGGTTAATTCCCGGGACGATGGGGATAGTGATCCCCGCCGCGCGGACCTCCTTGACCCACTCGATGAACATGTCGACGTCATAGAACATCTGCGTAAAAATGAAGTTCACGCCCGCGTCGATCTTCTCCTTGAGGAACTTCATCGGACTCTTCTCTTATCTATGTAAAACAGCCGTATTGATCGAATCGCTGGTGTCAGGCATACCTTGAATTCTTCGTGTCTCCCGAACTCCTCGCCGTTCTTGTGCCCCATCTCGAGAAGGACTCCAGCATCACATATCATGTTATCAACAAGCATGGAGACTTGAGGACGAACACGACTACCCAGGGTCCTAATGCCGTCACCTGGGGTGTCTTCCCTGGAAAGGAGATCGTTCAACCTACCGTCGTAGAAGCAATCAGTTTCATGGCATGGAAGGTAAGCCAACATGAAAGTCGACTAATACGATGACACTAAGGTGAAAACTATCGCAGGACGAGGCATACGAGCTTGGCCACCAGTGGGCTAAGCTCTACGAGGCCGATTCTCCCTCTCGCAAGTTGATCTCCGACATGATGAACAAGTTCCTACTCGTCAACGTCGTTCACAACAACTTCATGACCCCGGACGCCATTTTTGAGCCTTTCTTCAGGGCTGGAGCCGAATTCGCCGCTGCACCGTCTCACCCGACTGTTAACGGCACGACCAACGGGCATGCCGCAAACTAATCGACTCTTCGAAACGTCACGCATTCTACTTCTACCTCTTTATTCATTCTTTTTTACCATCCCCTGTGCTCCTCCTTGTGCTCGCTCCCCTTTCTTTTATTTTGCTTTCTCTCCCAAAATGTATTTTTTGCGCACCTGCTCTGCTATCCTGTTGCATATCGGGTTCAACCCCCGTTGTTCTATATTCATCCATCTGTCGCACTCTACATCAATCGCTCAACCGCATCTACCGTACTCATTCAATGTCTCATCACATTACCCGGGCCCTTGGACCCAACCTCTTGCATCCCTTTTGCTTAGTGCTCCGGTCTACCATCTAATATATATGTACTCACTCGCTGCATCCATCTCTGCATCAACTGCATCTCCTCCCTTTGCATCCAACTGCATATTCACATTATTCATCCCATCCCCCTTCCCTTCTCTGCGCCCCTTCCCTCACGTACCTAGCCTCTCATGCATCTGTCTTTTCCCATAATCTACACGTTATCCCCTTCCCTCCGCCCGCCCGCCTTACACCTCTTCTATTCACCCACGGAATATATCATTGCCTCAACGCATGTCACGCCATTCACATCAGCCCTCCGGGGCACTTCGACACCCTTCTTCCTTCTCTTTACTTACGGATATCATTCGTGGGTATGGTTCGCCGTCATAATGTTACGTGTCCTTTGGGACCGTCTTTTTGACGATTTTCTTCGGCCTCGTTTCACATTCTGGATCCCGTCAAGCATGATCTTGATGGACTTGTGGTTTGGTTTCGTTAATTTCGCCACATTGTGCTGGCGTCCCGCAGCTCACTTGGCGGTTCCCCCCGCTGTGAACGGTAGGAGTTTCGAACGTCTGGTTGCTACTGACTTTTTCATAATTCCAGATACGAACCTTCCGAATTCTCCCAAAGCGTCTATACGAGCGAAGTAGCTTAAGGTAAGCTTGCTTCCCTCTACGCGTTCATTATGCTCAAAAAATGCTACGTAGACAATCGCTACACTACGACGCCATTAGCGTTCCAACAGAAGGCCCGGACTACGCCTCAACATAAGGCGTGGCGGCAGACAAGTCCGGGAACCAATATATCGCACCGTCTTTGCGTCCACGGAGCGACGCGCCACCTTCCACCTGCCCACCCTGCGCCTTCTGCCATGCCGTCACATCCTTCTGGAAAGCTGCCATCTCCTCCTCAGAGCTCAGATCCACGGGCTCGTAGTCCTTACTGATATGCCTCAACAACGCTCCCGCCCCCAGATTCGACGCCCCGATATCGTTAATGTCGAACCTCTGCTGGATCGCACCCTTCACCTTCCCCGACAAGATATCCCTACACAGACGCGGCTCCTGGCACAACGTACGCGCCAGGCCGACAGCATCGACAGTTTCCAACGCCTTGACCATCGCCCAAGCAGTCTTGAATCCACCCGTGACGTAGACCCTCGTCTTGGATAATGCCGGCACGATCTTTTCCGCGAACTCGATGAAGAACGCCTCCCTCTTCCTCGTACTCTCCCGCTTATACGTCCATCCCAAAGCCTCGTACGTTCCTCCCGACAGCTCCACGAAGTCGAACGTGTTCTCCTCCAAGATCCTGCACACCTCCTTCGCCTCCTCCACCTGCAGCCCGCCCTCCTGGAACTCCTGGCTGTTGAGCTTGATGCCGAGGATGAAGGATGGGGAGGTGGCTTTACGGATGGCTTGGGCGATCTCGACGATGATGCGAGTACGGTTGGTGAGCGAGCCGCCGTACTGGTCTGTCCGTTTGTTGGTGGTCTGCGCGAGGAATTGGGCGATGAGGTAGCCGTGGGCGCCGTGCAGCTGGATACCGTCGAAGCCGGCCTTTTCGAGATAGAGGGCAGCATGGGCGAATCCGTTCACGATGTTCTGTATGTCCTCGAGTGTGGCGGCACGCGGCTTCGCGAATGTCAAGCCGATAACACTGCCTATACATGAAGTGGGTCAGTAAGGCGCGTCGTAGGGATGGGAAGAAACAGGAACATACCATGCAGCTGAATGTCGCTCGCAGAGATGGGATGTTCCTGGACCGTATCAGGGACTTGTCGTCCAGGATGGCTAACCTGCCCCACGAACAAACTCCCATGCTTCTTCCCCTCGCTCGCCGCCTCCTTAAACCTCTCGAACCTCTCGCCCTCAAACTTCTCGTTCTTGGTTATAATGGCGTTCCCCGCCGCCTCGAGATGGTCGTACTCGATCTGAATATTGCCAGAGAGCATGAGACCGATTTGACCTTCGCCCCATCGTCGGTAGAGGTTGACGTAGTTGGAAGACGGGACTCCGCGAGCGGGTAGGTCGGTGGGGTGGAAGGAGGAGAGACGTTCGGTCATGGCAGATTTTAGGAAACGGTTGGGAGCGGTACGGCCTGAGAAGGTGAAATGGAGGGGTTGACCAAGAGGAGCGGGATCAACATCCTCGGAGGGCCAGCGGGCTGACATTGTTGGGATGGTGGTATTCGAGGGGAGGGACGGTGATGATGCTATTGTGAGGAGAGCTGTAGAGCTATTGAGGACACTCGGTGAGGTCTGAAGAAACCGTTCGCGCTCCTTTTATATGGACGGATGCATTGGAGTCGAAGTCCCGACGCAGTATTCAGCATAGGGACCGAGGCTAGGTTTGCGACAAATACTTGTTTGGCGGAAGAACCTTTCTGCCTATGCTCGGGCTGGATCGCGGCTGCCGGGAGTTGCGCTGCAGCTGACATTGATAATGAGACCTCTGTATCGCCGACTTTGTCACGCAAGTTTTCTCGTTATGTCCGTCTCGGACAGGCTCTGTGCGTGATTTATCACCGATGGAAGCGATTTGGCGTCGATTGTTGGCGCTTGCAGGGGTCTGACTCAATGTTCCGCCGTCGGAATGCTGGGAAAATATTGCAGTAACTCTGCTTACTTTGGTGCTAGGACTATACGTACACTGCCAGACACCACTGATACTCTGCGACTCTCAAGGCGTGTTCTGGAGAATGACTCCACCGGGCGTCCTTGTATGCATCTGCTTCACACCGGATGTGCAAGCAACTTGTTGGAAGGAAATACTTGTCCGATCATCAGGCTCGCGACTGGACCACCCTTTTCCAACGGTGGCCCAACTGCGTCCACTTATCTGAGATGCTTTGAGCTTTAGTCGCACCTTCAGAAGTTCTGATCGTCGGTTCTCCATGTTTTCGCCCTTCGCACGGTCACGTACTCTGTCCTTACATTGTCAGTCTTCGCCCTTCAGAAGTGCCATTCTTTTCGCCTGTACGTCCTTCATCCCTTCGCTCTTTATACTCTTAGCCGTTGGCCTTGTATTCTCTTGACCCAAGAACAAGAATGAGGTGCTCGATAGAATGTCAACAAATGCGAAGAAGGACGAGAACAGAACGTTCTATCCGGTCACATCAGGGCCTCGCTAACGTCTTATAGACACAGAGGGATGGTGTTCTGTGCCCGAAAGCCGACGCCAGAACGGGAGAAAGAGGGAGTCTATGACCGGATAGTTGAGTGGGTAGATGGGTGGTATAGCGTGTGCCTGAGAGATCGCAGAAGTGGTGGCTAAGTAGATGGGTGCGAGTGAGAAAGTGGTATGAAGGATTGGATGTGAATCCAGAGCCTTCTGAGAATAAACGAAAGAACGCACCATCTCACCAAAAGAACATAAGTAACTGGCGTCTGTTAGCTTCCCTCGACGATCCGAAGAGCGGAGGTACTAGTCCCCTGGGCCACGGAGAGGCCGACGCCATACCAGGGGAGGATGCACACCGGAAGGGCCGATACGCAGACACATTCCCCCAGCAAGACCCCGGTCGAGGCGCAAGCTAGAAGGGTACACGTATCGACACATTCCTCCGGGTGCAGAGCCTATTAAGGACAGCAAGCTAGATAAGAAGAGTAGATGAGAAGAGGGGGGGATGAGGGAGAGGGGTGTCGAGAGAGGGGTGCTGGTGTGAACTTAGGCCAGAAATGGCGGGCCTTTTATAGGTTTGTCCTGAACTGAAGGACGGCAGTCTGAGATGTAATGATATCCTGGTCGAAGGCAGTCTGTACGTGAGGTCGGTATCCGGCGAAACCAGAGGACGAGGCGGACGGGTGAGACACGAGGGGCCGGATGGTTGTAAGTCGAGTCGCTTCGACACGTCTCGATCGCGACTACTACATTGATATGGAAGTCCATGTGATTCGCGGACAAACAGTTTAACTGACTGAGACAGAGAAATGTAGTCGCGTAATTTTACACACAGCTGAGAACATACATCCAAACAAACCGATTGCATGGTAGTACACGAGCGATTGCAGCTACTTCTTTCTTCAACCTCTTCACCCCGTCTCTCCAGTCCAAATAAACGCCGTGATGGCGTCTTTAGCGAACTTGGTGCACAATTACATGTGGCCTCGGATGGCTTGGGGCTTGTATGGTTCTTCCAGATATTTGACCTCATCTTCTGTCAGTGTCACATCCACCCCATCTAAGTGGAGAGCGTACGAATGCACGATCAGATCTGTAGACCAAGCACACACGCGGATAGAAAGGGGAGAGCGCACTGATGAGGTCCATGAGGTTCTCGATACTCGTAGTACCAACAATCGGTGCAGTAACCTCTATGAACACGAAGTTCGTTCAGTCAAGTGTGAGTCATGTATGCAATTCGAGGAGCAATCAATGAATATCGCACCATATTTGCCTGAACACCACGCAAGGGCGATCTGGGCCATGCTGACACCTTTCTTCTTCGCTAGCTCTTCCACACTACGGAACGAAACTTTAGCCAAAGCAATAGTGGATGCAACGAAATCTAAAGACTGACCGTTCGATGATCTCCGGTCCACCTGTCTTTGAGTAGTCCTGGAGGAACCTGAAGTAGAGACAATCAGTCAACTTTCTGTATGTTGGAGAAGAGACGGAATGTTTCAACGTACGGATCAGTAGTGGAGCGGTCAGTCTTGGCGCTGAGAGGTCGGGTGAGGAGTCCACGGGCAAGTGGGGACCATGGAATTGAGCCGACGCCGAACAACTAATGAAGTAGTGGATCAAACAATGCCACCTCAGTACAAGCAACCAGAGAATCTGAGATGGAAGTGCCACCTTCAGAGTGGGCATCATCTCGCGTTCCTCCTCGCGGTAGAGAAGACTGTAGTGGTTCTGCATGCTGATGAAGGGAGTGAGGTTGTGGCTGATTGCGTAGTCTGACAGGGGTTGACACTTTAGTGGTGGAACAACATTTGAACGACGATATGTTGAGGCTTACTCTGCATGGCGTGGACTGTTTCGTTCAAGCGGAGAGTGCGCGGTAAGAAGAGACTGTTCTCTTTCGTAGGATCGAGAGTGTAAGAGACGTACATTGGTATGCATAGCAGGAGCTCATGCCGATGTAGCGAACATAACCGGCTTGCACGACGTCGTGAAGAGCTTGCATCTAGACACCAAAGTGTTGATGAGACTGGAAGCTAGAGCTCGCAAACTGCCATAGACACTTACGGTCTCCTCGATGGGAGTGTTGTAGTCAAACCTGTGGCCTATCAATAACAATCTCTGAGTATGACGTGCAGAGGAACCAAGTGCGCCACACATACATTGTAGCAAATCGACATAATCAAGCTGAAGCCGCTTGAGACTGGCCTTGATAGAATCAAATATGTTCTGTGCATAAGGTGCTCAGTGAGTTCATGAACGCCGACGGTCGTACGGCATCGGAGTTCACAGCGAAGATAGAGTTTGAAGGAGCCATACCTTGCGGCTGAGTCCAGTTTGATTGACGTATCCGGCTTGCTCGAAGTTAGGAACCCTGACCATGCTCTCGCTAGGGGTGCGGCCTACTAGCATGTAAAGCTGGGTCCAAATTGTTGTATCAGTTTTGCTCGTTCTTATAGACAATCTAGTGCAGACCTTGGTCATCACAACGATCTCCTCGCGCGGTAAATTATATTTCTTGATGGCCTTTCCGAGGATCTCCTCCGATTTTCCGTTTGAGTATGTCTAGGAGGAAGAGCAGCGATAAACATGGATTCAGTACATGGATGGAGTGATAAGCGACCCACGTTCGCAGTATCGAATGTCTGAACACCAGCGTCATATCTGCACATAGTATGCGAGTACTTGTTAGTGGAATAGCCCTGAAAGTCGACTGGGGAGAACAGGTACGCACGCTGCTTTGATGTGTTTCATTCCCTCCTCTTCTCCCAGTACCCAGTTCTGCCAGTCCGGGTGGCCATACTGCATCGTCCCCAGAATGATTTTAGACACCTTCAGGCCAGATTTGCCCAGGCGGACTGCAACATTGCCGTTCAATTGTCAGGCTGCCGTGCGTCCAGATCTAAAGTGATAGCCGTACCGTATGTCATCTTCTTTTCAGGGGCCGACATTGTTGGACTAAGTGTGCGCGACAGGTGTACGGACGGTCTTAGGGGTGGGTGTTGGGAGAGAACAAGAGTCTTCTTGTTCTTTTATAAGACGGACCTTGGGATGCTGACTATTTGTCCTTGGAAAAGGTACCCACCTATCCCGTCATACCGCTTCTGACTATGGATTCGGCGGAGTCCCGTGAGGGTCATCGTGTAAGTCTTCTGCAAGTCAAGTGTTGCTTGATTGTCTCATTAATAGCTAAAATAGATCCTGTGCGTCATAGCGAGGGTAGAGAAGCATCATTCAGACGTATTTCTCGTCAAATGTCAGAGCTGGGGATTGTCGTAAACATTTTACTGGAATATCCTTCAACGTTCAACAGGGGCGAAGGAATGCGATCTTATCTTATCTCTACCGTTCATTTCAATATCACTTGTTTGTCTCTGTTATTTTCGCAAGCTCTTGGCAGACGATCCCTTTCTGGCTTCAACGTCAACGCTAACGCCATCCACTGCTATCATGTCTGGAGTCCGTCTACACCGCAGGACACAAGCTGAGGAGGAGGACGCATCGCAGCTAAAGCTTGGAGCAGGTGCGTCGTTATGGCTTTGAAGACGGTATAGCTTTCCAATACTTCGCTCGCTGTGTCGTGCAGAATTCAACAACGCGGGCTGCCTCTTGATCTCAGAGGTCAAGTATCTGCTGGAGAACAGGGACAAGGATGCGCCAGATACTGCGTGAGGAAATCTTTAAGCTTTTATAATCTTCATTCAGGACTCAATCCACTTTAGCGTGTACAACAAGACCCTGGACTACGTCAGGAACTTTACCAAGTTCAATACTACAGACTCTGCTTCTGCCGTCCGAGAGTACGTCTCATGCATGTCATACTAGCCACGTCTATGCTCGCAACATCACGCCTCCAACTCCATTTCATTTTCTCAATAGGACACTGCGAAGAGAACCGAAGTTGACTCAGTTCGAGACCGCTCAAATCGCCAACCTATGTCCTGCCGATGCGGAAGAGGCGAAGAGTATTATTCCAAGGTACGTCTCTTCGTCCTTACGAGTCATAGTGTTCGAGCCAGAACAAACGATTTCTGTGTCCTACAGTCTTGTCGAACTCGACGATGACCGTCTGCAGTCCTTACTGGACGAGATTCAGACGATGCGCAAGTTCCAGTCATAGCGCAGCGTCAATCGGTGTTTTTGTGGCGTCCGATTTTTGTCTCAACTTTCTTTGTATGTAATACTACGGCTTTTCAGGAACTAGGATGCTCTGAGTGGTGAGCAGCGATCATGACATTACACATACAACATGCATACATCAAGCGAAACCGTCAACACGCCATCGTCATACAGTCTGCTATAATCCAAACTACGTACGATATACGACACATCAGCGCCCACGCCTCCATCCTACCCCACCACTCAAAACCTTCATATCAACCCTCCATATCCATCAACTTCTTCTTATCAAACACCTCTTCCACCTCCTCGTCCTGCCCCTCCGCATCCTCCACCTCCATCTCGATCTTCCCCTTCTCCGCATAATCCGTCGTATCGAACTTCTTCCGCTCCCTGAAAGGATTTGCCCGCCTCTCGTTCTTCTTGATGACCGCGCTCGAGGGGATAGTTCCCTTGGGATTCAAGTACGAGAGATCGTTCCCGCCATACGAGTCAATGGCACGGATCCAGGCATCGAATCTATGGTGTAACAGAAATAAGTGACGTCAGTTCATCAGCGAAGCATAGTCAGACTGAAAGAGCCATACACCCCGCCACGATCCTCGATGTCCCTCATCCGCTCATATACATGTTTTTGCTTAAACGCATCGATCGCCTCCTTATGTGCTTCGAAATCGATTGGTGGACGATACTCTGCGTGGGAGGGGTCAAGGTTCGCGTTGATTGCGGTGATCTTGCGGTTGTACGAGTCAAAGATGGGGTGTTCGAGCAGAAGGCCGAGCGAGGGCATTTTTGGGATGAATACGTCGCGGGGCCCATAGAGCTGTGTTTAGGTGGAAGGGACGAGGATGTGATCAGCACAAAGCGAAGGCAAATGTGAAGCTGGTGATATTCCAGGCGGTAAATGGGCACATACCTCGTCAATGACGTGCGCTGGAGTGCCTGTGCGCACCGACAAGACCAGAGCAGCCATCATCTTACGCTACAACATGGCGGCCATCACCGATACAGAAGATTCGAATCAGCATAGCGCTTTCTCGCGACGTAGTTGACGGTGGATTTCCTAGACCTACAATCTACATTTCGAAGGGATCATCAGCCATCGCATGACCCTGTTCGTTGTCTCCCAGATGGCAATGGAAGAACGAACCTGGTGGAGCATGAAACTCTGACCGTGGAACATAACGCTAACCCACTCCGTCTCGCCGTACACCGCAGGATCCGCGATCTTCGATTGCATACCGCCAATCAACCCATTAGCATCATTTAGTCCTGGGCGATCCACCACACCAAGAAGAAGGACAGGAGGTGGCAGGTATACATACCTCGATTTTCTTCATATGCCTCTGCGTGCTCCTATCCCCAAATTCCCTTCCAACCGTGAAATTGTGGAAATTATGCGTGGCCTCGAACTTCCTCGCGGTCTCTCTCAATTTCTCCATCATATCTGCGCCTACTCGCCATGTCCTCTTCCGCTTCAGGTCCTGCTCCTTCTCATCCTTTATCGACGGGTTGCCTTCATCCGAAGACTGTTCTGACCAGAATGGATGTGCAAATAATGAGGTCGGTGTTGGAGAAGTTGAAGGGGAAGAAGCTTGCGCGGATAGTGTTTTGTGGAGTCCGGAGCCGGGCTTGGGAGGTATGAGGAGATATGAAGGAAAGAAGTAGGTATACTTCCGGCTATCGCACGACCTATACACATTCACCCCGCCCGCACATACGTATCAACAAGTCAGCGACCGTATCAACAATTTGTTCCGGGTCCACGAATGAACGCATAGCGATTGGGTATGCTCACAGTCTGGCGTTGAAGGAGTTCTGTACGCGCACGTAGCCCCATAGACGGATTTCTGGAGGTAAGAGCTCATTGACTTTGGCGACGACATCTGGGACGCCGGGTATTTGGGTGATGATTTTAATGGAGACGACATTTCCGGCAGCGTGTACCCCTGCGTCAGTGCGTGCTGCACGACCTAGATTGACCTGTGATGGTTTGGTACGGGGAGGTATGAGAAGACCAGGTCTAGTATATCGATATAAGGACGTGGCCTACTTTGACAGGATCGTCTGCATTGTCTTTGGACACCGCACCTGCGCGTACGAGCGCGTCAAATAGCACGCCTTCAATGGTTCGTACGTTGGGTTGACTGTACAAATCCAAGGAAGATATATCATAGATCAGCTTCCTAAACATACAAAACACGCCGAACAACCAGAACGCGTAGAGAAACGCGAGGACGTACATCTGCATCCCATTACAACCTGTTCCACAAAATCCAATCAACAATGCACACTGTCTCTTCGGCAGCCTCGGAGCCTTCTCCTCTCCCTCCGGTCTCGCCTCACCCTCTTTCCTTGTTCCCCTCCGACTCCAGCCGTGACTCGCAGGGTCCTTGCCCGATTTTTTGTCCTTCTTCTTATCCGACTTTCCACTACCCTTTCCTTGACCTTGATTCCCAGAATCATTACGCTTCTTATCCTTGTTGCCATCCTTGCTCTTGGGTGCATCGGGATCTGTGGAGGATTGTGGTACGACTGGTGTGGCGTCAGAGTCCAGCTGTGGTGGGATACTTGCAGAGGCATCTGAATTGTCCAGGGGTGCAGAGGATGAAGCAGGTATATCTAGGTCCTGCGAAGTATCTAGAGCTGTTTCTTGCTGAGGCTGAGCGTCGGACAAGGGAGTATGAGTTTCAGAGTCTGCTCTGGATCGTTTCGGCTCAGGAGTCGGGTCGGTACTGCACGTCTCAGTCTCTACAGGCCTCTTCGAAGGCACAGTAGACTGGTTTGGGTCCATTATTTGCGGACAGTTCGCACTAAAGTACGAAATATGCCGAAAATCAAAGCTGGATGGGTATGGACGTGTGCGGGGGAGGGAGATGCAGCGGCTGAGTTGACGTCGGGAAAAGCAAAGGAGCATGAGAGGGGCGACCCTCACAAAGTGCCGTGGGAAAGAGATACTTGTTCAAACAAAGCTGGTTCGTCTTTTTGCCACACGTCTTTGTTTGCATGTTGTCTCTAGCCAGCATCTCTATACGTATTACAATGGTAGCCTTGCCTTCTTGTCAACTATGTATCTGAATCTAAGACATGTCTCTAGTTTGAAGCAAAATACACCGAGATCTCTGGGCTTCATGGGACGAGCAAGTGAAGACTGACTTGGGTTCGTGTTGCTCGCCGCTTGGATACAACTACTCCTTCTACTATGGCTTCGCACTGTGGCCGGTTTCTCAGATCCCGATATAATGACTACATTATACTAGTTGATTATCAACTGGGATTTCTCGCCAATTCAGTGCTTGACTGACTTGATTGAGAATGTACACCACTGGCAGGGGTCGTCCGGCATTTGATCGAACAGACCATTCAAAACTCAATGCCACTGCCGACTCCCTCCAATCTTCCCATTTTTGTTCACAGACCACTATCTACCTCGTTGTGCGCGCCGGACGCCATATCCAACCTTTCCACTTTCATACCCTTAACACGAGAGCCCATTTACCAGTAATAACATGTCCTTGAAGTCCAGCGACGACCCCTCAAAATATATATCAGTTCAGCAAACCCTAGTTGAGCCCATCGTCAACGCCATCCGGGTACCGGATTTCAAAGTCGAATGTCCTATCAAATCCTCTCGCATATGGAGCGCCCTCACCGCTCACCCCGAAGATTTCTCGCACAAGCGCGACGTGCTCATCGGTGGCGACGCGCTGACCTTTTGTATGACGGTCGCACTGCAAGGCTGTTTTCCTCGCTCAGCTAAGCTCATAAACGTACGTCCGTCCCATGATGATGTGTTTCTCGTTCTGATTGTGTACTATGTGATATTTCGTTTCGTTTCGTCTCGTTTTTGTGATACTGTAGATCTTCCGCAAAGCCCTCCTCTCCAAAGAAGTCCTCGCCGAGCTTCTGTACAAGATGGACCCTACTGGTTCACGCCGCCACGACATTGCCGCAGCGCACGACATTCTCAAAGCCGCCATCGGACACGTCTTCAATAAGCAAGGTCCGGATGCCATTCTTTGTTGGATGTTTCGTACCTTCAAAGATCTCATAGTCGAGGCGATGCATACTATGAGGGAATGGTAAGGTTCAATTTACAACCGCCATTCTTATACATCCTACCATCTGTGCGTAGTATGAAGACTGTGTGCTGATTTGTGGGATTTCAGTCTGAAAGACGGGTCTCTGAGGCTGTGGTTGGATCTAGAAGAAGTCAAAGCGTTGCACGGTGGCGTTTGCCCGCCCGAAAGAGAATCGGAGAAGTCGGTGGAAAAGGACCTTGAAGAGGATAGTAAGTCTTTGCATCTAGATCGAGCATGGATCTGATGGCTGCTGATGATCATGTTGAAACTGCAGTTGGGCTTCCATACGACTAATTCGCTCGAAGAGACGGCCTTGGTCCACGTTTTATCGGTGCATTTCGACATCAGCTGGTCTGGATATACTTGTAGAGTCAGAGTAAGCAATAAACATACTAAGTGTCCGATTCAGGCTATCCGAGTGTGGATCCCTGCCACCATTAGTGTGAGGTAGCTATAGGATAATGGGTCTGAGTATCGTAGCACGGGCTTCGGTGACGAGCAGTCACGATCGAGACGCGTCGACGCGTCTGTGGCGGCTAGCGGACGCGACGCGACACGTTTGCTTCCTTCTGACTCGCGTCGTGTCTCGCCCATCCGCCCCACCTGGTGGTTTCGCCACGTACTAACCTCACATACAAACCTCCGCCTCCGGCATCACCGGTGAATCCAGGAAATACTCAGTTCGCCTCAGTTCGCCTCAGACTGCCGTCGTTCAACCTGACGACTTCATTCGAACCCTGCAAGACTATAAAAGGCCCGCCATCTCTGGACAAAATGCCCCCCACCACTCCAGCACAACAATCCTCTCCCCTGCCTCACCCTGCCTTATCTTCCTGCTGTTCTGAATAGGCTCTGCACCCGGGGGAATGTGTCGCTGTGTAGACCCTTCTGGCTTGCGCCTCTACGGGGTTGCTTGCTGGGGGAATGTGTCTGCGCATCGGCCCTTCTGGTGTGCATCCTCCCCTGGTATGGCGTCGGCCTCTCCGTGGCCCAGGGGACTAGTACCTCCGATCTTTTGACCGTCGAGGGAAGCCAACAGACGTCGGCGATGTACCTATCGCCCCGAGATGGTGCGTTGTTTGTCTCAGTTTTCAGTGCCGGTTCCGTAGCTAACGGCTCGTTGTTGTGGTCTACTCCATTCATTCACTTATTCTCCCGCTCATCTAATCATCCCTTCTTCAGATCGATGACTCATTCTACCATCCGTCCAACTGCCTGCCCGTGCATGAGTGTCTATGGGTCTGTTGTCGTTTAGGGATCAACAATGCCTTAGTTATAGAAGTTCTCTTGTAGTCGACCTATCATTACTGCTGATGGATACAACTAGTCTTGTACGCTTCTCGCTCCATCCGCCACCTTCCTCCACGTTTAGAGACAGTTAACAGCTAGGATCCACCAAACACAGAAGCTCTCGCTCAGGAAGATCGAAGGCATATAGTAGAAGACACGAAGACTCACCTTGCGGCCCGAAGGCTCGACAAGACGGGGATACGCCGATAGTTTCGAGAACCGGCAGCCTCGACTCTCGAAGACCTGAAGTTTCAAAGACCGAAGGCAGGAACAATCATGGCCTGGAGATCGGAAGGACGAGTCCCTGCAGCCCGACGATGCGGGAAAACACTTAGTCGCTCGATGTTCGAAACTGAGTCTGGTACAAGCCCATTGGGCTGTGGTGGTACAATAACGGCGGATGGTACAAACATGAATGTCATGTATGGGATAATAGGATGCGATTCTCCTCTATGCTCTACTTCTGCTATGCATCACAGCAGCGTAGCTGTCATCAACGACTTCGTCAGTATGGGCCCGGCGAGCTCGTTTCGCGGGTGGCACATAGTGACCCCGGACCCCCTGAGCTGACACTAGCGGCCGTTTCCTTTCTTTCGAACGCCAGGACTAATGACGAGACGTCGGACCAATCAACGCCGATATGACCATAGAAGTGTCTCGTCCACTCACCTGTTTCGCTTTAGGAAGCGGCGACAGATTCCCCCCTTCCCTCCCGTTCGTGATGGCTCCCAGCGCTTTCCTGATTGGTGCATGTACCAATGCCTGAATCGGTGGGGGCAACTTGGAATCGAAGCCCAGGCGGTGGGGTGGGCCTGGGATGCATTCAACTTCCGCGACAGCGGTGCTCGAGAGTTGTGGAGACTCAGAGTGACGGGAGAAGTTGTCGTTCTCTGCCAAACAGTAAAGTAGGAAGAGTCACCGCGTGAGAGAAAGTGCAGGAGGGTCATCTGCATAGATCAGGGGACGTACCGGGGGTCAAGCTCCTGTGGACCTCGCTTTGGACGTAGTCTGCGAATTTCTTCTGAAAGTCGCGAACGGAGCGAATGTCGAGGAGACGCTTCTGGACCATACCCGTGGCATTGAATTCTACTCCCCTTACGTCCTGTCTTTGTAGAAAATGGGTCAGAAGCAGCCTGAAGTCAATTACTGCCCGGCTTACGGAAATCGATGACTGAACTGACTTGGCGGCATGAACTTTCACAATCTCCAGAGCAGGAACAGACAAGGCATCCTGAACGAACTCATAACAAGCCTCCAGCCCATCCCACTCAAATAGCGCTCCAACCGACATCTCGACAATGTCGGCAGTAGGCTTGACCTGGCCCATGTCGAAGGCAGACGGAGCAGAGACCGTTGTGTGTTCTTCGACGGCATCGTAGAAGGAGGCGGTATTCGGTCGAGCGACTTGACATGTCTCGCCGATGAAGGCCAGCGTGCGATTACAGACAAGAGCCTTCTGACAAGTCTGATCATGAGAGCCCAGAAATCCACAGTCAGTAGGATGATACACAAGAGAACAGTTTCCCTGGAGCTCTCCCTAGGGGTAGAGGGTAGAACACGAGCGGCGGGCAGAGAACAAAGCGTACAGAGATGAAGGTCTTGCTGGCGTCAGGGCAGCGATCATAGAGCATCATAGACGTAGACAGCGCAAAGATCGAGTCGCCGATGAGCTCCAAGACCTTGTTACGAGGGTGGCCGGGATGTTGATGGAAATCGCTGTATTGTTTGCCAGCGATGTTCGGCCGGATGAGTCTCTTGTGACGGTAGATCAAAGGGAACGCGGCGTCTACGAGGATATCGAGGGCGCTGGGCTCCATAACAGTGGAATCTTTCAAGTTGGCGTGCATAGTGAGGTTTTGAGAAGCTAGCGAGATTTACAAAGTGTTTTAGGTTGCTTTGGCACCGCCGGCGGTGAACGGGGTGAACTGATAGTAGTGGGTGTGGTTGTGCAAGAACAGGTACCAGTGCGTGGCCACAACACAACTAATCTCAACAATTCAGTTGTGGCGCTGAATAGAGCCATACTATCGGCGCTGTAGAACACTAACGAGGGACGGACGAGCTCGAAAATGCAGGAGAAGTACGAATAAGATGTGCGATGCGAGATGAAGTACAAGTGAGGGTCCCATAATGGTACAGATGTGATGATACAGTGCGCCTACAGAAAAGGAAGTAGCTTAGACGGTGGGGTATGCGATTCGATGCGTGAGACGAACATCGAAAATGTGGAGAAGGTGAACAAGGATTGTGTACCAGTGCATCAGGCTGTTTGAGAGCCTAGACGTGCAGCAGCCCCCGCTGCCGCCACGCTCGAGTTCATGCCGCTCTTCATCAATGAGCCCACGAAGAGATCTCTGCAGTTCCGTAGACGTTCCCTACGACCCACGAACCAGGTTCCAGCATCACTTGGTACCGCCAACGGAACACCTATAATGCCTCTCTCCTGTGCTACCCGGACAGCGTTCGTCATCGAGTCCAGTTCCTCCTCGGAGTCAAGATCATCGAGGTTTTCCAAGGCGGGATCATCAGAGCCAGCCACGGTGGTCGCAGCAGCATTCTTTCCCGCCGCGGCGCCCTGACTGTTGGCATTGGCATTGGCAGCCGTTGCAGTGCTCTTCTTCTTCTTCGAAGCGGTCGACTTCAGCTGCTCGAGCTGAGCCTCCGCCCCTGGCTTGCTGAGGTCGATACCGTTCTTCCGAGCCAGCTCCTCCATCTCCTTCTGTTTCTTCTCCCTCTTCTCTGCGTCTTTCTTCTCCTTGCGCTCCTTCTTGCTCTCTCGCTTGACGGGCTCCACAAAGTTGGGGTTATTGGCTCGGTTCCAGTCGAGAAGCAACTCGTCGTAAGCTTTCGAACGACCGGGTACAGATCGTTTTGCTCCCATGGAGTGTGATTTACATGTGAGGGAGCGTGAGCATGGGAGGTGTTTGTCGTTTATGACACCGCACTGCTTGTCGAGATCGACGGGACCCTTCATGCGTTTGGCTGGCTTGTTAGGAGCGGCCTTCGCCTTCTTGCCCTTTGGAGTGTTCGATTCTGATGGCTCTTCGTCTGCTTTGCGTTTCTTTCCCTTTGCTAACCAGCAGGATATTAGCTCACGAATGATGGCAGCCGTTTATCAACATGCAACGGTGTGCATGAGCCAGCTGTGGTGGTTTATCACACGTACCAGTTCCAAGGTCATCAGCTTTACCTTTCACTCCACCTTTACCAAGGCGTATATTTCTGCAGTTGTCTGTACGAAAAACATGTCGTTTCGTGAGAACACAGTAAAATCAACACAACGAATGGTATGTGGCCCAGACTGACCTGCATGCTCAGCAGCCGCACTACGGAGCACAGGCTTAGCGCACTCCTTGCACTGAACGATGCCAATGTCTGTAGCGCTTCGTAGAGGCTCAGAACCAAAAACTTTCATGTCACGAGCTGAAAGCCATGAAGTTGGTGGCGAAGGACAATGCGAGAGTGATGGAGAAGGAGAGGGAGGCGGCGGTGTTGACGGTAGATTTTCGAACGAAAAGGGAGGAGGTGAAGCGGAAGGCTTTATTTTGAGCGTCATGACGAAGCCGTACAAAGGAATCAGCAAGGGATACACGTCTAATTGTGTACTGGCTGGTTCGGTTTAAGACAAGTTGTGATCCAAGCGCGACCTTGACACGCGGCGCGGCGCGGGCCCGCCCCGTGACCAGAATTCTATTTCCGGTCGCGCGGGTCAAGTCGGGTTAGGGTCCCTTTCCTGCGGCGCCTTTTTGCTCCTGTCACTTGTCATCATTCACCGTGTTCGGACTTCGGACGGTGGACCCTTCAAAACGTCCATCGTTCTGGACTAACAATCGGACGCCGAATAAAGTCGCTCATCGAATCCGATGGCCTCCGGGTCAAAATAATCCACCTAACCTCCCTGAAGTAAAACAAGCGGCACTGTTGATGACTGAACGCCTCCTCGCATTGTTGAAAGCCGGGTGCTGGCTCATGTTGACTATATACATACAGGCTTACAGGTCTTTCGACGCGATTTTGCGGTCACGGCATGGTTCCTCCCTCTTGGCCGAGTCTTCTTCCTTCCAACGGAAACCAATAAAAGAATTGAGGCAAGATTGCCAATCTCGATGATTCGCGCCGCACGCAAGCCTCCTGTTACGTTGTCAATTATCTCTCGTAATCCGAGGATTGGCAGTTCAAAAGTGTGGTGGACTGTTGCGGAAAGGGTGATTGTATGGCACCTAGATGTGCATATTTAAACTTGGTATTTGTCATGTGGTGAGTCGGTTTTCTGACGAGCTCTTTGTCGCCCAGCGCTGAACACTGAGCCCAGGAACGCTGTTAACACCCAGCGGTGATAGGCCTGCCTGCGCAATCTCATTGTAGATCAGGATCTGCCAGTCTGGCTGCGTGAAAGGTTACCATGCCCCACCGGGCCTCATGCGTTGCCTCAAGGTCCCCGATAGGACTGTTGCGATCTGAGTGTTCTTCCGACGGACTTCGAAATCGCATCATCACCCAACCGTTGAGAAGCGGTCTTCAAACTCGAAGTGCAGTAGTTTCCTACAGTTTCGGGCCTCAAAGCCACGCAGCTTTAGACTACACAAAAGTCGTATGCACTGATTCGAAGATAGCCGCTTATGCTCCATTGTTTCCCACAGTAACGCCCGGAAAGGTACGAAAATGCGGCTATGCAAAGTTCAGAGACGTCGTCTTGGGCTTCTCTTCCATCATCAGACCACTGTTATCACTGGACCTGCCGAAGAACGTGAACCCGCCGTACGACCGGGCACCGTAAATTTGCTAACCCTATTGTGGGAGGCAGCCCCGTAGCTCCTGAAGCAAAGTTCGTTGCTCTTTGCTCAATCATCCTCATCACCCCTCTCCCGCATCGCCTGTGGCCCCAGGGTTTGTAGCCGCCTTCCATGACTTATTCGACAGGGACTCGTGCTGCTGTATCATTGGATTTCCTGGTTGTCGGCGGAGGTATGTTGGTCTCAAATACATGTCACTTGTCAGATCTGAGCTCCAATTCTTAGGGCTCGCTGGGTTATCTACTGCGTATGCTCTTGTTGCGTCTGGACACCGAGCGCGCGTTCTTGAAAAGACTCAGGGTTTGGGCATTCGTGGGGGAGGAATTCGTGTCCCTCCATGCGTATCAAAGATCCTGATGGACTGGGGGTTGGGGCCGCAATTAGAGGAGAAGGGCTCGAGATGTCGAGGAACAGTGATCCATTACTGTAAGCATCCGTTAGTTCGTCTGCTTGTTTGGCGTCTACGGTCTAGGATTCGGTCCTACGTTCCTAGTGATTTGAAATGTTCACCGGAAGCTAATTGGACTCTAGTGAAGAATGGTGAACTTATTTCACCTCTGACATGGCAGGAGACCGTGATCAAGGAATGCGGCTCACCGTTCTACATGATGCTGGTGGGTGCGCGTCATCATTCGTTTGCTGCCCAGTATGCATCTAACGTAGCACGGTCACAGCACCAGGATCTATACGAGATGCTCTACCATCTAGCGCTCTCTGTGGGCGTACAAATCGATCTGAACGTCGAGGTCGTGTCCGTTACAGTTCCAGACCAGAGCTCCTCCGACACCGACTCTGACTCTGACTCAACGCCCATATATCCAACAACGTTTGCGAACGAGCGCACTACCTCCCCAATGTATTCGGCCTCCACCTCGGGCGGTGTTATGCCCGGTACCAACGGGCGTGTAAATGGCGCTTCTCGCAATGAGTCGAACTGCTCTGGCAAACCACGCGTCACCTTGGCCAACGGAACGATCTTGGAGGCAGACATCATCATTGGCGCGGACGGTCCACATAGCATAGTCAAGGATGTCGTGGTGGAGGAAGAAGCGGACGCTACTTTGGAGTGGACAGGAAGTAACTGTTACACCGGCCTGGTACCCATGGACGAGATGATGAGTGACCCAGGCTTGCGGGAGATTGTTGAGTGTGGATGGCCGATGTGGGCGAGTGATGGAAAAAGTGTGATGGGTGTGTGTTTACCTTTTCGCTCTCTCTTTCACTGACTAATTGACGATCCGTGAAGGTTATCCTATCGTACGTCCCTTTCGTGTGTCCTGATTGTGATTCCCATCCAAACCATCTCCCTCTTGTTAGCGTGGCGACAAGGACTATAACGTTCACATATGGTGGAGAGAAGCGGACCCATCGAAGGAATATCCTGAAGGATGGGCGCTGGAGGAACCCTCACGAGTCCTCGGAGTAGACCATATGGAGCTTGATCCACGGTGGCTATGTTTCACTTTCTCTTGGTGATAAGAAGCTGACGAGCTCCTTGATCTGAAGGCTAAGAACTCTGTTCTCGCGGATGCAAGGTTTATGCAGAATGAAATGGAGAGAAGGGCCCGGAACGGAACTCGAAGAGTGGGTGAACGAGACTCAGCAAGTCGTACTCGTCGGGGAGGCCGCACATGTCATGCTGGTGTGTTGTTTTGCACATTTGCATTGCATCAAGTTCAACCCGAACAACCACCGACCTCTTTCGCTCTGTCTAGCCCGCTGGTTCACATGCTTGCACCTTGGCCGTTGAAGACGGCGCTGTCTTGGGCATGTCTGCGCATGTTACTGCTCTTGACCCCGACTAACTTAGAGATGCCTCATTTTTACAGGCAAACTTTTTGCTCGTCTGAAATCACGCGACCAGATCGGTATTTTGCTGAACGCATACCAAGAAATCCAACAACCGCGGTCTGTGCTTCTACAAAATGCTGACAGGTCATCCGCAGGAAGCCTGCTCCTTCCAGAAGGCCCCGCTACGGAGGGGCGTGATGCTATGATGCGTCTGGCAAACAGCCAGAGCGAGGATCATTGGGACGACAGTGAGTTGGCGGGTGCGTGGGGAGATATAGGCGCTGTATGGGGCTACAACGCTATCGAGGCAGCGGATGATTGGTGGGTTCAGTGGGGCTTGCTGAGGGAGAGAGCTATGGGCAGGGAGGTTAACATGCTGGGCCACACTCTGAGTGGCCTGAGCGTCACAATTACTTGATTCCAGACATACTATACTTGGATATATCGCTCACTGCTGGATTCAGGACCGTAAATCCCTTCGCAACTAGCTGTGCTGTAATGCTTTCATATGGAACGTTTCTTGCTCGATGTACGAAACATCATTCAGATTTTTGTCAATACCTGTATATACTAAATATGTACGATGCCGATACCATCTAGATGCGACCTGCCTGTGAGAGACGGCATATCTGTAGCTTATCGAGGGAACTTAAAGTATCCGCAATTCAGGAAGGCTCAATCGTCACAACTTATCAAGTTTGCCCTTGTCTCGTTCGCTAAAGTCCGGCGACCGAGATGCCACCGCCACTGCACTCTTCCGGCCAACTCCGGGCCTCTTCTAAGTTCCGTGACACGCTTTCGGAAGTGCCAAGCGTCAGCCAACTCCTTCACTCAATAGAGAATACTCCATGGTATAGGTCCTCTAACAGGTATAGTTTTCTTCAAAAATTGCTCCCTCATTACCTGACTGGTGCTGTCGCAAACATAGATACCAGAGATCGTTGTTTTCTTTCGCCACTCATCGGACGATTGGCAGCTGGAGCAGCATATCAAGGCTCCGAGTCCGACTTGTCCACGGTCATACTCGTGCTGACCTCTATCTCCTGGGCTTAAAGAGACGAATATCTAGTGGAATATTGTATACTCAACCGCCAGCTTCCACCAAAAAATGGACGTAGTTGAGAGGGCGAACCTAGAAAGACAAAGACGATGGTAAGCGCTAGAACTCGCCGGAACCCTCCTTGTTTTGACCGTTTTCGCTTTGGAATCAGGGTAAAGGACCAAAAGGTCGGTGAAGGACAATATGCCGTTGTTTACCGAGGTAGTTCTACCCGCAGCTGTCAACGGAATTAAGCTGCATGCTGAATAGTCATCATCGTCCAGGCCGCGAAGCCGCCACCGGCCGGAAAGTCGCCATCAAGAAGATCAAGGTGGGGCAGTTCAAGGACGGACTCGACATGTCCGCCATCCGCGAGGTTAAGTTTCTCCGCGAACTAAGCCATCCGAACGTCATTGCGGTCAGTGAACTACTTGCAACAACAGATCGTTCCTGTCTGCGCGATGTGGTTTGCTGAATTCCCATAATCCCAGTTATTGGATGTCTTCTCAGCCAAGACGAATCTCAATCTGGTACTCGAGTTCTTGGACTCAGACCTCGAAATGATCATAAAAGGGTGCCCTACGCTTTTTTTGCCGGCGGACATCAAGAGTTGGATTGCCATGACCTTTCGTGGGCTCGAATTCTGCCACCGAAATTACATCCTCCATCGGGTAGGTCTTCGCGTTTGTATTGTGCATGTCCGGAACTCAGATAATCCTATTTCCCGCATATATCAGGATCTAAAGCCCAACAATTTGTTGATTGCTTCAGACGGTCAACTAAAAATTGCCGATTTTGGTCTCGCTCGAGACTTCGCAGACCCGGGCAGTAAGATGACCTGTCAAGTCATTACGCGGTATGTATCTTCCCATGGCCCGGTACTCATGTCTTAGTCGATGCCTGACACATTGACACCGACCCATCCTTGTAGATGGTACCGCCCACCAGAACTTCTCTTTGGTTGTCGTTATTACAGTTCAGCTGTCGATATATGGTCTGTTGGCTGCATATTTGCAGAGTTAATGCTTCGCATCCCTTACATCGCCGGCGAGAGCGATATGGATCAAATTAAAAAGACCTTCATGGCGCTCGGGACGCCTACAGAGCAGGATTGGCCCGTCCGTTTTCAGCCACCAATCATACCGTACCATTGTTCTGACTCCAAGTGTTTATACAGGGGCACAAAAAGCTTCCTGACTACGTCCCCGTAGGCAACTTCCAAAGGACGCCACTGCGAGATGTATTTACGGCAGCCAGCACGGACACGCTTGACCTGCTCGGAAAATGTCTCCTCTACGAACCAAGAAGACGCATTTCCGCCAAAGAGGTTTGTGCCACTCCAAACAGCGATTCAAAATCACGCTAACAATTCTGACACTTCCATTAGGCACTGAGTCACCCTTATTTCTTTGCACTTCCGTATCCGACACATCCTTCGAAACTACCCAAGAAAGCTCTCCCGGTGGTCAACTCAAAAGCCTTGGAGGAAGTCGATGGGAATGTCGACCTTACAGGCCCTGGGCCAGCTGTCAAGGCCAATCCCCCGAACAAAGGGCTGAAGAGGAAGCTGAGCGAGGACGAGGTGGGAAGAAGCATAGCACGGAAGTTGGACTTTGGTTCCGTGGGAGATACATCGATGTGAGGTGGTAGGTGTGTTATTACAGACAGTACACGTTACAGTCCCCGCTATTTTATGTCCTCGCTTTCGCGCTAGTTTGTATCATATTACATATATCATACCACCATGTTCATTCTTGTTCGACAGGTTTTGAGACGTTGAATGTTACACTGCCACTCCACGCCCTGCCCGGGGATGGTTGCGTTGTTTCCGCGTCTCAAAGCCGACAGACAGAGAGATGCGGACTTGAGAGTCCTGAAGACAGACCAAAGTGCACTCGTGAGACAAATGAAGGAGCTCGCAGCCCTGGATGAAGGAGGCTCCGCATACCATGCATGTAGAGTAAACTTCGCCTGCTGTCAAAAGTCACAGAAGTCGTGCCAGGGACAAGTATGCCATCATCCTCGAACATCTGACAGAAATGCGTGCGATTCAATGCGCTGAGCCAGTTCGAGCTAGTTGACCTACCTTGGCAACTTCATACGACTCTTCCGTCATCGAACCGTTGTGATCCTGTATGGTCACTCGAAGTGCAGATGAGGGAGCATCTTGAACATGAGGATTCATGGCGTTTCTCATGATGGCCAGAGTATCAACGATGCCTGCAATCCAAAGAGCCCCCTCCTCATCGATTGATATATTGTCTAGTATGCGATCTGATCGAAATATCTTCAAACCGGGTTTATAGTAAACAGCAATATTAAACGTGACATACCGGTAGAGATAGTCTCTATAACCTGAAGCGTATTGTCGGACTGTCTCCTGAGCGCACTGAACTCTGCTCGAGTAGTACTCGTCACATATATCGTGCCGTTATGTGCTTGTACTATCCCGTTGCTTCCGGGGAGGTTCCGGAGAGCATAGTGGCACCCAGAGTCGACATTGCAGTATCCGACAGAACTCCATGCTGCTCCGAAGAACTCCAGATTCCGCGACTAGATCCGTGCGACCAATGACACGAAATTAGACCGTAGGACGCAAAGGCGACGACATCGAAGGACTTACCAATCCTATTTTCCTGCCATGATCATTGGTGAAGTAGAAGCTTTTCCCATCGGGCAAACCAAGCACGTCGTTCGGCGTCTCAATTACAGCATCACGAACTGTGGTAACATGCCTCAAGGTCCCGTCTCCGACTGTTGTCCTGAAGATCTCCATGACAGAGTCCGAACCAACTCTGGTGGGGTCCTCGTGGACGGGTGGACGATGATTGATCACGTACACGAACAAGTCATTGGGATTGGTGGAAGAGGGAACTAGGTCGAATCCGTGGACGAAGAGACCGCGGGGGTCTTCGAAGCCAGCAAGATTGAGACGTGAGACGGTGGAGGTCGAAAAGTCGTATGTGGCGATATAGTCCTCTTCCTCTTCCAAGCGCGCAGTGGCGTCGAGATGTCCTAGTCCCGGAATCCAGAATTTGCGCTTCAACGGGGTAGAACATGCCGCATAGAGAAGGCCTGATGGCTGGTGGAGAACAATCTCTGCAAACATATCAACATGCAGAACAACGTGCAAGACGAAGCCCGGGATAGATATCAGACTCACTTTCGCAGGCTTGAAGCTCGGGGACCTTATGGCATCTTTCATTGTTTACAGATCCTCTAATGCGACCAATGACGCCGTGCCTCTGCAGCACTCCCTTCAATTGAAGCTCATAAAAGCCACCCACTAGGGCAGCTGCGGCAGTGATGGTGGGAATCAACGACTTGACCATGTTGTGAGAGAGACGAGGGGGATAGGTACCGTTTCGGTGCACGGCAGAGGCTTCGTAGTATTTATGTTGAGGGCCATATGTGGAGCAAGCCCATGGTCCACACGCCTGAGGCTCAGCATGGCATCGCGGGTTCCCTACCTGTCAACGGATTTCGGTGCCTCGGTCTAAAAGAAGAGGGAAGGTGCGATGCAACTAAACCATTGTATATGGCCGTCTGCGATAGCACCCGGAACTGTCGCACCTTCGATCCCGAAAGAATGATACCACTGCGAAGTGTGGCCCCAAGAAGCGAGGGTGGCTATCGATCCGTATAGAACCTGCCGGGTACGTTGAAAGGACTTCAGCTTCACGGTGGGTGCCATAGGAAAACTACCATGTCGAGTGTACCGGGACACTGCAAACCTTTTCAAGGCCTTCTCCATAGTTCGTGGATCCAGTGCTTGGATCAGTGCTTTCTCAGGTCGCCCAGACACCACGAGGCAACCGGAAGAAACGACGAGCACCAATCATACTTCATCCGCCTAAATGTAGCACTCCATTGCTTGAAGACTTCGTAGCTCTGACTAGAGGCCATAGGTCGATAACGGGGTAGGCATCGACTTCCCTCGGACCGTGGTATGGCGCGGGAATATGGGCTCAATAACTATAGCTAGAGCTCGAGGATTGAATCGAGACGTCGAGATGGATTTCAGCAAGTGCCTGCCAGTGAGTGTACCAAGCAGTTAGAGCTTCCATTACACAGAAGATCTGACAGGCAAGGATCGAGAGCCTGTTGGATACATCAATCACACAGCACAAAGGGGATGATGGTCGTTGGACAAGCTTCAACTTGGAGCCGGCAGCATAGTGTAGCGGGTATCTCGTTGCTCTATGCCTTCGTGCTGGGGAGTCACGTGTGGGTAAATCCGCACAAGTGGCGAGGCCTCTGGTTCAATTCTCACACACAGTGATTTATTCCAGATTCTCATAGGTCGAACCCAGCGCTGGTAGGTGGGTTTAGTGGGTAGTGGGGTTAGGGGCTCCTGAGAAGTTTAAACGCTTGCCGCTTGCGGCGCACTCCCACCGGCTCTGCCCTGCGCATCCGTGGTTGTCGAAATGATGATTGGCCAGCCCCCTCCGAGTCCCACACTGTTCCGCCGGCCTAGCCGGTGGTTCGTGCATAAATGCATTCCCTCCTTTGGATCTGCAGGGTGATAACCCCTGCTTATCGACGTC